GTGAAGACAAAGTTTTCAACTCTTAAAGAGTCGCAAAAAAGTTGGGCTTGAAATTAAAAGGTAAATAAAAGCTTCATGTGGTTACGCAAAGCACGTAATGTTAGACTATTACTCAGCTCTGATCTTGGGCAACAGGAGTAAACGGAGCCGTCATGGTGGCCACGCAGGGATTTGACATGGTTTGGCCCTTGACTCATGTGAGCGTGATGTTGGAAAGAAGGGGGAAACCAATGATCCCACCATGATGGATTGTTTATGATCGTCTCAGGAGCAGTTATGGAAGTTTAAAGTACATTTAATGAAATACTTAGGGATTTATATTTTTTCTTTTTAAGAGCAGATTCTGCAACTTGATTTTTCTATTATACATCAATTCTTAGGGAAATATTCTACTCCACTGCAACTACTCAGTAGTGGTTAGTAGGGGATATACATTTCATAAAACATGCTTCCACATTGATGTAACAGTGACAATAGAAAAGAAACCAAATAGATGACGAACTGAAACAGAGCCACGATCAGAGGCTAGTACTTTCCGTTAGACACAAGTAAATGTCCCCAATAATACCAGTGTACTTTACCAGAACTATTTGTAAAAAAAAAACAAAAAAAAAACTATTACTTTATCTACGTCAGTAAAAATCAGTGACTAGTTAATAAGTGCTTATTAAAGGCTTCACTGGTGTGGCATTTAGCATTTTGAACAACGATCCAGAGATGAGTTACTTTTAACGTGTAATGTATTACGTGGAGGAAAATGAAATGTAAACCCATTTAAACCCTGGAGGAGATTTGGCTGAAGTGCTTTTTGTAATAGCAGCCCGGCCCTGTCCGGACACCCGGTGCTAGCCTCGTTAGCTCACTAGCCACTGGGTCAAGTGCCATGATTCCCCTTGCACCTAAACCGGGAATACTTTCCGATGCCAGCAGGCTGAACCGAAACAAAAGGTCATGTTTCGATATTATTGACATCGTCCTTTGAAACGGTGGAAACTTGCGTTGACCTATAAAGTTTCACAAGTAACGTTAGCTTTCCCGGAGAGGCCTCGAGAGAAGCTAACGTCAGTGCATGCTAATAGCATACTAGCTAACCAAATATGCCCTGCCTACCGTTTCCAGCTGCGAGAGAAAGTCAACCGCGTCCCACAGCTGTCAGACGGGGGTTCAGCCTGAAGATCAGAAACACCTGTAGCTAACAACACTTGATCCAGGACACGGTCCCCGGGTCTGCTTACCTATAGTGGAGATGAAGGTTGTGTTGAAGGCGTCGTCAGAGAAGCGGAACAGCACACAGGTCTTCCCCACGCCCGAGTCCCCGATCAGAAGCAGCTTGAACAGCAAGTCGTACGTCTTCTTCGCCATTGAATAATAGCTTGTGTTGACCCGGAAAAGATACAAAAAAGCGGAATACCTAGCACGCGTAAGTAGAGTCTAGAGCCGGCTCCTTTGTCAGCCTGACCAACTGCCCCGCTCCTCTTGACTGTGAAACAGTTAACGATCTGGGATGTGTTGATTAGCTTGGCAAGCTAGTTGGCTAAAAAAACCTCCAAAATAACGTGCCCGAGAAGTTGTTTTCCAAATGACTGCTTCTCCCCTTAGAGCATTAGAGCAGAAAGCGAAAAATAGAATCTCATCTCGTGTGATTCCTCTTTTCCACTCTTTCTTTTCTCCCACACAGTCGGGACAAAATGGCTCCTCGCTCTCTCTCTCTACCCAGACTCACTCTTTCTTCAAACTAACGGCGAGCTAATTCAAATTCCCAGCACACCCCGTCATTCCAGAGCCCTGCCACAAGCTGGACAAGGAAGAATTTGAAAAATATCTCAACGTGGAAGTCTGTTGAATTCACTGTCTATTCGGAGTTATTCCGCTTTTTTTCTGGCGAGATTACAACCGAAACACAGACGACCGCCGTCGCCTTCGTATGGGAGCCTCCGCGGCGACACCCTAGGCCCACAGTCCCGCCTTTGTCCCGCCCCCTCTGTCAAATTACACGCCTCCGATTGGCTGACCTCGCTGTCATGTTTTTAAATACTCAAATATCATTGGCTATTTTCTCACACATCTAGAGGTAAAAGGCGTTTTTTAGATTGACAGAAATGGCAAATGTTTCTGCGTAAAGTGGTCGGACATTTAGGCTCAGCGCCCGCATCACTTCACAGAACAAAAACGCTTCTAATGATCCAATATGGCGACCGGTTTCTTGCGGATCTTTGTTAACCGGGGTGTGTTTGAGTTTTCATGGCAAGCTGGCATTTGATACGGTGACTATCCCAGCTGTGAGTCACGCAAAGTGATGTCATATATACTTCTGTGCTTGTTACGGGCGTTTCCCACATCCTCTGCACTGTGAACTGTGGGGATATATATCCCCTAAAGTGTTTTAATAACTGAAAACACACCGAGAGAGTATGCATGTACACACAACCTTAGTGTGGGCTCTTTGTGTGCGTTTGTGTGGCTCTTTCCTTCTTCCGTTTGTCAGAGTAGTTTGACTCTCAAGACACTCCTTAGGAATGTTGCGCATGCCCTGCTTTCTACGGCCGAGTACAGACACGACACAAAGGGAAAAAAGAAAGACAAGGCATTGAGAAAGACAGATGTGAAGAAGGAAAGAACTGAAGCAATGCAGGAAGAACTTTATAAAGACATACCTCAAAGATTTAATGGAATGTTAAAAGAAATGGGAGTAAATCTGAGAAAAGACTGGGATGCAAAGCAGTGCACGTTATTACAAATAGTATATGTATGTATATACATGCAGATTTCATTTGTATTATTATTCAGCGGTTCACTATTAGAACTTTCAACAAATAGACTAAGTGGAAAATCACAACTGCATTCTGTACATGCAGGGGGAGAAATGAAGAACAGCTTCTTCAACCTCTCTGTACTTCATCAACCATCCAGTGTTTTCATTGAAAAGTTCCGAGCCACACATTACAGCACAACCAAAAAGAGAAGGAAGTGGCAGCTAGTAACATAAACCAGCCCATGGAAAGTCTTAAACAGATGTTACAGAGGTTAGACATGTGATACACAAAACAATTGTTGCATGTTAGCGCACAGTTTTTCACTGGGCTGAACCACGAACTGTCATTGTTTAAATGAGGAACATCAAAATGTTTCCCACAAAATGTTGTTGAATTCCTACTCTCAAAAAGTTACGTAATCCTTGTTTTTTCAAAAAATCATGCTGTGACACAAAAATCCTCCCAGGTCAGAATGCATTCCTGTATTTTGCTGCATGGGGCCCCAGGGTTCCTCTCACACTCCCACACACCTCCAGAGACTGCCACTCAAAGCGCTGTTTTCTCTGTAATAATTATGTGCCTGTTAGGAGGGATTCTGTTTCCACATGTGCTCTTTGACAGCTGAACCAGATGTCTTCATGGTTTGATTTTTACGTGAGCATTTTGGCCTTCAATCAATAGTGAACAGTGAAGCGTGCCAGGAAAAGAGAGGGGAGGGCAGAGAGGGAGACTATCGCTGACTGTAGCTCATCTCATAGTCATGTTAATCGCTCGGCCACCAGGACGTCCCAATTGCATCGTAAGTTTAGCTTAAGCCTGTTAGATGAAAACAAATGAACAAGTGAATTAATCGGGGTAGTTGATTGAAGTGCTGCACAGACCGGGTATGGAGTGCGGCCTTATAGCTGCAGACAATGTCAATGGCCTGTTGTATTTGAAACAACCGGCAAATACCTACGCTGGTTACGCCCCTCAACTTCTGGCCCAGACCGACAGGATCTATGGGATTATTTTTAATTTTTTGAGAATATTTTGGCTGCCGCAAAGTCCCTGTTTGTCTTGTGTTTCCTGCCCTGCCATCGAAGTAAACGCCCCGTCTCTGTCACATGAAACGTTTTAATAAACAAGAAATGACATGGGGCCCATGCTAAGGCAAATCACAAAACAGACTTCCCCTACCCTCATGTTATAGAGGACTCCAGGGCGGTGGCTGTAGACAGAACAATTAATGTGGAGACGTAACACAGAAAGTCCCTTTGGGCCGAAAGGTTGACATTTTTAAAGAGAGAACAGGAAAACAGCATCAGCACCTTGGACAGAGACACATCACTATTCCCATTTAGCTGAGCCTTTGCATTTTGTGTTCAGCCAAGTCTTCCCCCGGGCTCAATGCACAATTCCTGAAACCTAGTTTTATTAAAAGGGAAATACTGTGTGAGAAGTGGTTTCCGTTTTAATAGGAATAACAGAGAAACCCCTCTTAGGTTACACCTGGAAACAATCACGTTGGCTCACATGACTCTCCAGGCCTCCTTCAGTCAAAGGGCCTGCCCGCAGGTCTTAGTGTATTGCAAACTTATTTCACCTGGTGGTGCTATTGCGTCGTGAATAAACTGTTAAATACTTTAAGACTTTTATTAATCAAGTTTGTTTTTGGTCCCCGTGTTCTCAGTTTAGGAGTCAGGTTATATGACAACAGGAAACTAGCTTCAAAACCTTACTGGTGATACAACAAGCCTATGGCAGTTTAAATTTCTTGCAACATCTTTACTTACTTTATTTATAACGTAAACTCAAGGTACTGTATGTTTTTCAAGCGGGTTGTAATTTAGAGAGAGAAGATGCAGCGTTTTTCAAGCAATGCTCTTGAGAAAACTTTTACAATCATATACATCAAATAGAATAAACCATTACCCTAGTGGTTTTGGAGAGATTTGAGATTTTAAATGATTGTACAGTCGTATAGTTTGCCAGCAACATCAAAGGGTTGTCAGAATGTTTTAAGAATCATTAAAAATCAGTAGACATAGTCAGAGGAACCTTTACACTTTGCTCAAGACGGCCGTAGAAAAAATATACGGTTTCATACAACTAAACTTCATTTCCCATGATCCTTTCTTTCACTCCGCAGTGATGTGGGGCGTGGTACGTGAACGTGTGTGTGTGTGCGTGTGTGTGCGTGTGTGTGTGTGTGTGTGTGTGTGTGTGTGTGTGTGTGTGTGTGTGTGTGTGTGTGTGTGTGTGCGGGTTTGCGTACAGTAGGGGAGCTCCGTTTCTCCGCACAGACGGAGAGCCCGCAAGCGCACCTCGGAGCATCGGTGAGCGGCGGACAGCGGGATGCGGCACGGCGGCGTGTAGCGGATCTACCAACACCAAACCAGTGGACCTCAATATATATTTTTATCGTCGATATTGATGGATTTTTCTTTTTTTTTCCCCTCACCGAGTGAGTCAGACGTGGATCTGCAATGAAGCGTCGATCCAATGCGTGAGAGCTGCTGACTGTCTGTGCATCCGTGAGCTAATATCCCAGACAATAAGCACAGGGAATTATCCATTAGGCGCAGTGGCATGTTTTATGAATTATGTCGGTGGTTAGAGGAGTATGTGTTATTTAATGCTTCGTCTATTTTATTCATGATATGACCCAGAACCATTCTGCATTTGTCATTAATGATTTTGATATTGAAAAATCAATTGATTCACAATTCACAGGCAGACAGGCTAATTAAAGGCACCATTGCACCGCAGCGTGTCCTATTTTTTGTTTTTTTTGCAAACAGAAGCCAGACATGTCAAAAAATAAGAGCAGCGAGTCAGTCAAGGTGGTAGTTCGATGCCGTCCTTTGAACCGGAAGGAGGAGTCCCACGGGCCTGCGGGGGGCATCGTGCAAATGGACGTGCGGCTCGGACAGGTGATCCTCAGAAACCCTCGAGCGCCAGCCAGCGAGCCCCAGAAAACATTCACCTTCGACGCGGTTTACGATGGAAACTCCAAACAGGGAGACCTGTATGACGAGAGCGTGCGCCCGCTGATAGATTCGGTGCTTGCAGGGTTCAATGGCACCATATTTGCGTACGGACAAACAGGAACCGGGAAGACGTACACCATGCAGGGGGCGTGGATGGACCCGGAGAAACGAGGCGTGATCCCCAACGCTTTCGACCACATCTTCACGCACATATCCCGCTCGCAGTCCGACAAGCAGTACCTGGTGCGGGCGTCCTACCTCGAGATCTACCTGGAGGAGGTTCTGGATCTCCTCGATCCCAACCACGGCACCGCCAGAGCCCTGGAGCTCCGGGAGAGCCCGGAGTCCGGGGTGTACGTGCGTGACCTCACATCGTGCGTCTGCAAGAGCATCAAGGAGATCGAGGAGGTGATGAACGTGGGCAACCAGGCGAGGGCGGTGGGGGCCACGGACATGAACGAGCACTCGTCTCGGTCCCACGCCTTGTTCCTGATCACAGTGGAGTGCAGCCAGCCCGGACCCGACGGGAGGAAACACATCCGGGTCGGCCGACTCAATCTGGTGGATCTGGCTGGCAGCGAGCGCCAAGCCAAGACGGGCGTCCAGGGAGAGCGCCTGAAGGAGGCCGCCAAGATCAACCTCTCCTTGTCGGCGCTGGGGAACGTGATCTCAGCTCTGGCGGACGGGCGCAGCGGCCACGTGCCGTACCGGGACTCCAAACTCACCCGGCTGCTGCAGGACTCTTTGGGCGGGAATGCAAAGACCGTCATGGTCGCCACCTTGGGCCCGGCCCCCCAGCACTACGACGAGACCCTCACCACCCTCCGCTACGCCAACCGGGCCAAGAACATCCAGAACCAACCCAGAGTCAACGAGGACCCCAAGGATGCTCTCCTGCGCGAGTTCCAGATGGAGATTGCTCGCCTCAGGGCCCAGCTCCACCACAGGAAGTGGAGGAGCAAACAGAAGAAGGAGCAGGTGGACGGCGACGGCTGGGAGAGAGACGGCGATGAAGAGTCTGAGGGTGAGGAGGATGAGGAGGAAGGGGTTGAGAAGGAGGCGGAGGAGTACGTGAAGATGGAGGAGCAGCGGTTGGAGAGGGAAAAACAGGACATCAGAGAAGATCAATTCATGTTGGCGGATGAGAAGCAGAGGCTCCTGGGAGAGAAGGAGAGGATGATGGGAGTTCTGCGGAAGGAGCAAGAAGCCACCGAGCAACTGACCGCCAAGTACAAGGTGAGAGAAATTTAAACATGCACAGAGGTACGTTTCCTAAAAACACAGAATATGGAAAAACAACAAACAAGACCCATAATGCTCTGCTCATGTTTTAAATGGGAGCCACTCATGGTTTCATATTTCCCCCGCATTCTCTCTTCTACACACACACACACACACACACACACACACACACACACACACACACACACACACACACACACACACACACACACACACACAATAACCAGGCCAAATCAGATTATGGACATCCTTGGGATTATCTATATAAGTGTGATAATCTGATGAGCTGTTATTAAGGGACATTACAACACAAACAGCTTCATTTCCGGTTACATCTCAGTGTGTGTGTGTGTGCAAGGAAATGAGGTTTTAGTAAAGAATAAACTTTGATTAGGTTTTGATTAAGCTTTGAGACTTGAAAACTACACAATTGTCTAAGTAAATACAGCAGACGCTGTAATATTCTAACTTTATTTCCTTAGTATGAATCCAGCACTTTCACGACTAATTACTTACATTGGTATGATTTTATATGGTTCACATTCCCTCTTGTTGAATATCTCTTTTCTCCATTTACATTACGCTCAATAAAGCCAAATAATCCAAAAAGCCTCACTTGCCTCGCTCTGTGGCCATTGTCTGCAAAATATATATATTTTTAAACTAATCTCTACATAACAGTCTAGTCTGGTAAATCATTAACTCCATTTGTCTACAAAGAGATAATGCAACTGACTCCTGCACCAGTGGTTCAAATAACTGGCAATATGTATTTTGGAATCTGCTTCTCATTCCACACGGTCTGGTCGGATGTCTCGCACGTCCATACAGGAACTGGTGACCATTGTAGCTTGAAATGTCAATTCCCTCTTTTGCCATAAACACTAGTGCACACACAGCAATCAAAGACTGAGTCAGAGCTACATGAATGACTCACTCTGATTCATGGGCCCATCCAGTCAATATGTCATCCACGGAGAATGACTGGGTGACGGCAGTCCATACTGATGTAGCTGCAGCCTGGGTCATCCGACACGAGGAACTAGATCAGCTCACCCAGCTGCAGAGGCACAATTGTGCCAAAATGAAAGGAGGAAAAATTGATCTTCAGCGGGGACAATGGAAGAGCAGGTTGAGGTTGTATCCCTGCTAGTCTCCTCCTTTTCCGTTGATTTGTTGATACTCTGTGCATGTGCTCTCACTTTGCTCTCACGGACCAGTAATGCCGGGGTAATATACAGTTTGTATTTTACAGTGTAGAAAGGTTAAAAAGTAAAAGCTGACATTCATTTCTTAACACACTATAGAAAATAAGTTTCAATTGTGAAGTAACAGTAAACAATATAGTGCTTAACTGTGGAGTTTGACTGTTTTGAGGTTTTTGTGGACAGGATATTACGACCGTCTAAAATTCCTTAAATTGGCAAGAAATTTTGGGGTTGATGCAATATAGTAAGCTTAAGCTGTGTTAACACGCTCTAGTTTTTGCGTCATGTTTAATGTTACTCTTTTTCATTCTGAGTGAAGGTATTAGGGTCTGTGAAATCCCTGTGAGACACGGCTAATGTTTGTCCTGAAGCGATGCCCTTCACGCTGAGTGCTTCTGTGTACGTTGGTGCATCTCGTATTTCCTCCCATCACGCTGTCCTCTTTAAAGTGTCTCGGTGGCTCATGTATTTTATGCTTAATCATGCGAAATCTTTTTGTGATCACGCTGCACAGTTTCGAGGGCCTTTGTCGCTGCGTTTTTGTTTACTTGCAACTGTTTCTGTCAGCGCTGAGATTCAGCAAAAGCACCACCCCCCCACACACACACACACACACACACACCATCCCCCTCCCCTGCCCCCACCCTCCACGAGGAAGACGATAAACAACAACTGGCATTTCCTGCCTTTGATTCATCAGAAGGAAAACCAGCATATGGCCAAAGGAATATTTTTGTTTAGTCTAAGAGGCAAATTTAGTGATTTTATGTAGGTTTCTTATTGTCAACAAATCCCATAAATACACTCATCAATGTTGTCAAAAAGGAATACTATTGCATGGGACATTGTGGGCCTTCATTTCCACAAACACAGTATTTATTTTGAATTATCCCACACAGCTGAATTAGATGGAAACTATGGAAAATTTTAGAACCTAGTTAGCTAGTTACCTATAATTAAATATAAGAATATATATTTGTGAGTCGTTTTGTTCAAAGGTTGTTCACAGTAGGAACAAATGGGCTTGAAAGAAGATTATCCAGCTCAAATTACCGAGATGATTGACATCAGGCTATCTCGGTTCCTCGAAGGCGGATCGGTGCTCAAAAAGTCTCGTTAGTTTGAACCAGATGTCAATCATCAGGATAATTGCGCGTGCGCGTCCTACATTAGAAGGCGGGAGAGTCGATCACCGAAAAAAGGCTTTTTAACAGTATAACGGCAAACAAACTTAAAGGAAGAGCGTCTTTTTTCTCCGCTGACGAGAAGCAAATGATCATGAACACATATGAGGAGACAATGTGTGAATTGAAATCATTTCTGTGGGATGAATTGAACGTATTATACATATTTTACGTTGTTCATTCTGTACGTCCATCGCAGTCTGTCCGTCCCAGGGAGGATCATCCTGTGTCTCTCTAAAGGTTTCTTCCCTTTATTCTCCCCATCGAATACTTTTTCATTGTTTGGGGAGTTTTTCCTGTGCCGATGTGAGGGTTTCTGGACAGAGGATGTCACATGTGTACAGACTGTAAAGTCCTCTGAGGCAAATGTGGGATATTGTGCGATATAAAATAAAACAAAAAGAATTATATTATCATGGCAACAGCTGACACCGCCCCCCTGCGAGGCTACAAGCCCGACAAAGAATCGCACAAGTTAACGTTAAATGCGTGAGTGTTGTATGTATGTATGTATGTATGTATGTATGTATGTATGTATGTATAGGCCCAGACCAAATCACGTGAAAACGTAAAAGTATTTAATGGACTAAAAAAGGTTGGAAAACAATGTCTGGAACGCTACCAAGCCAGGGACATAAAAAAACGACCTCAAAATAGCCAGAAAAAGTGCACCATGACTGAAACATGTAGTCGAGGATTAGATATATAACTCGAATATGTCTATCCTACGGTTTCAACAAGTGTTTTCTTTCTTTTGCCATTGGAGGAGGGGCTTCTGCATCCTGCAAGCTGAAATACAGCCAGAATGCATGGACAGCAACAATGAGAGTAATTCAGACAAACTCAACAGGCATGTCTGCACATACATACTGTCTGCGTACATATCAGCTTTCCACACTGCATAGCAGACGACCATTTCAGCCTGCTGAATGTCTTCTAAACACACACACGTACATGCATGACATCATGGCTAAAATGACTGTTTCCTGTTTATGAAGCTGACTTCCTGTGTAATTAGTGAAGGGAAAAGTCTGTACAAGGAGGAAGGCTGTGTGTGTGTGTGTGTGTGTGTGTGTGTGTGTGTGTGTGTGTTTGTGTGTGTATTTGCTAATGAACAAGAAGAGCTCATCATTGCATCTATCTTTCAGCATGGAAGTCACAATCACTGAATTATGGATGAATCAACTGTGTGCGTTTGCATGTGTGTGTGTTCATGAACTAAGTATCCAGTCATTTGATCAGTGGAGAAAGCAGAACCATATTATAAATAATATGAGGAGACAAACAGTAAACAGTGAAAATAAAATGTCCTAATATTCATCTTATGAGAAGATGACGGAGGAGGGATGTAATGTTGCTTATTTGCACTGTTGCGTTTTAGAAACACTGCCTCTTAAAATGAAGTCCTTTGAATCATCATCAGAAATATTGACCTAAAAATAGTACACCAGCCATACTTTCATAGCTCATCTGAATAAATAACAATAATAAGTCATATGACAAAGGATATTTTTCATTCTGCATCTTCAGATGCATCTGGTCTTGTGGTTCATTAGGGCTTGAAGGAGATCGCTGACAGTGAGCTAATGGTAGAAAGATTCCAGGCTTTAAGTTGTGGCTCCTGAAGTGGTTTTTGCATCGACTAGTGATGATGAAACAGAATGAAACAGATTCTAAAAGATAACCTGACATTTGTCTGTCTTTCAGGCTCAGTAGTGTCTTCTTACACCCCCCCCCCCCCCCCTCTCCCCCTCCCCTCTCTCCTGCTTCCATGTCTCCGTCTCTGCAGCATGCTGCCCGTCTCTCTGCTGCACACACCGGAGCCGTCGTCACATTATATTTATAACCCGGTTGCTCCCTGCAGGCCCCTGGCCTCACTGTGATTGGCTGGCTGATGCGGTTGAGTCGGCTCAATGAGCAACACTTGCCATCACTTTTCCCACCACGAAATGGATTAGTCACCAACAAAAGAGGTTGAGCCCGTATTTTATACACAGAGCATCCATATGTCCACATGCTCACAAATACACACTCACAAGCTTCAGGAAAAGCAGTTACTATCACTTCTGTCTGCAGTCAACAGCCTAATGGCTCCTTTCACAAAACATAAAACCAGACGAATGTACTGCACACTGGAGTGAAAAACATTTTTTTCAATTTATTAAAATAGCTCTGAATTTACAGAGATTACTTCTGCGGTGGAGTCGACGATGGTCATCTCCTTATTGAAGATTGGCTCTCGGATAGAGAGAGATAAATAGACCCTGACCACCAATCATCCTTTTTAACTCCTTCAAAAACACATTGATGTTTTTGTAAAAACCAAAAAATCAAAGAAGCAACACAATGCTGTTCAATGGACGCAGTCAAAGTTAAACGAGGTGGACATTGTGTGTTTTGATAACTGGTTTTACCTCAAACTACGTGTTTTACACCAATCTACCTTCCTGCAATGCTGCTGTATATTGCAGACCTTATGGATCGATTTAGAATAAGTTAAGACTTTTACCACAGTAGTCTCAGCTGAAACAACTCTTTTATCCCAGGCATGTATTCTAGCATTACTAAAAGGAGCTCACACAGCCAAGCAATCAATTAATTAATATCAGGTGTTGTGAACTGCTGGTCAAACAACAAACCATAACGCAGAAATTCAGCCCAATCTAAAATCTACCGGGCATGATTCTGGTTAATGAAGCCCCCCCCCCGGTTCTACCATTGTTGTTGTCGGAGAGCTTCTGGTCACCCCCAGACTGTCAAAAAGTCACACTAGGGCAGCGGCCTTCCAAAGGCCTCCTTTAACGTCGACGGGCTGCTGACTCCAATGCAAACTCCTCCGTGTAATAACCATGGCAACGGATGTAGGGTTGATGAATGGTCCAGTGTTTGTGTCCCATGTGAATCCAGAAGTTCTATCAGATCATGTTGCCTGCACAGAGGAGGAAATGATAGCGTTGCCACATGGTAGACCACGATGAGAGTTTAAATCTATAAATTGCACAGATAGACATTGTAAGATGTTTAATCTGCTTTATTGATCGAGCGAATGAGAAAGCAGGACTGAGTTGTGGAGACAGGAAGGTTTATAATGACATTAGAAAGAAACTGAATCTCTACTGTGACCTTAAGAGAGCATCAGACATCCTGACTGCTTCTCTTTGTGTGTGTGCGTGTGTGTGTGTGTGTGTGTGTGTGTGTGTGAGAGATACACAGAAACATCAATCGGCGTGGATGCCTGGCAACACAATAATGACTTGAATGAAAAGTGACTTGTCTCTCATTTGATGGAAGGTGATTTTTATCTTCATCTCAGTGACAGCTGCCTCACCTTAACGTTGAATACATGGTTCCTATTGCCTAATGTCTGTAGACAACATTTTAAGATCTAAATTGCCTCGTTGCATTGGTTGAAATTTAACAACTGGGTGTTTTTTTTGTAAAACTTAGCAGTTTAAATTCTACGTTATAGTTTGTATATTTATATGCATGGCATTCTTTAGAATATCGCTTTGTCATCCGATTTATAAATTGGTGTAATGAGCAACGAGTTAATTGTATATTTTGCCAACTCCTCCATTTCAGAAAGGCCTGTTTGTAAAGGATTTGTATCCATCCAACCAAGGAGAAGGGACCCGGGATGCATGTGCAGGGAAAATCTGTGACATGAATATAAGCCCTTTAATGAAGCTGAAAGAGTATAACAAAACACAAAGAGCAGCAAACCAGGCAGCCTCACACACATGCACACAAAAGACAAAAGACAGCACAAAACAAAGATTCTTTCTGTAAAGACCTGCTGCAGATGCCTCCTCTCTGAAGGACTCCACTGTACTCTGTGCACGGGTCTGGGAGTGTGTTTTTGTGCGTGTATGTGCTAGTGATAAAGAATGTGTAGGCTGCACACAGTTGACACACACTGTCTTTTTGTATAAAGTCGTGAGACTGGAATGTGGCCGACACAAAATGGCCATGGCCCTGTTTGCCTTTCTTGGGTTCCTTTTTTCTCCCTTTCTTTAAAGTATATATATATTTTACATTTTCTTTCTCTTCGCTCCCTATTCTGTTTCTTGTCGCTGACATTTTAGATTTCTCTCATTCGCCACGCAGTGTGTGTGATCATGTGTTTGATTCATCTACAACATAGATTGCATCACTGTGACCTCAGGCTTTTAATCTCCCTCATAACCAAAATACATGAAATCCTAAGGATTCTTCGTCAGATAACACACACACATTCAATCAAATCTGCAGGTTAGTTTTTCACGTTAAAGGTAAAATTATAACTAGAAGTCAGGCAGAGCAAACATCACAAAGGCTACCCGATGTTTCAAACTTGTTGGTTTAATCTTAAGATCACACAACAATAATACCGGCCCACACGTGACTGATGATGGTGTTTTATGAAAGGTTCAAGGGATAAAAAATGTTATAATTCGTTAGTGCTAAATGTTGTGGCAATTGATCCCATATGTCAGAAAAAAACTGGTGGTGGTACTAGTTGAAAAGTCAAGAGATCCTCAAATTCCGTGTGAATCATCCTCTGAGGAACATGAATGTCTTCACAAAATCTTATGGCAATCCATCGTATGGCGGTCGTGATATCTCAGTCCGGACCAAAGTGTTAATCGGACACTTTTGAACGTGGCTCCTGTCTGATGTGCTACAAAGCATCGAGCCGAGCTCAGCTGGTTGTGGATGGTGTCATCGCGAATGTTAAGCTGCCCACTTCCAGCTCCGTCCGCCCCGTCAGCACAATATCCGCCCGACTGCAGCTCCTGCAGACATAAACCCTCGCACAGACTTAACTGTTATGAACTCAGCTTGACCTCAGGAGAGGCGCTCCGTCCATGTCTCTGGAAACTGTTGCCTGAATATAAGTTCAAGCTTTGTTTTTGGTCTTCTCAGGCGATGGAGAGCAAGCTGCTGGTCGGCGGGAAGAACATCATCGATCACACCAACGAGCAGCAGAAGATGCTGGAGGGGAAAAGGCACGAGATTGCTGAGCAGGTAAAACTGTGTGTTTGTACAAATGCATCATTCGTATTTTTCAAAATGGAGCTTTGATGTGGGGGTTTACTTGTTTAACTCAATGATGCAACCGCAAACAGCAGAAAGGTGACATTGTGTTAAATGCTTTCAGACACGCAGCGAGAGGGAGATACAGCAGCAGATGTTGGTCCAGGACGAAGAGACAGTGGAGCTGAGGGAGACTTTCACTTCACTGCAACAGGAGGTGGAGGCCAAGACCAAGAAACTCAAGAAGGTTCCCAGATTCTTTATGTACATCTAAGAATGAAATTCTGAAGATGCTCATTTATACATGCAGCAAGTGCATACACATTTCTAAAATAAAAACAGACAGACACATTTCTCATGCACACACATATCCACCTTCTCTCTTGTTTTTCCCTAATGTCAGTATATCCCTCTTTACCCCTCTTTGACCCCTGCCCTGGATCCTAATGGCCCCCCCTGCCTTGGACACATGGTCCGTTCGGACACACACTTTATTCTCAGTACCTCAAGGTTTGTCCTGCCGTCCCCTCCTTCTTGCTGGACCCTTCGCCGTCGCTCCGTCACTCCCTATGGCCACTTTCTATCTCGGGCCTCCTCACGCTTCTCATGCTAACCTTCTCAATCTGTGTGCCGTCCCGTGTCAACCAGTATGGGAGCTGCTGGTAAATCCTTCAAATAACCCTCCCAACCGTATGAACCCGTCCCGCGGCTCAACTTGCTTGCCGATTCCAGAGCGACTAACCCCAAACAAACCGAAGTGTGTGTGTGTATGTATCTGACAATGTGATAAATGATACGTCGATGATCTTTGCTGCCCTGGTTTCCCTAACATGTCCCATTTACCCTTCTGTCACTGCATGGGGCCGTTTCTTTAAAGAAAAGAAGGAGAATGAAGATTAGATTGACTCACATTCAGACTGAGGGGTTGCTTGATAAAATCATGGAGCTTTTCTAAAGCCCTCTTTGGACTTTAAAGGCCGTCTCCTGTTTGTTGACCATTAATAGCGCTGTGGATTTTAAGAACATCCACAAAACCTGCTGCTCTGAATAGATATCACAGTGAATCATAGAACATAAAAACAACTATTGCTCAGATATAATTTCCTTTGTAGTCATGAAGCAAGGTGACATTTACCATATTTTACAACTATACAAGCACACAACACCTTCCGCCCAGACAACAGGAACTGTGTAGTTCTGTGTGTTTGGACACACTCGAACCCGAGAAGACAGGAGTAACTCGGTCTCTTCTCGACACTCTTGTGTTATCCAGGAAAAGAAGACACCATCTCCTGCTTTAATCCAAACAAATTTGTCCAAATGGGTCTGTTTATGTGATGCAATCAAAAATGAAGACGGCCTCTTTTGGAACTAACATTTGCTGCTCTGGTTGGGTTTTGTGCCTCATTCACAGCAGAAAATTCTCTCGCACCCATTATTTGAGTTTGATGAAATGCGTCTTTTAATTTGAATTAAAATTGCTGGACATTGTAGTATTTTGAACTTCATCTGTCTCTTGGTGGCAATTGTTAGTCAAGCTACTTTAAAGATTTGAGAGACTTGTCGCTTTTGATGAATTCACATTTACGCCTTTCAATCTACCACCAAATATTGAGAGAAGTCTAAACCCAAAGAAAGCATCAGCCCAGACATCTTTTAATTCATCACAGATAACGTTCTGATCATGCCTTTGTGCACTGGATTCATTAGCATAGTCTACATTCCTGCTTTGTTTTAAAATATTCCAATTTTTATCATCAAATCCAATTTTTGAAATGCCAAAAAACAGGCTGCTAGCACACAAAGTGAGTGACGAGCTGCTTCTCGGGGGTTTCGATTCTTCCTCGAAGGTGAGTGTGAACGCTCATGAGCACAGCAGGAAAGAGGAGGAACGAGCCAGAGAGAGCGAGGGCTGCTGCTTCGCCGTGCTCCCATTGGATGCCATTTTCTCCAGACACCAGTGCCTCCAGTGCCGTTGCTACGGGCAACCGAGCCGCAGTTTGTCAGCGACTCTGCGCCGCACTCGGCGATGTCTCTCCTCCTCAGCCACTCCGTTTGTGTCTCTCCCTCCCTCCTTCTAGCTTTACGCCAAGCTCCAGTGCATCAAAGCGGAGATCCAGGACGTGAACGACGAGCACGTGAGGAGCCGACAGGAGCTGGAACAGACTCAGAACGAGCTCACCAGAGAGCTCAAGTTCAAGTGAGTCGAAAAAGAAAAGCGCAAAGGAGTCTGCAGAATCAGCAGATATTCCCGGATGGTTCAGCAAACACATCAGATAGAGATGTCATGGGTCCGTACACAGGCAGATGCTGACAGATGCTGAATTAAGGGATGAAAGTGCAAAACGTCAAATATGATTTTGTGCAACATTCTGTTCAGTCAGTGCAAGAAACACATTTATGTCTCATTTATTAGCATTCTGTTTTTGCAGACATGACACAGTTTGCTTATACAAAGTACATTTTTAAAGTTAAAAAAAAAACGTTCTAACAAGTTAAAACAAACCAAGGGAGAGAAAACTGGAAAGGAAAATATGTGTCTTCGTAGGCAATGCGCAATGATCCTTATCTACGTCTCACAAAAGTCTAAAAATTGACCTAGAAAAAGAAGAGTCATTAAATACAAGAAAAGAAAGCACATTATTAATTATTATTACAATTTAAATGCTGGGTCTTCTGCACATGCAGGTATCTGATCATAGAAAACTTCATCCCCCCAGAGGAGAAGAATAAGATCATGAACCGACTGACCTTTGACACCGAAGAGGATCAGTGGAAGTTTCAGCCCCTTGTTCCTGCTGAAAGGTCAGACGTTGAGATATTATTCCCATCGAATAATAAGTCCATCAGGTGGAAATGATGGACTCAAAAATGTGTTTAATTTCATTCTAGGTTCGAGACCTTTCGCTGTTCAGTGTGTCACAGTTTATCGCTTTTTCTCTGCTTTCTTTCCTGTTTTCCTTCACTACTAATAAAGCAAAATAACCCGTTCAAAAGTACTTTTGATGAGCTGTTGTGGCGTTATTCATGACTGGAAAGAAAGCTACGTCGTATTTATTTAATAGGAGATCACATTGATTTGGCATTGACCCCCCCGTCTTTTCCACTTCTCAGTAAATCCTTACAGATGAAGAAAAGGCCGGCGTCTGCAGTTGGTTACAAACGACCAATCAGCCAGTATGCCAGGGTTGCCATAGCGACGGGAGCTCACTCCAGATACAGAGTAGGGAGCGTGTGTGTGTGTGTGTGTGCGTATATATATTAATCACTCTATATATTATACACATATATGATATGTATATATATATATATATATATATATATATATATATATATATATATATATATATATATATATATATATATATATATGATGACACGGTGAAGTCTGGCGAAAATAAAAGACAATCACTAGTACATAAGCAGCATGTTGGGAAGCAATAATCAATTATACAATATATTCATCATTGTAAATGTTGCAAGAAGAGGCGGCACAGAAACCGCTTGATCCCTCTTAATATTTAACCTGGACAGAAGGGATTAAAAAAAATTACTTTTGAACCCTGGCACTGAAGCTCGCAAAGCCCTGTGTACGATAGTGAGATTAGTCCTAAAAGAGATTTGCAGCCGGCTCACTTTGTGTATATACGTGTGTGTCCATGTGTGTGTCTGCAGGCTGAGAACATCATGTTTCTGGAGCTCGACATGACTCCTCCAAACTCCGCCTCACTGGATCGCTCGGCGGAGTCGGAGCAGAAACAAAGTCTCTCTCTGGACAACTCGCCCACAAAGGACCGAAGCGTCTGCAAGTCTCGCTCCTGGTGAGCCTGAATCCCGAACAACAACTATTTTATCTTCAACACTGCACTTTATTTATGTCATTTGAGAGATCTTTTTGTACAAACAATAGAACCAATATTATTCAATACTCATATATATGAATATTCACTATTCATCTTAATTCCACTGTTAATTATAATATCCCTTTATACAAATGAGGCCTCAGTGTGTGTTAAATTCTGCTTTTACTAGCCCGTATCTAACTAGTGTAAATGGTTTAGAGTCAATGCATCTCCAAATGGGATTATTCAGGATTAGCCACACCCTCTCTAGGCTGTCATAATCTGGTGGTTTATCTCTTATTTACTCAGAAGCCTGTGATATCAATACTGCTGAATAATCCTATTAACCTGTGTTCAAATTATATGCAAAGGCGGAAATTATACATTAACAATATTTAAAAATATCTAATTCCTGCTAATTTCTTTTTTTATGCAGGTGCCAGACTCCAAAATCCATCACATCCTCCTCTTCCAATGTCTCCCTGGCAGCACGTCACACTGCCACACCGATGACCGCGCAGTAAAGCTTTAACAGAGAGGGTTTCTTTTTTTAAATTCTTATTTATTCAATTTGTCCTTCTTTTTCTTCTTTCTGCTTTGGCCAGTGATCCTTTTAAACACCTCTTCAGCTGGGACACAAACGCAAACCTCCACCTCTTTCAGTCCAAAGAGGTGATAAACTAAAGTAGGAAGTGATCTACAGGAAGCTAAATGACCTGATGAACCTCAGAAACTCTATAAAACACAACTTCCTGCTGCTCTACGGATGTAAAATCGCTCCAGAACCCTTTCGTCCTTTGCATGAGCCTCGGATCATCCTTTTAAAGCAACTGGCTGCAGTGCTGTACTGCCTAGACTCTAGATGTGTGTATGTGTGTACAGGGTTGTATGATTTCCTCTTTGTGTGTGTAAATGTGATCGATGCAGATCTAAAAGCTCACAAACTGCTTGAATCCCCTGTAACATACCAGTGTACATATTTCATGTATGTGGTCTGTTTTTTTGTGTAAAGGGGGAGTCAGCTGGATGAGAAATGATGGAACATATGATGTGAGCTGTTGTTGGTCAGACTGGGTGCCCTGAACCCTGAATGATGATCTTTATCAGTTGTGTCTCGTTATTCCTCATTGTGTCCTCCACTCCTTCTGATTGAAAAGCAAAGCCTTACAATAATCCCATTAAAATAAAAATGTTTCACTCACATCAGGTCAACAGGAAAAGGCCACCAAGACACTTCAACGACTGACGAAAATATCCGTCTTTTAGATATGAGCTTTATTCAACAATTGAATTACCTTAGTAACGACACTAGGTGGAAACAATAGTTTGATAACATCTCAAGGTCTGCCTACTTGCTTTTTCCTGAACTAGATTAGATCTATTCAATGAATGGATTTTTTGTTGTTGTTAAAACACGTCTAATTATATACCCTAAGTCACCAGATAACGCACAAGTTAAACAAACTCAAACCTACTTACCAAAAAAAGCAAACTAAAGCAGGACTGAGATTTAAATAAAGACAACCTCTGTCCTCCAGGTGTAAAAAAATCAGTGGAAAAGCAAACACCTTTTCCTCTGAATGCTAATAGAGACTCAGGTACGGCAGTTTTGCATAAAGCGTCACACCTTCTCTAAGATCGCCTGGTTTGCTGTTCAGTCAGCAGTCGGCTGTGTACAGTTTAGTGTCACTGGGTTCTTTACTTGCTGGAGGTCAAGCGCAGGCAGTGGGGGTCAGTCAGACTAATTATCACTGTATTATTAATGCCAGAGATCCTGTTGCTGCTGAAAACCCTGATAGATGTGAGGGAGCACAAGGCATTCACTCACCAGTGTAAAGAAAGAAAGGTCAGATTTCTTTTTTAACCATTTTTTTCTACAGAACTTGATACGTGACATTTCTTGATTCCTAATTTGCGGAATGTTTGACGAACCAAATCTACAACCATATCCTCTGATGGTGTATCAGAAACATGTGCTTGTGGAAATTCACAGAATTGTATTGAGATGTCTGTGACAGAGCATTTTAGAGGCCTGTGACATTTACTGCAAATAGCTGGTTCCGTGACAGAAAAGGGGATGAATACTAACTAATGATTGATTGAGAAAATTAAATATAATAATAATTAATTGGAAAAATGTCTCAAACATTTGCAGATGCACAGTGAGGATTTTATATGTTCAGGCATCGGACCCAGTCTGTGTCTGAGGCTTTATGAAAATGTGTCTAATGGAAGTTAAAACATTTGATGAAGAGTCACCACAAATGGAAGTGATTCCAGTGAGTTGGTGCACAGTATCTATATGAAAGAATTTATTGTACGTTCAGACATTTCGGGGTGCTGTTCTTCAGAGAAAGCCATTGCGATACTAATATTCAAGCAAGAAATAAAGAATGAAATGAAAATATCTACTTGAAATGTTTACCTGCTATTTATTTGGCCAGTGTGTAACACAGCACCTGCCTCAAAATACGTATTCTAGACATATTTGGGGAGACAGTGATATAAGGATGAACAAGATTTGCCTAATATTATTAACAAAACAAACAGTCATTCCAGGCTGTTGTCTAATCAATGTTGCCTCTACACGTGGATCATTTATAAACATCTGTTCCGGTTAGTCAGTGGAACCATTCATGTGCAGGGCTGTAAAACGTTGTATAAATGTGTCTGTGTGAAGGCTGTTGGGGAGGAGGGAGGATGCCAATGGAAGAGGGGGGGAGGGACGGATGGATGGATGCTGGTATCCAAAGACAATCAGGAAGGGACTGTGGAGGCGGTGGATACTCTAGCCTGTTTCCATGGTAACCTGCCAGTGAAGGATGTTGGGACGGGGAATGGATTGGGGGCTGGGGGGGGTTATGTGTCTATGTGTATGTAACATGGTGGTCCAGTGGAGCTGAGCTCATCTCCGGCTGACAAAAAAATAAAAAAATAAAATAAAAGGCAGTTTAATCATTTTTAGATATCTGTAAATGAATGGCAACACATTTTTATCAAGAGCACAGATATTTAGTTACATTTTGTTTGGTGGGATTCATTCAAGCTTCCTTGGAGCAGAAGCCTCACTCCTATGCACCGAAAAACATGCAACATTTATGATGCTATCCAAAATACACACAACCAAAACATCCTGTAACTATGACACTGTGCAACACACCAGCAAGCTCCCGAATATGACTTCCTACAGCAAGCAGGAAGTTACGGGTTGTTCCAGCATTGGAGCCTACATGCGCCAAGAGTCAATGAAACAACCATATCGGTTGTGTTGTATTTCGATGTCGGACTTTTGAGTGAAATGTCTTGACAACAACACATGATTTGCAGAATTAATTAAAATAACTCATTTCTAGCGCCCTCATCAGGCCCAAATTGATCCTTAGACCATATCTTAGTGGCATTACGGCCTCAGAGTCTCGATCTTGTTTAAATTCTTTTGTATGACCCTACTCTCTTTTGAGAAGAACAAAGTGTACGTTAATGTATCATGTATCAAATAAATTAATAAATCAACTTCTTCCTTCAGGACTACTTGAGGCTCTAGCAGTTGAGCACCATGAAACAAAGGAAACAAAAGGACGTTACTTCCTCTTTGAATGCGGTTTACTTTTAATGTATGTAAAAATGGCATGACTTTATGACACAACATTTGAAAATAATAAGTATTAATTAACTTTGTGGAAAACATTACAATAATAGTAAAAAATAAGTGTAGATTACTTTTGCAATGGTGTCACCTGGCTGGTTGTGTGAAGGTAAGAATGCAAAATAGGTTATGATAAAAACCTATAATGAAAGATAATGCTGGGTAAAATGTTCGCATTCAATTGTTAGTAATCCTACAGGTTTTGAATGAAACACTTATATCAGGGAATTATCTGCATTCATGCACTTACCCAGACGCACACACAAACACACTCACACACACAAGTATATAAATTCACCAATGTAATCGGAGTCTGATTAGCAGTTGACGTGCAGAAGCCACTGAGATCTCTTCTTCTTCCTCTTCATTCTGCTTCACCCTCCAGTCTGTTCACATTTAATATTTCATGAGCAGAGAGCTGCTATATTAGGACACGGGTTTTATCCATTCACCCACATAATGCATTAAGCATTAGATGAGACCTGTTCATATTTACCAATTAGGTATCAATATCATCAATCCCAATACAAAATCCGGCTTTGGATATCAGACAAAAGATGTTTGTGAGTTGTTATTCTTACAAAAACACCTCACGGTCATCGAGCGGTGATGACCTAATTCCCTATTTTCAGTAACTCACACTAATCGGTCCTATACATCCAGTTTATAATGGACCACTCATTACATTTTTATGAATTCATGAATCATTATTTTTCTCTCATCTGTCAGAGGCTCTGGAACTGAATGCTGCATTGCTGCACATTGATCCTGGCTGGGAAAGTGGTATTTTGGTATGGTATTTTTTTTATTGGAGTCATTTTACTAACTGTGCTGGTGCTGCCCTCTGCTGTAAGAAAAGAAATCATTGGGCAACTTGGGTTCCATCTCAAGGCTTATTTTCATCCGTAAAATAATAGAAAACCTTTTCTTAAATACTCTTTGAATGGGCAGTTTTGTTTATGAACACTGGACATACAAGTGGATGCATCATTAAGATCCTACTCATTTGTTACCAAATCGATCACTTAATGTCACAATTGGTGCCTCTCAAGTCACACAGATTCATTTCTGTTGATATTGTAGTTATGAGAAGCGATAAACACATAATTTTTCATACTCTGTGACTACTGTGTAGCATCCCTTCAACTTGGAATAAACAGGCTTGGGAGTGTTTCCACTCACTCTCTGGGAACCGTCACCTTATCGTGGTGGAGAGGTTTGTGTGTCCCTATGAACCTGAGGGCTGTGTTGTCGGGAGCCTTGTGCTCCTGGTAGGGTTACCCTTGGCAAAGTGGTCTCAGGCGAGGGGCCAGACTAAGAATGGTTCAAGACCCCCATGAAAAAACGGAAGAGGGAAGGAGTTACCCGGCCCGGAGTAAGCCCGGGGCCCCCATTTGGAGCCAGGCCCAGATGGAGGGCCCGACAGCGAGCGTCTGGTGGCCGGGTTTACCGCGGAGCCCGGCCGGGCACAGCCCGAAGGAGTGACGCGGCAGCCCAACACTCTACTCCCCATGGGCTCACCACCTGTGGAGGAAACCGATGGGGTCGGGTGCGCTGCTACAAGGGTGGCAGTGACAGTGGGGGGTCTAGACGGAACAGACCTGGGCGGCAGATGCTGGCTCTGGGGACGTGGAACGTAACCTATCTGGGGGGGAAGGAGCCGGAGCTTGTGCGGGAGGTGGAGCGTTATCAGTTGGATCTGGTGGGGCTTACCTCTACGCACAGCCTCGGCTCTGGAACCAAACTCCTGGATAGGGGGTGGACTCTATTCTACTCCGGAGTGGCCCATGGTGTGAGGCGCCAGGCGGGTGTGGGGATACTCATAAGTCCCCGGCTGACTGCTACATTGGAGTTTACCCCAGTGGACAAAAGGGTCGCCTCCCTACGCCTTCGGGTGGTGGGGGGGAAAACTCTGACTGTTGTCTGTGCATATGCACCAAACAGCAGCTCAGAGTATTCGGCCTTTTTGGAGACCCTGAATGGAGTCCTGCATGGGGCTCCTGTAGGGGACTCCATAGTCCTACTGGGAGACTTCAATGCGCACGTGGGCGACGATGGAGATAACTGGAGAGGCGTGATTGGGAGGAATGGCCTCCCTGATCTGAACCCGAGCGGGTGTTTGTTACTGGACTTCTGTGCTAGTCACGGATTGTCCATAACAAACACCATGTTCGAACATAAGGATGTTCATAAGTGTACGTGGTACCAGAGCACCCTAGGCCAAAGATCAATGATCGATTTTGTAATCGTATCGTCTGATCTGAGGCCGCATGTTCTGGACACTCGGGTAAAGAGAGGGGCAGAGCTGTCAACTGATCACCATCTGGTTGTGAGCTGGGTCAGAGGATGGGGGAAGACTCGGGACAGACCCGGTAAACCCAAGCGTGTAGTGAGGGTGAACTGGGAACGTCTGGAGGAGGCCCCGGTCCAAAAGATTTTCAACTCACACCTCCGGCGGAGCTTCTCTCACATTCCTGTGGAGGTAGGGGACATTGAACCAGAGTGGTCTATGTTCAAAACCTCCATTGCTGAAGCCGCGGCGGTGAGTTGTGGCCTCAAGGTCTTAGGTGCATCAAGGGGCGGTAACCCTCGAACTCCGTGGTGGACACCGGTGGTCAGGGAAGCCGTCCGACTGAAGAAGGAGGCCTTCCGGGTTATGATATCCGGTGGGACTCCAGAGGCAGTTGCAGTGTACCGACAGGCTCGAAGGGCAGCAGCCTCTGCCGTGATGGAGGCAAAGCAGCGAGTATGGGAGGAGTTCGGGGTAACTATGGAGAAGGACTTTCGGTCGGCACCAAAGTGTTTTTGGAAGACCATCCGGCACCTCAGGAGGGGGAAACGGGGAACCATCCAAGCTGTGTACAGTAAGGATGGGACCCTGTTGACCGCGACTGAGGAGGTTATCTGGCGGTGGAAGGAACACTTTGAGGAACTCCTGAACCCAACTACTACGCCCTCTTTGGTGGAGGCGGAGCTGGAGGCGGAGGAGGGATCATCGTCAATTAGCCTGGTGGAAGTCACTGAGGTAGTCAAACAACTCCGCAGTGGCAAAGCCCCGGGGATTGATGAGATCCGTCCAGAGATGCTAAAAGCAATGGGTGTTGGGGGGTTGTCTTGGATGACACGCCTCTTCAACATTGCGTGGAAGTCTGGGACAGTGCCAAAAGAGTGGCAGATCGGGGTGGTGGTACCCCTCTTCAAAAAGGGGGACCAGAGAGTGTGTGCCAATTACAGGGGTATCACACTACTCAGCCTCCCGGGTAAAGTCTACTCTAAGGTGCTGGAAAGGAGGGTTCGGCCGATAGTCGAACCAAGGATTGAAGAGGAACAATGCGGTTTTCGTCCTGGTCGTGGAACAACGGACCAGCTCTTCACTCTTTCCAGGATCATAGAGGGGGCTTGGGAGTATGCTCAACCAGTCTACATGTGTTTTGTGGACTTGGAGAAGGCGTATGACCGGGTCCCCCGAGAGATACTGTGGGAGGTGCTGCGGGAGTACGGGGTAAGGGGGTCCTTGCTTGGGGCCATCCAATCCTTGTACGCCCAAAGCGAGAGCTGTGTTCGGGTGCTCGGCAGTAAGTCGAAGGCGTTTCCGGTGGGGGTTGGCCTTCGCCAGGGCTGCGCCTTGTCACCAATCTTGTTTGTGGTCTTCATGGACAGGATATCGAGGCGTAGTCGGGGGGAGGAGGGTCTACAGTTCGGGGGGCTGCGGATCTCATCGCTGCTTTTTGCAGATGATGTGGTCCTGATGGCATCTTCCGTCTGTGACCTCCAACTCTCACTGGAGCGTTTCGCAGTCGAGTGTGAAGCGGTCGGGATGAGGATTAGCACCTCTAAATCTGAGACCATGGTTCTCAGCAGGAAACCGATGGATTGCCTACTCCAGGTAGGGAATGTGTCCTTACCCCAAGTGAAGGAGTTCAAGTACCTCGGGGTCTTGTTCACGAGTGAGGGGAAGATGGAGTGTGAGTTTGGCCGGAGAATCGGAGCAGCGGGGGCGGTATTGCACTCGCTTTACCGCACCGTTGTGACAAAAAGAGAGCTGAGCCGGAAGGCAAAGCTCTCGATCTACCGGTCAATCTTCGTTCCTACCCTCACCTATGGTCATGAAGGATGGGTCATGACCGAAAGAACTAGGTCACGGGTACAAGCGGCCGAAATGGGTTTCCTCAGGAGAGTGGCTGGCGTCTCCCTTAGGGATAGGGTGAGAAGCTCAGCCATTCGCGAGGAGCTCGGAGTAGAGCCGCTGCTCCTTTGCGTCGAAAGGAGCCAGTTGAGGTGGTTTGGGCATCTGGTGAGGATGCCCCCTGGGCGCCTCCCTAGGGAGGTGTTTCAGGCACGGCCAGCTGGGAAGAGGCCCCGGGGAAGACCCAGGACTAGGTGGAGAGATTATATCTCTGCACTGGCCTGGGAACGCCTTGGGATCCCCCAGTCAGAGCTGGTAGATGTGGCCCGGGAAAGGGAAGTTTGGGGTCCCCTGCTGGAGCTGTTGCCCCCGCGACCCGACCCCGGATAAGCGGTTGAAGATGGATGGATGGATGGATGGATGGATGGGAGTGTTTCCAGACGGGTGTACTTTAATTCAGATGAGTGTGCATAGCACCAACACCAACATCAACACCGTGAAAACTAAAAAGGGAAATAACAAAGGCAATTTAGCCAGATACAAAATAATCCTTTGACAAATGCACTTTAGCATACATGGATAACAGCATAGCAGGCAACAGTCATTATATAAAATGAATTTACATGAAATACAATTACAATGAACCACATACCTCGCTCCGCATATCAAAGGGTGCTATAAAGTGGTAATCCAGGGAAGTCCGCCGCCATTAGCTTAATGTATTAAGTTGCTAGCTAGCTTCTCGTGTCTTCTATTAAACAGATGTGAGCATGAGCGCGAGCGATTAATCACGTGAGCGGATAACATGATGTCAAAATAAAAGTCACATAAAATCTAAGTAGGAAACAGGATCATCAAAATAAAAGAACACTGCTAGTGGTCATTTACACTCTGTAACTGATGACAACGCATGTGTTTATAATATGCGTTAAATGCTGAACATCCTATCGTTGTACACCAGTGGGGCAGAATAAATGTGACTCAGGTCACACAAAGTGAAAGGGTTGGACGGTGAGATGCAGCCGTATCGTCACATTAAGTCTGTCACCGTACATTTAATGCAGACTTTGCAAGGTAAATGAACTATGCATGAATGTCTGCGGGTACAGTCAGTTTACTACATAGATCTACAAAATAAAAGTGTTTACGATCTGAAGAAATATCTAAATGAATGAAACATAAAACAAATATGTAGATATCTCCATAAAGCTCACATGGAGGCCACTTATTGCTTTCATGTGTATGAAACTGATTTGCAATTTTCAGATCTCAATCCAGCTCAGTGCCCCCCCCACACCCACCAAGGCCTTTGAAAGTCTTCTAAGCTCTTGCCTTATGAGATGACAGTTAACGACAAATAATCTTATTCATAATATGAATATGAAAACGAAAAGAAGCAATTGATAAATAAACCAGGTTGGTAACATAGTCTCTGACATTCCTCTGATCTAATTTTTTTTAATGTACCATCTAAAATCTTGATTCTGTTTCTTTCTAAAGAACACCAACGAGCCCTCTTCTTTGATTACCAGTCTTTCTTTTTTCATACAAAGTGAAATCATACAGAGATTAAACAAATCAACATCACATGGTCTTTGTGTTTCATTTCTTACAATTCTCTAGTTGTTCCAAACAGAGAAATCTAACAGAGACACATTATAGAGTCCAGAAGGAAATTCACACCTGAGCTCCGCCACAGGACTAAGAAGGGTCGCGTTGGTCTTCCTCAGCCAAGTCAGAAAGCCCTTCAGGTTTGAATCGCAGTGGAAACGGTTCATTTTAAGGTTGAGGAAGCTTAGAAAGCGAAACGCGTCGGGGTCAGGGGAGGCTACAAAGTTGTTGGAGAGGTTGAGTACTTTCAGACTATTTGGTAGCACATCAGGCCGCAGATAGGTCAAGCTGTTGAACGAGAGGTCCATCTCTGCTACTGAGGTGAGGCCCTTGAAAAGGCCCCAAGGGAGAGACTGCAGTGCATTGAAGCTCAAGTTCAGAGCGATCACGCGTCCAAAATTGTCAAACAGATTCAAGCACCTCCCCTGAGACCACATGGACTGCAGGGAACTGCTGTGAAGATCCAGAACCTGGACATTGTTCAAACCAACTGCTGGAACCCGTCCACTGATCGTACACCATTGGATTGGGTTTCCTCCGTAGAAGAGACGCTGGAGCTGTTTCAGATGAGTTGAAAGCATGGTGACGTGCCCCAGGTTCGTCAAGCGGTTGTCCTTGATGTCCAGATGCATAACATTACCGGCAAAACGCGCAAGAGCGCTGACCGGTAACGACTTGAGTTTATTGTCATTCAACATGAGATAATCTAATCTTGGGAGAGATGCGGGGAAGCCAAAGTCTCGCAGAGAGTTTCCTGTTAGATATAATGCTTTCAGTTGTGGAAGTCCACTGAATGAGTCGTAGCCCAGAACACCAATGTGATTAAAAGACAAGTCCAACACTCTCAGGTTTGTCAGGGAAGCAAAAGTGTGAGACTGGATATCCCCCAGCAGGTTGTGTGATAGGTTGAGCATTCTTTATGCGTGGAGGATGTGATACTTTATGTCAATTAATAATGATTTGCACCGGCCACTGAGGAGGATCTTGTGTGTGTGTGTGCTACCCTCAGCTTCACCTGGGTTCTTATCTCAACCTGCTTTGTAGCTTCTCGTAACTGGCACGGAGAATGTTCTTCACATGTGTATAAAAACTCAGCGTTTTCACTGCTCGGAGACGTCATTACACCGAGCGCTGAGATACGTGCTGGTGTGTTGGACCTCCTGCTTGCAAGCAATAGTTAGAGCCAGATATCTGCAGAGAATTAACACGCAACATTATATATATTATACTAGACAATTGTATAGTGATGTGATGGTGGCGTCAAGGTACAAGACCTTGATTAGGATACTTGCATGTAAGATGATTACATATTAAGGGTTTGGTGACCTGGCACAAATGCACATTTTGTTAAGACCTAAACTCGTAACTTGTGAGATATCAATGATGGCAAACCATTCAGAAAGCACAATGCGCTGCGTTCGTGCAGCACATTTTTCAACCTACTGACACAGATGTATAGAGCTTGTTGCGTTTAAAGATGACAAGCTTCAGATGTCTAGAATTGCCAGTTCAATCGATAACTTCCGAGTGTGATTGTTTCCATTGTGCTTTCTGAATGGTTTGCCATCATTGCTGTCTCACAGGTTACGAGTTTAGGTCTCCGGGGGTTCCTGTTGCGTGGTCCATCACAAACAGATTTGAACAGTTCGCACCAAACACACAAAGCTTAGGTGAGTAGTGTCTATTTTTTTATTTAATTTTTATCTTGCCTGGCCATGAAACAGTCGAGCAATTAAATATTGTGAATTGCTAGATAGGACACCTAAGTTTTACTCCAACTCTATGAATGTAGAGAACCTCCGTCTCCATGGCATGGGTCAACAGCGTTTAATACAGCGTTTTAACAAAATGTGCATTTGTGCCAGGTCACCAAACCCTTAATATGTAATCATCTTACATGCAAGTATCCTAATCAAGGTACAAGCGCCACCAGCATATCACTATACAATTGTCTAGTATAATATATATAATGTTGGAAATATTCCATCATATACGTCATCATATATCTTGCCTGGCCATGAAGCAGTCGAGCAATTAAATATTGTGAGTTGCTAGATTAGGACACCCAATCATAATGATGATCATAAACTTTTATTTCCAGGGGTACTTATAAGGCAAATAAATCAGACAATATCAAAATCCTACGAAAATAAAATGGAATTAAATACTGTGTCAGTGGACCTTGTTTTTTATGATATGATTTCATAATTATTTTATTATAACCTAAACTTAACCCCTTTTGGCCGCTCAGTCGACTGGCCTCTCTTCACTTGCAACGTAAACAAATACAAAAGGTGCAAAGCAAGAACTTGAAGATGGAGAAATGAAGGCTGCACAAATTCGCGGAGAGACAGGAAATAATGATCAAATGTGTGTGTTTGTGTGTGTCTTCTGAGTAAATACGCACATATGATTTCGATTCGATTTTTTTTGGTCTGTTTGTTTAAGTGCCTCACACTATAAGAGAACACTTTATGTGTTTATAGCGCCAATTATTAGTCACTCACAGGGTTACGGCAAAAATCACATCTCGGCTGTGCCTTTGCAAGTTATACAAGTAATCATCTGCGTTACGTTTCACATGGACCAATTAAAATCGAGATATCGCTGGACATTTGCGCGGTGACGTCACTACGCCAGCCACGTTGTAAGGCTAATCCCCGCGAAATTCAAAGTCAATATGACGGCGGTGTTCAACGATATCACCGATCTGAGACGAGTTTACACCGCTGCGATCGACGTCTTCACGAGGAAACGGCGGCGGGTGGATTTTACGTACAAACAATCGACTGATCGGTGAGTCAGAAACTAAACTTCGGGGTTAATATTCAAGTGTGGTGCTGACGGTCCGACCGGCGACCGGTACCCGGCGAGGGGGCGGCGCTGACGGTCCGGCGGCGCTAGTCGGACACCTGCGGCGGGCAGGATGCGGCCGCGAGACTGAGACACCTGCCCTCACCAGCGCTGTTGTGGTTTTCATTCAACAGATTCTGTACAACCCGTCATCCAACTGTTCGTCTAACTAACGTACGGCTCCCAGACTCCTGCACAAGTCGACAAAATAGTCTTTACCAGGTGGGAGATGACCGTGCAGCTTGAGAATTCATCGTGTCAGCCTTGAAATTAAATACCTGCAATTAAATACTGTGACTTTGTCAGTGGACCTTGTTTTTTATGATATGATTTCATAATTATTCTATTGAATATATTTCCATTATTTGAAATCGTTTCATGGCAATCTGCCTTTGTAAAAAGTCTGCTGTCGTATTTTACTACTGCTTTAGTAATGATACATCACTCACTCGGAGTAAAAACCCTTGGCTCCATGGGTGACTGCAACCTAAACTTAACCCCTTTAGGCCGCTCAGCCGACTGGCTTCTCTTCACTTGCGTCCGGATACAGGACCATCGTTATTGCATAGAAAGAAAATGACCAAATAAAGCAGTATCCCAGATCTGTTTGCTATCTGAACGTATTTGGTTGGTTTACTGTGACTGATTATCCTAAATGATATTAGATTGTAAATACAGATCCATCAAAGTGTATGCTAATTCTAGCAGGCTATACACTTTTCCAGCATATTGTTTGTCTGGCTTCTAAATGTGTGCACGCGTACAAAAATGATACGTTACTGCCTTTCTGTTTAGAAAGGTTTACTTTGTTAAGTGACTTTTATTGCTTTCTGAGGCAAAACTGGCTTATTGTAACATAATATACAGTCAATAAAAGACTGGCTCAGTGCCCCGTGCTCCTTCCCCACAGCCAGGGGCCTCCAGAATCACGCAAACTCCCTGCAGGTCGGTGACACAAAGTGACTAGCAAAATAACGCAGGAAACCTTGGTGGGTTTTTTCTGCAAGCTCAAAAATATCTTTATCCAATGAAACAACATTAACAGATTGAGGCTGAATAATAAACATTTGACATTGTTATTACTTCTGATTCCAATTCTCCAATATAAAACATGTGTTTTATTACTCACGTAATAACCTTACAATAATCAATAAAATGACTGTTCTCCATCCTCTTGTCATATTCGATGTAAAAGCGAATTGTAAAATCAGGCATCGATGAGAATTACATATTTGGTCATTTTCTTTCTATGCAATAACGATGGTCCTGTATCCGGACGCAAGTGAAGAGAAGCCAGTCGGCTGAGCGGCCTAAAGGGGTTAAGTTTAGGTTGCAGTCACCCATGGAGCCAAGGGTTTTTACTCCGAGTGAGTGATGTATCATTACTAAAGCAGTAGTAAAATACGACAGCAGACTTTTTACAAAGGCAATCTGTGATTGCCATGAAACGATTTCAAATAATGGAAATAAATTCAATAAAATAATTATGAAATCATATCATAAAAAACAAGGTCCACTGACAAAGTCACAGTATTTAATTGCAGGTATTTAATTTCAAGGCTGGCACGATGAATTCTCAAGCTGCACGGTCATCTCCCACCTGGTAAAGACTATTTTGTCGACTTGTGCAGGAGTGTCCGAGGCTGGGAGCCGTACGTTAGTTAGACGAACAGTTGGATGACGGGTTGTACAGAATCTGTTGAATGAAAACCACAACAGCGCTGGTGAGGGCAGGTGTCTCGGTTGCTTTTATTTCCCAAACCAGTAGTGAAAAGCCGTGAGTGTAAACTCGTCTCAGATCGGTGATATCGTTGAACACCGCCGTCATATTGACTTTGAATTTCGCGGGGATTAGCCTTACAACGTAGCTGGCGTAGTGACGTCACCGCGCAAATGTCCAGCAATATCTCGATTTTAATTGGTCCATGTGAAACGTAACGCAGATGATTACTTGTATAACTTGCAAAGGCACAGCCGAGATGTGATTTTCGCCGTAACCCTGTGAGTGACTAATAATTGGCGCTATAAACACATAAAGTGTTCTCTTATAGTGTGAGGCACTTAAACAAACAGACAAAAAAAATCGAATCCAGTCGCCCAATGAGGAAGTAATACAAGTTTTGAGAATCTGCATCTATCCACCATATTATATTCAACTATATGATAACCAACAAGTAAATTTGTTGAAAAGAGGGCAGGGGGAGGGCATTTCAGACCAGAATATCACTGTGCACTTTTCATAGTTCTACCAAAAGGTTTTGAAAAACCTGGTATGTACAATGCAATGAGCAGTTTTTAAACTCTTTGTGCTATATATTTTCATAGACCCAAATATATTTTCATAGACACAGATAACATGAAAAAGCTCATCATTTTGCAACAGGGAAGTTGAATATCTTGTGCGTTCTTACGTAGAGGATATTGCAAGCTGCAAATGTATTTACTTACCCAATAAATAATATTGTCTGCATATATTTAGAATCCTTTCATTGCCTTAAATGGAGTAACTGCACGTGCAATTAGAACCAAAAACCAATAATAAGAAACGTGAGCATTATTTAACAGAACGACGCTCCAGTGTGTGAGCTCTTTTCACAATGCACGTAGCACCCTCTTGTGGCCGAGTTCTCACACTACATCTAACGCATTGACCTATAAACATTCTTTTTTTTAAGTCTTCAGTCAAGGTAAGTGTAGGATATTAAGAAACAAATATACGACCCGGTTCATAAAATTAATTTTAAAAAATGCATATAGTGTACAGCAGAATACAGCCATGATTCTAAAATTGTGTAATCAATAAAGTAATGACAATATTGTAAAACCTCTGTAATTTTGCAACTGTAATAGAATAATACCAATATACAGTTATGATTGTATTTAATGTAATAACTTTCACACCTTTAAGCATTGTTAAAAATACCTGTAGGAACCATTGTTCTCGAGTTCGCTGGTGGAGGCAACAGACGGGCACTAGGGATGGTCAAAAGGACTGACCTGGGGCCTGTTGATTGCTGAGACCAGCGGCTCCTCAGCTGAGATGTTCTTTTTACCACAACGCCATCTCTTTTATTAAATACATTTGATTTTAACCTTTTGATCAGCGCTGACCTCTGTCCGTCCGGCGTTTCTTCGTTTTTGAATACAACAATTTGGTGACCCCGACGTGATGAGAGCAATGGACGGAGGGAGGAACAGCTGATCTGAACAAAGCCCAGCGATCGATTTTCTTCACTCACACGGCGCCATCGAAAAGGTAACCGGCAACCAGTTGTCTTAAAACCGAAATGCTGAATAGTTTATCATAGAACATTTAGGTGTGAGTGGACAAGATACCAACAGAGCTACGACCGATCACCGCTTTAAGACAAGGAACGTTGTTGCATTTCACCCTTTATTATGCATTTTGTTGTGCTTGGCTTGGCTCCTTGGTCAAAGCAATGCAAATGTGTGTACATTATTTCTTCGGCCTGTTGTTAAATTAATGCAGTAACCATAAGCCAATGAAAACACAAATTGACACTGAGGAGACAGTGGTGGACTTGTGGACCAGTAATACAAAATAAAACCAAGCATTTTTTTCCAAAGCTATTTTAGTATTAATGTCATCTAATACGATTCTACATGGATCCTTCCTGGGATGCACGCTACATAATAAGCACGAGCAGGTTTACAGCTTAAGTGTGTATATGTGTACATGTGTGCGTGTGTTTGTACGTACCACTCCCCTCTCCCAAATGACACTCATCCTGTCCTGGACTCCAGCCACTCCGTGAGGGATCTTTGTGAAGTCGTCTTTGCCCAAAGCCCTCTGCTTGATGCTAAATGGACGGTGCTCTGATGCCACAACACTCAGAGAGTCGCTGGAAACAAGATGAATGTTATTGGTCCAAATCATCACTAAGCATCGACCCTGCTACGTCTTTGATATCACTGCTGTATTTTAGGAGCACGTCCCACTTTGTACTGAGCACATACTTTCCCAGCAGGCCCATGAGGTAGCCTGGCGTGTTGGGGTCGAGGCGGAGAGGAGGGACGACAACGTGGGCGGCAGCATGAACCCAGTCCTGACGGTAATACTGCATCCCGTTCAGCACGGCGTGAGCCACCGTGGTCTCTGCGTGGACCACCTTACCTGCAGGGACAAACAAAGAACATCGGTTACAAGAAGACAATCTGCTTCACGTCGTTGCCACTGTCAGAATCTTTAATTCAAATTACCTTGCATCGAAATTCATATTTCAGTTCTTTTGCTGTCCAAAGAAAAACTACAGTATGTGTGTGTATTCTGCATATTTCTCCTTAAGGGAATTAACATTTCACCGTAGAACATTTTGTGCATCTACATCCAGCCAGTTTAAACCCCTAAATCGAGAACTAGAACTCCCCCTTTTGTCAATATCAAGCTTCAAATCTAACTTTCAAACACATATTTCATACCCTTGATAATGTGATATTATTGTCATTTAAGCATACCAAAAGGAAATACAACATGGAATCCAAACAAGGTCATGACTAAATGTGATAATGAATAACCTTTGATATTAATTTACTCTGGTCGACTTATTTCGATACCCTCCGGTCCACTGAAGCCTTGTTTCTGCAACATTTCAAAACGCACACACAAGTGATGACAGAATCCAAATGTTGGCTCCTAAAATGTGAAAACTAGCTGTCTAGTATGTAAAGAATCCACAATGAATGACAGACACACAACAAGTATTTTTCCTGTGCTGGACATTCAAAGAAGAAACACAGGCATGTGTGGGGGTTGTGTGGTGTGCACCTCTGCCACCAGCTCTCCGTTCTCAGCGTGGACTCGAGCGACGGCCCCGATGTCTTTACAGGTCTGCAGCGTCTGGTAGAGCTCCGAGTCCCTGAGCATCATCGTATCTTTGTAGGCCATGAACATCTGGAAAGAGTTCACTCCGTGCTCCCTCACCAGGGTCTCCATCTCGCTACGCACCTAAACACAGGACAAAGGTCAGGGGTCAAAGGGAGAGGTTTGGTTTTATGTTTTGTAAGTTGCAGCCAGAAAGAGATAATATTGGATTCACATTAGTGAAAATCAGAAGCCGCACAAACAAACACATTCACTCACTCATGGGGGGTGAACAGTGAAACGTATATTTATAAGTGTGAGGTCTGTTAAAAACTGGCAGTTCATGAGGTTCAGTAACACGTGAATGAATCATCACGACTAAATATATGCATTGGTTTTAGTCGACATTGCATCAGGGAATTTTGCGAACATTTTCTGACCTTCAATAGACAAATAATTGATCAGTTGAAGATTAGATTAGGTTACGGTGAGTGATACAAACGGGGATGTTATTAACAACTAGATTTGCTTATAGATGATAAATTTAGCATATGACCCAGCACACACATTAACAGTAGTGATGCAGTGCTGTTCAGGCAGGACCAGCGCCATGACCATGGTGTCTCCACCCATCAGAGCCGCAGGTGAGGTGAGGAGGGTGAGGCAGGAACGATGGGAGGCAGAGGAGGTGTTGATGATGATTCGTTCTACCGTATTAGTAATAGTGTAATTATTTGTATTTACCTGTACTATGCATTTTTGTGGAGCTCTGCTTCTAATGTCTCCACTACCTGAAATAATCCAAACTGTTTGAAAATAACAGAACAATCTATTGGCTCGTATTTCCCCTTCAACAACACAAAACACGTCAGTGACATAGAGGAGGTCAGGTCAGGTCAGGTGAACTCTGAATGACCTTATTCTCCTGACACCACGTTCCGCGTTCCAGTGACGTTTGGTGAGGTCAGTAAGTGACATATCGCCGCTAGTTATAGGGAACACGTCATTACCCACAATGCAATGGGGTCAGCGTTTGGCCCCTTTCAGACCCAATAACGTGAAAAATAAAGTATTTAATGCCATTAAAACGTTGGAAAATAATGTATTGGACGTTACCAAGCCATGGACATCAAAAAAAAAAGAAAAGAAAACGATATTCAGTTACATTTTGTTTGGTGGGATTCATTCAAGCTTCCTTGGAGCAGAAGCCTCCCTCCTATGCACCGAAAAACATGCAACATTTATGATGCTATCCAAAATACACACAACCAAAACATCCTGTAACTATGACACTGTGCAACACACCAGCAAGCTCCCGAATGTGACTTCCTACAGCAAGCAGGAAGTTACGGGTTGTTCCGGCATTGGAGCCTACATGCGCCAAGAGTCAATGAAACAACCATATCGGTTGTGTTGTATTTCGATGTCGGACTTTTGAGTGAAATGTCTTGACAACAACACATGATTTGCAGAATTAATTAAAATAACTCATTTCTAGCACCCTCATCAGGCCCAAATTGATCCTTAGACCATATCTTAGTGGCATTACGGCCTCAGAATCTCGATCTTGTTTAAATTCTTTTGTATGACCCTACTCTCTTTTGAGAAGAACAAAGTGTACGTTAATGCATCATGTATCAAATAAATTAATAAATCAACTTCTTCCTTCAGGACTACTTGAGGCTCTAGCAGTTGAGCACCATGAAACAAAGGAAACAAAAGGACGTTACTTCCTCTTTGAATGCGGTTTACTTTTAATGTATGTAAAAATGGCATGACTTTATGACACAACATTTGAAAATAATAAGTATTAATTAACTTTGTGGAAAACATTACAATAATAGTAAAAAATAAGTGTAGATTACTTTTGCAATGGTGTCACCTGGCTGGTTGTGTGAAGGTAAGAATGCAAAATAGGTTATGATAAAAACCTATAATGAAAGATAATGCTGGGTAAAATGTTCGCATTCAATTGTTAGTAATCCTACAGGTTTTGAATGAAACACTTATGTCAGGGAATTATCTGCATTCATGCACTTACCCAGACGCACACACAAACACACTCACACACACAAGTATATAAATTCACCAATGTAATCGGAGTCTGATTAGCAGTTGACGTGCAGAAGCCACTGAGATCTCTTCTTCTTCCTCTTCATTCTGCTTCACCCTCCAGTCTGTTCACATTTAATATTTCATGAGCAGAGAGCTGCTATATTAGGACACGGGTTTTATCCATTCACCCACATAATGCATTAAGCATTAGATGAGACCTGTTCATATTTACCAATTAGGTATCAATATCATCAATCCCAATACAAAATCCGGCTTTGGATATCAGACAAAAGATGTTTGTGAGTTGTTATTCTTACAAAAACACCTCACGGTCATCGAGCGGTGATGACCTAATTCCCTATTTTCAGTAACTCACACTAATCGGTCCTATACATCCAGTTTATAATGGACCACTCATTACATTTTTATGAATTCATGAATCCCTATTTTTCTCTCATCTGTCAGAGGCTCTGGAACTGAATGCTGCATTGCTGCACATTGATCCTGGCTGGGAAAGTGGTATTTTGGTATGGTATTTTTTTTATTGGAGTCATTTTACTAACTGTGCTGGTGCTGCCCTCTGCTGTAAGAAAAGAAATCATTGGGCAACTTGGGTTCCATCTCAAGGCTTATTTTCATCCGTAAAATAATAGACAACCTTTTCTTAAATACTCTTTGAATGGGCAGTTTTGTTTATGAACACTGGACATACAAGTGGATGCATCATTAAGATCCTACTCATTTTTTAACAAATCGATCACTTAATGTCACAATTGGTGCCTCTCAAGTCACACAGATTCATTTCTGTTGATATTGTAGTTATGAGAAGCGATAAACACATCATTTTTCATACTCTGTAACTGATGACAACGCATGTGTTTATAATATGCGTTAAATGCTGAACATCCTATCGTTGTACACCACTGGGGCAGAATAAATGTGACTCAGGTCACACAAAGTGAAAGGGTTGGACGGTGAGATGCAGCCGTATCGTCACATTAAGTCTGTCACCGTACATTTAATGCAGACTTTGCAAGGTAAATGAACTATGCATGAATGTCTGCGGGTACAGTCAGTTTACTACATAGATCTACAAAATAAAAGTGTTTACGATCTGAAGAAATATCTAAATGAATGAAACATAAAACAAATATGTAGATATCTCCATAAAGCTCACATGGAGGCCACTTATTGCTTTCATGTGTATGAAACTGATTTGCAATTTTCAGATCTCAATCCAGCTCAGTGCCCCCCCCACACCCACCAAGGCCTTTGAAAGTCTTCTAAGCTCTTGCCTTATGAGATGACAGTTAACGACAAATAATCTTATTCATAATATGAATATGAAAACGAAAAGAAGCAATTGATAAATAAACCAGGTTGGTAACATAGTCTCTGACATTCCTCTGATCTAATTTTTTTTAATGTACCATCTAAAATCTTGATTCTGTTTCTTTCTAAAGAACACCAACGAGCCCTCTTCTTTGATTACCAGTCTTTCTTTTTTCATACAAAGTGAAATCATACAGAGATTAAACAAATCAACATCACATGGTCTTTGTGTTTCATTTCTTACAATTCTCTAGTTGTTCCAAACAGAGAAATCTAACAGAGACACATTATAGAGTCCAGAAGGAAATTCACACCTGAGCTCCGCCACAGGACTAAGAAGGGTCGCGTTGGTCTTCCTCAGCCAAGTCAGAAAGCCCTTCAGGTTTGAATCGCAGTGGAAACGGTTCATTTTAAGGTTGAGGAAGCTTAGAAAGCGAAACGCGTCGGGGTCAGGGGAGGCTACAAAGTTGTTGGAGAGGTTGAGTACTTTCAGACTATTTGGTAGCACATCAGGCCGCAGATAGGTCAAGCTGTTGAACGAGAGGTCCATCTCTGCTACTGAGGTGAGGCCCTTGAAAAGGCCCCAAGGGAGAGACTGCAGTGCATTGAAGCTCAAGTTCAGAGCGATCACGCGTCCAAAATTGTCAAACAGATTCAAGCACCTCCCCTGAGACCACATGGACTGCAGGGAACTGCTGTGAAGATCCAGAACCTGGACATTGTTCAAACCAACTGCTGGAACCCGTCCACTGATCGTACACCATTGGATTGGGTTTCCTCCGTAGAAGAGACGCTGGAGCTGTTTCAGATGAGTTGAAAGCATGGTGACGTGCCCCAGGTTCATCAAGCGGTTGTCCTTGATGTCCAGATGCATAACATTACCGGCAAAACGCGCAAGAGCGCTGACCGGTAACGACTTGAGTTTATTGTCATTCAACATGAGATAATCTAATCTTGGGAGAGATGCGGGGAAGCCAAAGTCTCGCAGAGAGTTTCCTGTTAGATATAATGCTCTCAGTTGTGGAAGTCCACTGAATGAGTCGTAGCCCAGAACACCAATGTGATTAAAAGACAAGTCCAACACTCTCAGGTTTGTCAGGGAGGCAAAGGTGTGAGACTGGATTTCCCCCAGCAGGTTGTGTGACAGGTTGAGCATTCTCAAATGTCCCTGAAGACCCTCAAAGGCATGTCGGTGTATCTGATTCAATCTGTTACGGGAAACGTCAATGACTGCGACCTCTTTCAGTGGACGAAAAACCCCCTCTTGCAATGCAAATATCCGGTTGTTCGACAGATCCAAAGTGCGGACTGAGCTGACGTTCAGGCCTACAAACGTGCCGCGGTCTGGATCAGGGAGATTGTTGTGTGAGAATCCTTTACCCATGTGTCCTGACAGTTTGAGATGGGAGATTTCGGTCCCTTTGATGGCTGTGAAAAAGCGTTTGGACCCACTCACGCTGAACGCGTTGTGGGACAGGTCAAGTGTCTGAAAGGACATTCCCCCGAAAGGATTCCCACATTCCTGCCAGTCAAAATGTTCATTAAACATGGCCTTAAGACTAACCGAGGCCAAGTTCAGGAGCGTGAAGTTCTTTCCTTGAAAACCAACCAGATCAGATTCACATATTCTGTCGATTTGGTTCAGCTTGAGATTCAAAACTTTCAAATTAGTCATGTTTGTAAAAAACATTGAGGGCTGCAGTCTTTTTATCTTATTGGCGAAGAGGTCAAGAGTCTCCAAGGAGGACAGTGGCTCCAGATAGTTCTCCTTCAGGATGGACGCTTGCAGAGAACAGTAATCCAGGTGGAGATTCTGCAAACCCGACAGTCCGACAAAAGCCCGCGGCTCCAGTTGAAGGCCGGCGTTGAAGCCGAGCACGAGCCTCCTCAGGCGCCTCTGGCCGCTGAAGGCGTGGTTCCTGATCACAAGAGGCACATACTGTCGCCCCAGGTCCAGCGCCTGCAGCTCCTCCAGGCCCGACAGGGAGGTGGAGTTGATCTCGTGGATGTGGTTCATCTCCAGGTACAGGTGGGTGATGTGAGGAGGGAGAGGAGGAATCCAGCGGAGGTTCTGGGAGCCACAGTTAGCTACAGAGCCCAGGATGAGGCACGATGGGGAACAACCGGGCGCCTGAAAAAGGTTTATTGTTCTTTCACTGGACAGCAATAACCACTTAATGCTTACATTCTATTACAGATTATTTTGTACTGTACATTAATATTTTTCTGATTTAAAGTACTTTCAAAATAAAGAAGTCACCAAAGACCCATACTTAAAAAATCAATTAAGCAGTAAATTTCTAATAGGTTATCTAAGATTCTTTAAATATATATATATATATATATATATATATATATATATATATATATATATATATATATATATATATATATATATATGTTAGATGTTAGATATAGATGTTTATATATATATATATATATATATATAGACAACTTCAAAAAAACTTTTATTTGATGAAGTGGTATAGATATTTAATGTATTACTCATTAGTGGTCTGAACTAATGTATTTGGTACTCTGGTTTTTCTTATGTAGACGGAAAGGTAAAACAATCTTTGGTTAAAAAGAAAAAAACGATGCAGATACATAATATTTTTCATACATTTAATGTATGTCAAGTCTGAATAATTCACAAAAGCAAAACAGTTTCCACTATACAATAATGTCCAGTTCATATTATTCACCTTTTCTAACAGACTTAACCATATCTTTCTATCTTGTCTGTTAGTCTCCACCACAGTAAAATGCTAAATAAAGATTTGTTATTTCAAATACAATTCTGACCGTGTCCTTTTGTATAAAATATTAGTAAAGAAATAATCTTCTCCACTCACTTTAAACTCTTTCTCTTGTTGAGGTAAACGCTGTACAAATAAACTTAAAAAAAAAAAAATCTTTAAACTGCCAGCATGAATTTCCATTTCCTACATTACTCACCTGTAGGAGCACAGAGGCGACAACCACCTGAAGACTCAGCATCCACATCTTCAGCCTGCTTGAAAGAAGAAATGCAAGTCTTGATGTTTCAACAATACACCAGTCTCTGCTGCAATTTGAAAAGCGGAGATCCAGTATGGAGGGATTTCTGTTGGCAGCACTTTTATCTGTGAGTGGTTGCGTCACCGGTGATGAACATTGCATTAGTTCTGCAACGTAAACATGACGCTTAACGGGGTTTCTCTTTTTTCACAATTTACGCAATCAGGGAAGAACGATCGGGGAAGTACGCTTGCATGTTTTGTGCTGGATGTTTTGTTGTTGAGTTTTCAGGTTGGGGTGGCACATTTTTAGTTTTTTCAAAAAATGCCAGGTTTGTGTTTGTTGCAACATTATAAACCTGCTTTAAAGGTTCTTAAGCCCCCAGATGAATCAAAGACTGTTTTCCAAGAAATACTAAAACGATGAATCCGTCAAGAAAAAGACAATTTGTGACTCCACATGCTTCTCAACACAGACGGCCAAGCTGGTTCCTAGCAGTGTTTATACATGTAGCAGTGCTAACAGTGTTTACCTGAGGGGAACAAATGATTAATTACGAATCCTGCACGGTCTCTAAATGGCTAGTAGTGGTTGTAAGAATAGCAGTGACTATTATTCCTTGTATAATGACAATGTATCTATTATACATACTGATATTTTCACAGAGGGGGTTTTACTTACTTCTTCTATTTTTGATTATTTTATTATCCATGCACATTTTTTTAAAGAGTTGCACATTTTCCCACAGTTTCCTTAACAAGCCTCTTCCTCGTTTAGATATTGGAGCGTTCAGGTTACATCTTATTGTAATGAGTAGTTCCAGGTTCTTGGTTGCCACTTGTTTTGGAAACCATCAGGCCGATTATTGTACAAATTAGGAAGCATGCATTCATGCTGGTTAATGTTTCATATTTATTGTATTGGCAAAAACACTGCAGAGTACAGCAGTGTGTGTGTGTGTGTGTGTGTGTGTGTGTGGTTCTATAACACAGGCCTGGTGAATTTCACAACCTCTGGAGAATGAAGGTTGGTCAAATACAATATAGAGAGGAAGAGTCACAGCTGTTGACTAACATGGTGGGTGTACTGCTGCAGCTTCTCCCTTCAGGTGAACAATGTACATATTACCTACTCTTATTTTAGGAACAACATGGTTTCAATTTGATTCAGCTGGATGTAAATACATTTATTCAAGTCAATTACGAGGTGTTTTTACTTCAATTCAGAATTTTTATGTTAAGCTTTATAAAAAGTGTATTACATCTGACAGGAAAATATTACACTTACTACTTTAGCACATTTATGTCCTCATACACTTCAGTAAAAAAAGTTTAAAAAAAGCATTGCGGCCCAACAGTTATTGGAGCAAAAAAAAGAGGAGTGGTGGAAGAAGTACTCCCAGTTTTTACTCAAGGAAAACAGTGGGAAAATACTTGCAAAAGTTCAGCATTAAAATTTTTGTTCTTTGAGTAAAAGTATAAAAGTGCTTGGATGAATAACAAATAATAAATAAAATACTTTATGTTATATTAGTGAGCTGAGTGATGCATTTATGCGTACATCGATTGATTTTGCTACGATGTCACCAAAACAGCCTCGTGAATTTCACCAAGGGATCAAAACCATTTTATATTGACCCATAATATTATATCATAATGTATTTATTTATTATTTGTTGTTATTGAACTGAATCTGCAAATGGTGGAGAATAAAGACAGCCATTAAATTGTAGCCTTTTGGAGTAAAAGTATCAAGCCGAAAATAAAGCACGACAACATTGCAATTAAGAATTTAAGGTACTTTCAACACTATATGTTTTAAAGTAAAGGACAAGTTTGTCAAGATGACATTTTTATGTACATGTGGCCTAGACATATTAAAGTACAAGGCCACTTGTATTTAAAAAATACCCATGGATCCTTTTCCCCAAATGACAAAACGCGTATTATTTGTTGCGGATGTGCATGAGAAGGAACTACGTCACCGAATTAAACGAGAGGATCACCATCAAAGCGGATCATAACTGTATTATTACTGTGTATTCTTCGGCAAGCGGTGTCAATTAGTGGGTTTCACGCACGCATGCACACAGCGCTGACTGTCACCGGGGGAGAGAGGGGGGAGAGAGAGGGGGGGGGGGAGGCCGGAGCCCAGAGAGGAGTGACTTACTTTCAAAAAATAGGACCCTTCATCGCAGCAGCGACGGGGACGGAGGGGGCGAAACATGGGTGGTGCACGGAAATAAATAACGGGACCGGGCCGACGTCATTTAGACCCGAAAGGAGCCGCGGCGCGCGGAGAGGAGGAGACGAAGTGGGTCATTCAAAGGGGGAAATAACAGCGTTTGAGTCGGTGCAACACGTTGACACCGTTGATGACGGTTCGTTTGGACGCGAATACCTGCCCGGAAAATAGTCCCCGGTGAGTACAGCCGGCCCGGTAACGGACGACGCGTAGTACGAAACGAGTTTCGCTTGAAGTTGTCAGAAGTGCGACTTTTAATGCGGAAAAACGGGCCGTTGGAGCTCGGCGAGTCGGAGCAGCGCTTTCATCCGGAGGAACGAGGTGAACGGGGAGTTAAAAGTTTTTCTGCAATATGGCGGCTCAGATGTCACACGGCTTCCCCAGAAGTAACGTTCCCGTTTAGGCGACGCCGCGACGAGTCTTATATTGGATGTGTAGAAAAACCATTTTGCATCCTCTCCCCCATGAGAAGTGCTGCCGACTTTTCTATTCAAACTATGCGGCTGTTGCGCGGAACTTTTTACTGGCGCCGTTTTCTTTGTGGGCGGAACGTTGTTCCAGTCGAAAATCTTTAGTTTTTACGGTACAGGGTTTATTGCCAAACATACAGGCTTTGTGGCTCAAAACGTAATACTTTTTTGAGATTGTTAGTGCCCACTGTGAAATTCGGCTCCCAATGCAGCGTGCTGGTGGCTCCAATTAAAGCTTTATGGAACACATGCAAGTCTGCAAGAAGCCCTCCAAGAATGTTATAATGAGGATATCAATGATACAGCATCTCACCTGCTCAGTTGGGTGGAATGAAATGCTTTTATTCAATCATCGTATGCTTTAATGAATCACCAGCAGCGTAATGAATCATTACAACTGACTTGTTGGGTCAGCTGCAATGATTTGTCACACCACAACCTGCCACAGGGTGTTATCTGAGACGGGCCTCCTAGCAGAATATGACCGCCCTCCCACAGCCCAAAAGGGCTTAAAACGGTACAAAACTACTACGTCAAAACAAGGCCGGGCATGAAGCATGAAACACAATATTGTTATTTCATATTACGTTTACACTCTTTTGTGTGATCAGCTGATGCAACTCAAACAGCCCGATAAAGGTCAAGTTCGTTAACTCTAATTCATTCAGCAGTCCAATTGAAGGCCGAATGGACAGACAAATCCCAAACCCTGGACCAAAAATGTGTGTGCTATGAAGTCAGGTTGTGGACTTTCCCAAACTGTTGCCCCCCATGTGGAGGAAACCAAACAGGGAGGCATGGCAGGAACAGGTGGGCTGTCTCCCAAACCTCCCCGCAGGGTCTCCACTCCCCCCCCCCCCTAGATGCTTCTTGTTTACTGTAATTGAGCAGCGGGCACAATGAGAGAGCAAAACAAAGGGTCCGCCTTCTTTTTCCATCCACCCTCCACTTTGTACATGACAACCAGGTGCGTAAATATATATATTTCCCCAAACAGTTTTGTAACACGCTTAGTAATTTTATATAAAATGTAGCTGAAGACATCACTTGGTCTCTTCCCACCAGCCTCAACTTCAACACATTTCGTCTCTGTGTCTCCACATCGAAATGTTTTATTTGTTTAGTTGCTTTACAGTAATGTGAAACTGCGTTGCTGTCTCCGCTGTGGGTGGAGGGATAACAGCGGCTGGGGGGGGGGGGGGGGGGGGGTGAAGCCTATGATTAGCCAAACAGTCATTATCATTTCTCCACAGTTAAATTATAGTGGAATTGAAGAATTGGATGGACATCGGGGCTTTTTACTCATTTACTCGTGGTTATGTGTGATGCCTCTTCTGATGAAATAGCAGTACACCGTTTGGCTGAATAAATAGACTTGAGACCCGGATTGAAAAGATTTCCCTTTTACCCTTTCAACCCCAGGAATGTGTCATTTACACTCAAACTCATTGCACGTGTAGCAGAGTGTGTCTGGTGTGTCAGTTCCATGTTGAATAACCTCACCTCTCTACTCTGTAATGCACTCCGCAGAAACCACTTTCACTTCTCGCATTTCTCTATCTTTCTTGTTCTCTTTTACCGTCTACGTTTCTCGCTCTTTCCTTCCGGCTGCTCAGTACATCTTGATCTTCATATCCTCTTCTGCATGCTTTTTCTCTTTCTCTCCTTATTTCACATGGCCGCCTCGCGCTCTCCGGGCCGAGCTCCCTCCTCACCTTCTGTGCAGGTTGGCAATCTGGTCTGCTTTGGTTCCAGCCACAGGTTTACAGTGTAAATATAAAGGGGTGAGAGAGGAATCTGATAAGAGGGCTTGCATGCTATTTTCACAAAGGTTGCCACTTTTGGATAAAAGAGCAGTGATGCTGTAAAAGAGCGAAGTTGTGCGCGTGGCTTCAGAGACCATAAAATGCAATTCACGCTTTTTTCTTTAGTCTGAGAACAGTCGAGGAGAGCTTAAAAAAAACAACCTGAGCGGCGTAAACCAAATCACCAACTTGCATTCGGGTCTCGTAGTTCATGCTGTTTCTCTGTGCCATGCTGGGTGAAACTGGTCCTATTGAAGCCGACTCCACCGGGTCTCCGCCTCAGAACCCGCGCTAACGTGTGCCTTCTTCCCAACACCCGCCACACGCTAGCTGACCATCTTTAACACGCAACCAGAGATGTAATGCTTCCTTTTTCTATTTAAACCTGACTGGTGAGAAACCCAGTGGGGTCAAGGCCGGGTCAGTCTGGGCTGTCTCTCCTGGCAGCACAGGGGTCAAAGGTGAGGAATGAGAGACAGAGGCGTTGTGCTGGTTGATCGTGATGGGACTGACATTGTAGATGCTAATCAATTCATCTGCAAAAGCACAATGGCCTGTGGGGAAATGTGTTCCTGCATCCACCGCGCGGGTCCACAGTGGATAAGAACATACAACAACACATAGTTTCCGTGTAATAGTGGAGTTGACTCTTTTTTTTTTTCTCTTCCTGTCTGATAATAGACGGCTGCTTTTCAGAGGCACGAGTGTATTTTAACCCGCGTTGTTTTTCCTAGCAGACGAGTTTCCATAGCATCTATCTGATATACTAGTAATACTCTCTAGGATCGCATGGTAAGGTGGTAACAGGAGCCTTGCTTAAATCCGTAGACTATTCCAACATTCAAACACCATTTCTCATCCTGTTGAAACCTCAGCTGAAAAGTTGCTGCTTTTTGTTTATTCCTCTCTTCCAAATGGCCAAAAGTGTCTCTATTTTCTCAAACCCCAATAACGAATTTAGAAAATTGATGCAGAGCTTTGAGGGGAATTTGTGGTTCCGACCAACGAGCCTCATCTTTGTCTTGTGTGTCACATTAAAGTGTCGTACAAATAGAGCTTCAGCAACGTCAGTGTCTAAAGTTGCAGCACACTGTATATATATCATTTATAACACGCACACTGCTCAGGTCCTGTCAGGGCGGACGGTGAGAATAGTGAGCAGCTGCAAGTGGTAATGTGGTCATGTGGCATGCATGGTGTGTGTGTGTGTGTGTGTGTGTGTGCACAGAGAGGTAAACACTCTCTTACCCTTCTTTACTGACACTTCGCCTGCCCGACGCCTGTCGCTGTGTCCCCGCCGTGTTATTTGACCCTCAGAATTCAGCGGTGAGTTGCTTGTGGGTGTTTTAGAGTATCCTGAGAGAGAGTGTCTGTCTGTGTGTGTGTGTCTGTGTGTGTGTGTGCGCGCTAGTTTCTTTCAGGACCATTTGCCTTCTTCCGTTGCCTTCTCCTATGGAAGTGTAGCTATTGCGTGTGAGTGTGTGTGTGTGTGGTGAATGCACAAGTGCACAAGTGCAGCAGTGTGGTTGGGTGGTCCTACTACACTACTACTGTACTGCTTCACACAAACACCGTGTGGCGAGGGGAGGGAAGAAGTAAATTGTTGATGGGACCCAACATCACACAGCCAGGCATGTTCTTTAAAAACTGTCCAATCATTAAACAGAACACTCCTTCAGCTCTGGGCAAAAAGTGTAGCGTAGCATTATGTCACTGCCTTTTATTTTTTATATGCATCTGGTGGCATTTTAGTTGCATGAGTACCGCTAGGATGTCGCACCCAACACAGACGGTCCCGCTTACGACACCTGCTGACAGGATGCGACTGTCGTCCTTGTGCAGTTTGCCTTTAGGTATTCGGCCCGGATGTCGTTTGCACGGCTGTGTCTCAGTTTTCTGGTTATTCACACCCACTCGTTAAAGCCACCGGCACGGAAATATAATGCTAGTGCAGAAATATAATGCTAATGTGGAAATAATAATGCTAGTGCAGAAATATAATGCTAATGTGGAAATAATAATGCTAGTGCAGAAATATAATGCTGGTGCAGTCAGACTTTATTATTTGGAGATGTATTTGGATTCGTTGTTGTGGGAGGACACGCTGCCATGAGAGCAGAGCCTTTTGACATGTCAATGTGTAAATTCATTTTATTTTACATTATTTTTTTGGCACACTGTTTAGTGATTTTTTCTGCAAAACAGTGAAGGATTTCGGCCAGGACTCTTTACAAGAAGATCTTCAGAGGCACTTCTCAAGAACAACCTGATTTTCATCAACTTTACAATTTTTACAATTCAAATGACCTTAAATGATGTTAAGCAGTAACATGAATTGACGAAGCATGAATTACAAGTGTGTGTAACTGAAGCATTGGTCGAGCAATTTTGCGGCAGGGTGGGCTAGTTTTTTAGAAAAAGAGAGTCATGTACTACCAGCAAAAGCATTTAAATCAGAAGTTCCTGCAATACACAGGTCATACAAGGAGTTATTTGTCCAACACAACACGATATATGTACACTAATAAAGTAGAGGATCCTTCATCGTATCAGCAGTGAGCGCAAGTTAAAGAACTGACTAATTTATAACATATCAAAAAGGAAGGTTTTGCATTGTGTGCACCGGTTGCCTCCGTGTAGCGGTGCAGGAGAGCGTGTGTAACTCCACTTCTTGTGTTCAGCGTCCTCCGTTGTCCCCAAAGAGCTTTTGGTGGGATTGTCTGCAGCCTGAAAAGACCTTTCATATTGTCTTTCTCTTCTCGTCTCTCTGCTAGACGTCCCTCATTGAGGATCCTCCGTTCCCGTGTGACCCTCCTGACGCAGAGAGGTATGTCCCACACACACACACACCCCGTTAGGGGTAAACAGGAGCATTCCGCTGTGTTTCCTTGAATCCTATCTTACATTAATGGAAAAGTGAGTCCTCCGTGTGTACTCGGGCCGGCGTGCGCTGTGTGTGTGTGTGTGTTTGTGTTTTGTAAAGCTCAGCAACCCACAAGAACACAGAGCGGCAACACACACGTGCAGTCAGCTGCTGCTCTCAGTAGGTCTGATGAGAAATGGCACAGCGTTGACCTTTTTGTGTCTTGACGTATTTTTACATGAATTTGTTTGACTTCACTCTTTGACGAAAGGGCAGAACATCAAATGTCAGTGCTGTCCATGTACAGATGAGGCGATAGGAGAAAGAACAAGAAAAAAGCCAGTAACAAAAACAATAATATTATTTTCTTTATAGTGGGAAAAAAACATGTATTTATCTTTTGATAAATTGGATGTTCAAATCCCAAACTGCACCAATAATAATACTTTAATACTTAGAAATGCATAATACTTTGTTGTTTTTGAGTTTAAAAAAAGAGTAAATCCCATTTGATTTGGATGTCAAAGACCTGCGACCGACGCTGTACTGGCCCAGGGATCCTGTTCCTCTGACATAGTTGGGGCTGATAGCAGGAAAGCTAATTATATCCACAACGATTTAAAGCTTTCAGATCTAAAATAGAAGGCAAACCTCACAGTCCAAATGTTCCTCCATGTCAACTATACATTCACAGACAGACAGACGTGGTGTGGGTATCACCGAGGCCGGGCTGGAAATAACAATTTACTCACCACGGGGGACCAGTGTCGTAACTGCTGGACCGGGTCGACTTTTTATCTTTTGACTCATCGCAATCCAAACGGCTCTTCTGTGACTTCTACATTAAGACAAACTTCTGTAAAACCTTTCAGCAATAAACGCCTCATCGACTCCCGTTCGTCCAGCGGTTCAGCTAACTTTGCAGAGCAGGTGGCAAGAGAGCACGGTGTCCTCTTTTAATGGAGTTCTTTAGCATTTTGGGAAACTTTGATGAATTGGCAACTATTTAGTGAACCAAAGTAGCTTCATTCTTTCAAGCAAAAATATTTCATGTCTACAGCTTCTGTGAGGTTTATCGGCGTGGCGTCATGTCATGTAACTGCAGACGGAATATCTTTGTGATGTAGACGGTTTGTTGACTCTTAGGCTTTACTAAACTCTGATGGATTTTTCTCCTCTTTATGACATTTTACTCAGCAAACAATCAGTGGATTGATGAGATTCCAGTGAGCCTGCTCTCCTCCTTTATTGAGGCAGAGCATCAGCTTTCCAATCAGAGCCGCCTGCATGTGACAAACCTCTACTCAGCAGCGTCGTCACCTGCAATGCGGTCTGATATGTTTCGATGTTTTTCAGTTTGAACGGGTCAAGGTGGAACTTGATGTCTGTCAACAAAGACAAAGGTTGTCTAGTGTGTTTCTGGAGTGTTTCTCTGGGGCACTTTGAAGGAGGGCCGTGAGTGTTCCTGTAAGCTGTCAAGAGAGCACTTTTGGGATGGAAGAAATTCTATAGTGAAACCGCTTTATGAAGATGTATGGGAATTTAAAAGAGAACGTGTGTGTTGGTGAGAGAGAGAGAGAGTGAAAGTGACTGAAAGGAGGAATCCTTCTTTTGTCTGGACGAGGCATAGAGTCTCCTGGGAAGCTTTTAAATCCTTTCTGGAATGTGTGTGTGTGTGTGTGCGGCAGTTTTCTAAAGTGTGCGTGCGTTTGCGTTGGGGGTTGGGCCTGTCACCACATTTATACAAGGAAGGCAAATATTTGTGTGTGTGTCTCTGCGTGTTTCAGGTTTGTGGTGTAGTATGACTGTTACCATGGCGACAGATGTCCTGTGGTGTTTTCTGTGTCACCTGACAGCAGCGGTGGACAGCTAACATTCTTTCTTTAAAAAAAAAAAAAGTCTGCCAGCAGCTCCGTGGGGACACCGGGTGATTCAGGGCCGCCCTCGCCAAGTATTGTAAAAGGAACTGAAACCAGATTTTTTGATATATGCACCCTAAACTAGTATGCCCCCCCCCCTGCCCTTCCTTTATCCGTCTCTCCCTTCTCCTTATCGCTACACCCTTGTTAAGTAAGTCTAAATGCTGGGTTACAGATCAGATTTCCTCAACTGCTCCCATAATTTTGTTTATTTACCGTGGACTCGGCTCATCCTCTGCTGGCCCTGAATTTGACTTTGAACCTGAGTGATTGAGTGTGTGTTAGTGTGTGCATGCGGGTAGGTGGGCATGTCGGTATGCAGGAGTTCTCTGTGTCAGTGAAACACCTTGTTTGTACATGTATCTCCTCCAATCAGACTCTAAGGGGCTTCCTGTTCCTGTTTATCTGAATCATAAGTAACTTCCAACTTTAATAATAATGATTGGATCCACAGGGATACATTTGAGAAAACATTACAAAAATGGATTGCTCTTGGTGTTCTCTAGTCTTTGCGGGACTGCAGATGAAAGACTGTGTTAAAGGAAACTCAGGCACCAGCTCACATGGTCCATTTACAGCTACAAATGTGTCATGATGGTGTTCAATGCCTTCAAGTAAGGCAGTGATGTCCCACTGTTTTTGTGCAGGATGGTGATGGAGGAGGGGGGGCTGAGAGACAGAGGGAGGGGGACTCCAGCGACGGTTGACTCAGAGCCGAGACAAATCCTGGTAGAGCTTGGTGAGTAACTTTTGACCCCTAGTACAAGCCACTGCAAAGGAGCCACGGTGGATTTTTCCTTTCCTTGATTGTTTTTGCCAGAGTATTTTCAAATGTCCATCTCCAGCATGTAAAAGAAAGAGGTTTATTTTTTCTCAGACTTATTGTCAACGGAGCTTGAAATAAGTTGTCTTCTTTCCATCCCAGGGGAGCAGAACCTGGATGCCATTTGTCTTTCCACATACCGAACAGCCTGCAAGCTCAGATTCATCCAGAAGAGATGCAACTGTGAGTCCTGCCTGCTCTCTCTTCAGCATCACCGCTGCTCTGTAGTGTTGTTTGTGGGTTCACTTCATCTTCTTTTTCTTCTTTTGACACTAGTAGAATGATGTCACCTCTATTTCACTCGTTCTAGTGCATCTGATCGATATATACAATGTGATCGAGGCGGTGCGGGACGCCGGACTGAACGCCGTGGAGCTCCACGCCGGCATCTCCGTGACCCGACTGGAGAACCTGGTTTCCTCCCTTTTCAACCAGCTCAGCAAGCGCCTGCCCACCACGCACACCATCGACCCGCGGGAGAGTGCCATCCTGCTGGTCGAATTCCTGCTGGCCGCCGTGGACAGGTAGCCGCAGGAAGACATCTGTGGACGCTTGAGAAGTGGGACGTATGCAGCAGTTCAGCCTCTGATTTGTGTGTTTTTAGTGAGCCTGACAGCCGTCTGACGGTGCTCTCCGTGAAGGCGATGCTGGCCACCCTGTGCGGAGGGAAACTGCTGGATAAACTCCGCTGTGAGTGCCAAACAATTCCATTGCGCCTAATACGGAGTCTGCTCTTCACCTTCATCTTTGTCATCTTAGATTTCCTAGAAATACTTCAAAAAAAGAGAATGGACTGATTTATCATGTAGACTTTGGTTGTAAACCATAAACTAAATAAATTACGTGCACCACATGGAGATTGCAGGTCAATACTACTGGTTGCTTATTTGCCCAATCTTTTATTAATCATGTGGTCACCATGTGAATATGTTAATAAGTTCTACTATGAAGACTCACCTTTGACCTTGGGACCCAAAACGTGTCCACGCAAGGCTGAGCATTTATATGTACGTTACGGGTGAATCTGTGGTGGTTAATTGGCACACGTAAACCGCCGTCATGACTGGGGCCCTTTATTAAGAGGAAAGAATTGAATGCATGCTCTGCTCATTTTGTGTGTGTGGGTAGATGTGTTTTCTCAGGTATCTGACTCCAGCGGAGTGCTGGTTCAGTCCAAATTCGACAGTTTTCTGAGGGAGGCTCTGAAGCTGCCCAGCGCTGTACACGAAGGACCGTCCTTCGGCTACACACACACCTCAGCACGCTCATGCTTCCACCAACAGGTGCCCTCACACACCTCAACCACCTCATTGCGCTGTCCTTAATCATATGCAATTATTCCAGTGATAACACTATTGCAGTGAAGATTTGTTTTCTTTCGCCTGCAGATTAGATTATTGACTTCTCCATACATGATAATCATTTTCTTCACTATTCTGTCCTTCTGATGAGTTGTTCCTTTTCTTAATTGTCATTGTTGATGTAGAAGAGGGTGATGCTCAACATGTTCCTGGACATTGTAGCTGACCCTCCTCAGTGTCTTGTCTGGCTGCCTCTCATGCACCGCATGGCCAACGTGGAGCATGGTGCAAACAGACACACACACACTAACATACACACAAACATACATTTAAATTAAACAAAAGACTCATACAATTACTGTCTCTTCTCTCTCCCTCAGTCTACCACCCCGTGTCATGCTCTTACTGTCGTGGCAATGCCATGACGGGCTTCCGGTATCGCTGCCTCCGTTGCCGTGGTTATCAGCTCTGCCAGAACTGCTTTTGGCGCGGCAATGCCAGTGGCTCTCACAGCAACCAGCATCAGATGAAGGAGCACTCGTCCTGGGTGAGTCACTGTGTGATTACTCATTCGTCACACCAGGGGGCAGTGTGTGTGTGTGTGTGTGTGTGTGTGTGTGTGTGTGTGTGTGTGTGTGTGTGTGTGTGTGTGTGTGTGTGTGTGTGTGTGTGTGGACCTCCATCTCTGTGAGGACCATAAGGAATCTTAGAGCCTAAAGTGGGGTCATTGGAAGGTAAGAGATTAAACAAAGTTACATTTTGTTGGGTCTATTACTTAGTGAAACATTGGTTTTGGGGTTACGGGTGGAATTAGGATAAATTTAATGATTGTGATTGGAATCTAGATAAGGGCTATATCATCATAACGTATTCGAGGCTTGAAAATATCTGTTCAAATATATCCCCTTTGAATAACAATGCTGCAGAACAACATCCTAAAGTCACCCAGATTTGGAATGCTGTGCTGATATTTGTGTTTGTCTGTATTCATGTGTGTGTGTCTGCAGAAGTCGTCGGCGTCAAAGCTTGGCCGAGCCCTGAGCAGGACTCTGGGCTGCGTCTCATCCAGAGAGCCCCCTCATCCTATTTACCCAGAGGAACCGGAGAGGACCCTCAACCTCTCCAACCTGGTGTAAGACCTCACTACACACGCACACACGCACACACACACACACACACACACACACACACACACACTTAAGGGTTGTTTATACTTTATACCAGCTTGCATCAAAGCTTTTATTCTCAATATGGTGTTTGATATCTTCTATTCTCCGAAATGGCAAAGGGTGCATAAATGTACTGTGAAAAAGCAAGGAGATAAGGAGAGTCATCGAAAATACGGCATTCACCAAAAGGAGGAATTGCAATTATCTGTAAACTATTTTCTCATAATCAGTAATTTACTAATTTATTGCCTTTATACAAAACTTGTAAAGTAAGAGGTTAAGTTGAAACACAAAAGCCTAGTTTATGCTTCTCAGTTATGTTTTCAGTGCGACGCAGACGCAAGACCCCCTTGCGTGCCTTTTCACACCTCCTTGCGTACGTTGACCCATTTTTCTAGGCTTGCGTCGAAAGCGAGCAATCCTCCTGCAGCGCACCAGGCTGCGATTGGTCTGCTAACTACATCCTTTACGGAGTCTCAAATTTCCATTTTCATAGCCCGATACCACCATTACTGAAACGAAGAATGTTTACGAGAGAACGGATCAGATCGAAGAACTTTTGTCGGAAGAAATGCGTAAATATGACCGCTTATACAAGCCGTCATTGGCGGGTTGTATAAGCGGGTTGGATTCATGAAGGGAGATCGCGGCAAACGCCGGTTTGCCGGTCGAGAGGTGCACAAAGTAGTGGAGGAAAATACGGGACAAAATTTCGTGATGAAAAGTCTATGATAAATAAATAAACAACCAACGACTTCAACACACAAAGACGTCACTCTCTAGGTCGTCTTCAACAAAAACACGGTGAATTGCTCTGCAACACACGCAAGCCTTTTAGGACCATGAATTGAAACGAGTGCGTCGACGCAGACGCAGAAGCATGCGCCAGCCTTAAAGTTAAATATCCTGTAAACAATTTAATTGAATTTGGCTACAAAAAAGTTACTGAAATTTAGATTTTTTGAAGACCTCCCGTTTCTAAGAGCTTTGTAGTGTAGTAGTAGAAACCTTCTCTGTAACTACGGCATTCTGACACGCACACCTCGCTTCAATACAGCAACCACAAACTACGCTGAATGATTGACACGAGATGTCCAGGAGCCCTTAATTTAGTTAATGTAACGATTGAAGAAATATTCTGATCAATTTTAAGAAAGTCAAACAAGAAATCTATTGTTTCTCACTATGATTTACACACTTGTTATTTCCTATTTATGATTCTGAAAATCGTGTAACTTCTTGTAAATGTATTTACAAGAAGTTATGTGCCGTTATTCTGTAAGTACCACTTGTGGCCACACAGCGCTGTTGAGCAAAGGGGACATGGTCCTGCACAGTGGCATCGTTAACAGCAGGTTAGATCAACAACATCGACAGAAACAATGTCCCATGGTATTTTTAAAACAAATTAAATATGTTCCTGGAATCATAAACAACAACAAATCTTCAAATGACATTGGCATTCCTCTGAAATCTACACAATACAGCTGAATTATTTCCCCTTTTAACCATTTAGGATACTATATAAACTGTTCATTATAGTTCATAAAGACAAATTGAAGCTCTAATAGGAATATTAACACTTACCTTCAAAAATTATAACATTTCCTAAAATGTTGCAGAAACTCTGGCTAAAATAACATTTTGGTTTGAAATCAGAGGTTCAGTTTCATGTACTCAAAAACCTCAGAGAGTCCCACCTCTATGGCGAACCACTCTGGTAGCTCCGCCCCTTGCGGTGGATCCACAATGTTTGATTTTCCAAACATTGTCAGACCGGGTCATTGCAGACCTCCAAGCCCTGGGTGCATAAAGAGATTTAACACAAAGTGAGTATGTTCATTCTGATATTATTATGTTATTGCGTCAGCTTTATTATTTTCATATGCTTTCGCTTCTCTGAATTTCTATAATTTCTCTCTTTCTTTGCCTTCATTGTCTGTTTCTCTCTCTCTCTCTCTCTCTCTCTCTCTGTCTCTCACACATGGTGATCTTTGCCCTGTCTGTGTTTGCTCAGACTAGAACCATTCACTCTTGCATGACTGCACTCAAAAGCACATGAGAGTGTGTGAGTGCAAGAATGTGTGTTTTCTGACAGGCAGGACGTCTTAATTATTCAATGTTTTTATCATTACTCTGTGTTTACTGTGTTGGTAATATGTGTGTGTGTGTTTGTGTTTGTGTGTGTGTGCGTGCAGCCCCGCTCGCCCGGTTGGAAACACAAGTGACGCCATGTTGCTGTCCACTTCAGTGCCTGAGTCCTCCAAAAGGTAAAAACTGAAATGAAGAGTAAAGAGAAAGACTTAGACGTTGTTATATTTCTTGTTGTCACTCATTAGAAATTTGCAAACGATTTTTGATAAATTTGTCCCCTTGTTCCTTCAAAATTACTTTTTTCTCAGCACAATTTCTCAATTGTCGATTTAAAAAAATATATTGGCTGTTTACTTAGCAGATTACATTTTCCAGATTTTGGGGAAAAAGTCAGACATTGAAAGTCTCTTTAGTTGGTGCAAAGACAAGAAAACACATTCTATTACATTTACTGATTCTGAAAGAAAAGCATTACGAAAAGACGCGAGAAATGAGATAATTTGTCCCTCCTCCAGTTTGGCCGCCGCTCGGCGCATGAACGAGGAGCACGCTCTGATCGCGGCGTACGTGAATCGCCTGCAGAGTGGCCCGCACAGCGTGGACAGTCCACGCAGAGAAGACGAGGAGCACAAGCTGATCGCCCGCTACACCTCCCGCCTGGCCGAGACCGACGGCCACGGAGTGAGTCGACCACACCGCGTTTTCTCCTGCACACGCTACGCTGAATACACATATGCCAAAGATACACAAGCAGCTCTAAAGCGGCCCTTTAAAACACTAAGTCTAATGAGCGATCAACCCACCGTCAGTCGGCTCAAGTAAGTTCTGTTGTTTCAGGTGATACCAAACCGGAGCATCAACTTTGATGTGAACAAACAGAAGAGGGAGCTCATCGCTCAGCTCGAGTGCAAAAACAGGTAGCGGATGAGTTCTTTATATTAAATCCGTCCTTGTTGGTTTGACCCTCTGCTCCTGTCAGTCTGTCACTTGTGTGGTTGTATTTTTGATACACATTTGTGTGTACAAAGGTCACACTGGTGTCTCAGACCTGTTTCTCTCACTACTTAAAGAACACTGGTCTAATTCGCCTTCGTAATCTGCTCAAAGCCAAAGTGTGAGTGCGTGTTCACGGTTTGTCCGGTCATGTGACGCTCGCCCAGCCTCAGCTGACCCGTGTGTCTTTCATTCCCACAGGGAGATCTTGGCAGAGATCAAGCGTCTCCGGGTGGAGCATGACGCGGCGTGCCAGGCAACAACCAACCCGACTCTGCTGGCCGAGCTGCGGCTGCTCAGGTAAACGCGCGTGCACCAGTGCAGCGGTTAGTATCTGCTGTTTGTTTTCATGACATGCCGACAGAAGTGATGCTCAAACACCAGCGACCACTGTTGATCGCGGAGGCGGTGGGCCGCTGCCAGTGGGAAGTCTGCCGCGTGGCTTTGTGGCGCGGAGGGAGGGCGCTTTATGGCAGATGGTAGTGACAGACGGTGGATTTTTGTAAAAAGCCAATGTAACAATCACTTCCAACGTGTTTACGCTGTTTGGGTGGAAAACAAAAACTGCCTAGGGAGAGGAGGGAGACTTTATACAAAGCAACACCAGTCCCACTAGAGCGAGAGATGCAGTAACGATGATGGAAGGATGCTGATACTGCTGCACAGTGATTATATCCTCTATCAACTTATCGTGACCAGACAAGTTCTCTCAGTGAAAATCTCAGTGGCGCCGATGGGAGCAGTGTGCAGTGTGGCTGCTCAAGGGCGCCGGATTCAAAAGAAATAGTGGCTTTCAGTTGTGGAAATAACAAATAGTACCGTTTACTGCTTTTTGGAAAGGGTTTTGAGCGGAATGTTCAAACTATATTGTGATGACTATTGTTTGTTTTCTGACTCTGGACTTAATTATATAACTGCGCGGTGAAGACTGAAACCACCTGAATGACAAACATTAGTGAACACCCATAATTCACTGTAAGAACTCTTCCTCCTACCTTATTTTCGCTCGTAATTTGTGAAGGGCACAGTTATTTGGTGCCCTGAAATGACCTCTCCCATCCCTCTTCACATCCTGTAATTTTCAACCAATGTGTAAATATAAATAATTAACCATAACACTGCTATCTGGGGTTTTCCAACCCTGGTAAGGATTCCCTTGCATTCCACGTGATTTCAGTATGAAGTTTTGTTAAATTGTTAAATTATTTGTACATTTTGACTGTTTTCCATACATATATACATATAAAGAAATTCAGTATTTACAGCATTGCTGTAATAAGCCTATCCAATCAAGCCAGTAAAAGTACTAACTTAAATTCTAAAGAGAGAGTGGAAATTTGGAACATTCTGTCAATCAGTTTTACTTTTGAGATTTAAATTACTCAAATCTGGCGTTGCTGCATGACTCACATTCTGGCTTTTTTACTTTATTTACTCATTGTTCCAACTTGAACAATGAGTTCAAAGAGAAAAGAGAAGATTTGTCGCATTTGCTTTTATAACTCATCCAGACCACATGCTGTTTATAAAAAAGTATTGTAAACATCTCATTGGAGCGATGCTAGTTTCGTGAGCCGACTCTGAAACCGTGGCTTCATTTTGCTAACAACTCACTGCTTTTATAGCTTGAATGCATTTTGGGTTGATTTGTACTTGTCAACCGACCTTGGCTAACAGAAGTCTCTTATTTCGCTAACCAGGCAACTTGACAACTGTCGGCAAAAGTTTTGGCAGGTTCCCAACTTTGTTTCATCCACTTATAAAGCTCATGCTACTTACCCAAGCAACCTGCACTGGAGCGTGTTCAGGCTTTTCGATTTGGGACAGAGATTGGAGCTGTTAATCTGGCGGAGTCTAAATCAATTTATACACAAATCTGTCGAATCTATCGAAAAGTGTGACTTGGACATGTCTTCCCTCACAGCTCCCGATTTTTCAGCATTCCGTTTTATGGCCTTTCTGAAACACGCACGTATTGTATGTAACCTCAAATTATTTCTTTCCAACTGTTTTTCTTCTTCCTCCTGTGGGTTCCGAAGCACTCTGGTGCTTTTGTTATCGCCTGACAGTAATGGAGGGTTGTTGTGTGTCGCAGACAAAGGAAAGATGAGCTGGAGCAGAGGATGTCGTCTCTGCAGCAGAGCAGAAGGGAGCTGATGGTTCAGCTCGAGGGACTGATGAAGCTGCTCAAGGTGACGCGCAAATACACACACACACACACTCTTTTTATTGAGGCGCACTAGAGGGGAAAGTTTCCCCTTTTCTTCACACGTCCCCGTGTCTGTCCTCTCAGCAACAAACTCTCTCTCTCTCTCTCTCTCTCTCTCTCGCTCTCCTCCTTAATAATTCCACCTTTTTTTCCAGTTCTGAATGTATCTGACATTTCTTCTTTTCCATCCTTCTCCTTTCTGTTTGTTTCCGACTGGCCCTGTAGGATGAGGAACAGCGACAGGCAGTAAGTTCAGCCCCCCCCCCCCTTTACTCACTGAATGTGAATGTAGGATTCAGGCCTGACACCATGCAGACATGTCAAAATAAGTCAACTTTAGAAGCAAGCTACAGTTTTCCAATCGGGACATAAGTCTCTCGGACAAATAATGTCTCACCTCTTTTAGCGGTGACTATGACTTTTAACAACAGTGTGCAGGTGCAACAAAAAATGTCAAGATGTCTCTGAAAGTCCCAAATGAGTCTATGCAACAACCCCTATGAATCCGTCTCCTAGGCGCAGGCGGCTGGCTCCTCCCACGCCTCTCCTTCTAGGCCGAGCCCGTCAAGCGTCCGCTCCGTGGGCGCTGCGTCTCCTCCGGCTCACATGTACCCTCCTCAGGATTCCCTCGCCGGGGTTGGCGGTGACGTACAGGAAGCATTCGCCCAAGGTAGGTCTGGAACATAAAGCAGGGTAAATAAATATCATAAAATATAATGTAAAGCAGTTTTATTTAAGTTAGATACACATTTTATTGCTTAGTTTTTGTAAACCGCTTTTTTACATACAGATACAGTATTAACTCCAACCCTTTAAAAATATTGCTATTTTAATGCTCATCTGTAACGGGGCTGCTGTAGTGACTCTGTCACATCCACATGGTTTCATCGACTCTCCACTCGGCTGCAAACACAAACACAGCATAGTTTTCAGTGTTTCAGAATAATTTCACCTTATTTAGGGTTCAAGGTGCACAGTTCAACCTGCAGCCTGTAATACAGACCACTTCAAAGGAGCAAGTTCAAGAAGTATCCCAATAGTTCCAATAGAAAAATTATAGAAAATAATAGAAAATTGCTGAGAAAAAATTGAAGTCATAAAATGGCCTCAAAGGGTTAAAAAACTCTGAGCTGTGCAGTTTGTGTTTCAATTATTTTCGCTCTGCTCGCTCAGACGTTCCTGATAGAAAATGTGTGAGAAAATGGAAAGGAGGTGAGCTCATTTTAAAAGGGAAGGGAATCGCTGAATTGTCGAGCCACACTGAGACGGCAAAATTGTCTTATTCAAAACTCATAATTCATGTAATTAGTTACCACACAATTATCGTAAATCAAATTTTTTCACAATGGCGTCAAATACTGAATGACTGTCTCCGTTGCAGGCCCAAGAAGGAACCTGAGGAACGACCTTCTGGTAGCAGCTGACTCCATCACCAACACTGTGTCCTCACTGGTCAAAGAGCTCCACTCTGGTACGCACTGCATTTATGTCCAGACACACACTTCCATTTTCTGAAGATGCTCTTTTCACGAATTTAAAGTTTCCAGCAATACAATTTTCAGATTGGTCGAGAACTTTTCTATGATTTTTTCTTTGTGAGATCTTAAAATCTTCAGAAAAAGTAATGGAATTTAGATTTGACATTTGTCTGTATGTTGACTTTTTTATGCTCTTTTCTGACCAGATGAGGCTCGGGAGGAGGAGGAGAGATTGCTGAACGGGAAGGACAGAGGTAATTAATCTAGTTAGTTTCTCGTGTTGATCCTCTTTTTAGTTGCTATACTTGATTCCAGCGTGTGGAATTAGGTTCCTCCTAAAGGGTTGAAAGATAACGTGTGCTCTGATTATCTAATGATGCTGCTACTCCTGTTGCAGGTTGAGTTATGACTTTATCGTTCATATTGGGATGCCTTCTATTTCATACCGGGAGTAGAATTTGAAGTACCACTTGAAATATTCAACGTCCCTCTGTGTGGGTAAACAGCTAAACAGCTGTGGTAAGCCGGTGTCATTGCAGATTTCATAAAACATCTGTCAGAAAATATTCCGATTAATTTCTCAGAATAAAATATAATACAGCCTGACAGGAGAGAAATCTTAGAAACAGGTATAATACATCACCGCTCATTTTTTATAAAATATATCAACACTCAGTATTTAGTATTTTATTTGTGGAGATATGGCGCTGAATCCTATTTTTCTCTTGCACATTTCTATCTGCGTCCTCTCCTGCGTGTCCTTTTCAGTCGGTGTGGCCGCGGCTTCACGTGTTCTTCGGGTGCTCTCTCGTCTGCAGCGAGCTTCATTAACTGGCCCTTTTACAAGGAGACCGCCTGCGGAGCATAAGTTGTTAAATAACTTCCTGGTCTGCTGCCCGAAGCCGGACGTAACGCTGCAGCAGTCCCTAACGCACAAAACTCCTGAACAGAGTTCAGCCGCTCGCTCGACACCGCTAACGTTTAGGTCCCGACGAGATACGACAAAGTCCAACGTAGAGTTGTCTCTGTGGAGTTAGTCAATCTGTGTGGCGCCTGCCAAGTACAATCCTCTTTTATGTTTGTATGCGCAGTACTGCTCTGGTTCTTGTTAGTTTCTTTAGATTCACATCGCATTATCCTCTGCTAACTGCTAACAAACTCCCTCTCTCTCTCTCTCTCTCTCTCTCTTTAGCAGGTTAGCGTGCTGATCAGAGGACAGACAAACACAGTAAGTGATTCAATGTGATCAACCTGATTAAATCTCAATTTCTTATAGAGGACAGAAATAACTTCAGTAGGTTTTCAATCATCGGCATGTTAACACACTTTACAACTAAAGGTTCAAACTAAATTGGCCAAAGTGCACTAGATAGAAACAAGCGAGTGAACGCCAACCGCCTGCCGGCTCCAGCTTCATATTCACCATCCAGACGTATATTCACACTCAACCAGAAAACAAATACCTGCGTTTTGCTAAATGTCGAACTGTTCCTTGAACTTATGATTAACGGTTCTGTCCCCCTCTCCTCAGGCGGACGGATGTTTCATCTCGGGCCAAAGAAGAATGACTCTGCTGAGATTGAAATGTATCGTCTTGTAATTATCGCTATCTAACGGGGATTAGAGCTCCAGTGCTGGTCAACCAATCACGATGCTGGACACCAAACGGCCGCTGGGTCCCTACGTACAGCTGTGATTCTGTGTGTCTTGTCACTGTGGTTTGACTTTTGTATTGATTTGAACATGCATAGCTTAACGAAAATCAGAAGCCTACTGACTTGTACTGTAACGTGTGTGTGTGTTTGTGTGGGTGTGTTTTCTGAGGGTTGAGTAAGTTACACCAGGAAGGGACAGAAAGGTGTGTTCAGGTGGTTTTTGAACGTTTAACAAGTGTAAGAACACTTCAGGATGGAAATACAGGATGTACATAGTATGGTGGAGAGGAAAACTGGGCCGAACACATGGGAAAGTCAAAACGAGGAGAACTGAGTTGAAATGTTTTAGTTTTTCGGCACTGTGTGCTTAGTATTTATTGCTTTTGATTTGATTTTTCGACATCTACTCATTCAGTTTGAGTGTCCATGTGTACGCGATGGTGGTCCAGGCCTGCTGAGACCACAAGCTTTAATGGGCCGTTTGCTGCTGTACCGAACGCAGCCCAGTGCGTCTGAAACCTGGAGGAGATTAGTGCACGGACGCTGGAGTGAGAGCAGCTCGCATTGTCCGGGCCTCGCTGTGTATCTCGGTACTGCAGAGGGACAAGTCAAAGAGGAGATATCTGATTTGTGTGTGTGTGAGTGTGTGTGTGTGTGTGTGTGTGTGTGTGTGTGTGTGTGTGTGTGTGTGTGTGTGTGTGTGTGTGTGTCTCATGTGAGGAAGAGAGACCATCTGACACCATTTGCTTTAATAGAGTACCAAAATGGGCGGTGTATCCCAATTACAAAAGTTAAAGGTTAAGTTTTTCTCAACTTGAGAATGGGGAAGCACATGATTGAAGGAATGTGGCGGAAAGAAAAATGTATCACCCCAAATAATATTTTCCCTAAAGAATCACAACTATTTTTTTTATACTTTCACCTCTTTGATTGAATTCAACAAATAAGGTCAACAAAGACAAATTATTCTACAACAAGAGAAGAAAACACAACTTATGATTCACCCAAATTCTACTCATTAATCACAATTTTCTCTGGATGTTTTTACTGCAATGCTCCTGGGGTGTTGATGGCTTTTTTTTCCTACCATCAAACTTTTATGTTCACCAAAGCCGTGAAAGGGTTCCAACCATTATCGAACATTATCAATGCAAAAAACCAATGGGGCTTTTACTTTGTAAAGTGTTTCTCACACTTTGCTGCTCTCTGGCAAGCTTCCTCTCACATGAGTAGAACCGCAACAAGCAGCCCCAAGTAACAGACCATAATATCTACCAGGTCAGGTGTATTTATTTTAATCTGGCACATGTGAAATAATGTCAGAAATACGTTCTTAGTATTTCAGCGTTTTGCTTCCAGCTCACTGGAAGCTTTACTTAATTATTGTACATTTTTGGATCAGATTTTAGTTGTACATTTATTTTCCTTTCAGCCTGTTTGTTGTTGTTTGTCAGACTGCTTGCATTTGTGATTATCATTTTCTCTGATCAAATAATTGTGTATGAGATTAAATACATGAAATAACTCATGTTTTAATGTGTGTGTGTGTGAGACGAGAGCGAAATCTTGATTGACAGGACAGCTGTGTCCTGACATGAAACTGTAAACACGCCTCTGAACCTGCCTGAGCTGACTGCGAGTAAAAAAGCGTGTTTCCTCTGGAATAAATAATATTTAACGTTAAACTAGTCCATTGGTTCGTCTTTGTGGCTGTTGGTCCTAATATTTCAGGGCAGGAAAATGAGAAACTAGGACATGAAATCCAATCAATAACTCATACGTGACTTTTCTCTACTTTCTCAGAGCTCCTCCGTGACCTCAACATTATTCCCGCCTCGTTTGTTCATGTTTGAGTACAATTTGTGCGCTTTGGTAGATGTACTTAGTTACTTATTACTTAAGTTATATTCCATAGCAAAAATACCATCCCATTGAGACCATGTGACTTTTTAAATAAAAAACGCGGAAACTGTTTCTAAATACAATCACAGTAGTTCTGGCTGTGAAAGCCTTCAAAATCTTACTTTATTTAAAGTAAATAAAACACGTAGTTGCCCTTTTCAACGTGATAAGTATTATTTATGAAGTGCTGGAATATAATGATGCATTAATGTGATTTCATTGTTCATGTTAGAGCAACATTTTAACAAATTTAAAAAGTGTTTGGTTTTGTAATGTCACATTTTAACAAATGACAATTGAAATAGTGAATGAAGTACTTTTCTCTTGGAAACCAGAGACGACGTCTTTGCTCACACATATTTCTATAAATAAACAGCCGATCTTTCTCTGCATGTTTGACTTTTTAAGATTCCCCCTGATTTAGTGTCCTCGTTAGTATGGATGAACAGTTCTCACTTTTCCCATGAGCTTCCTACAGAGGTCACGGCTCTTTGTTGTTGCATACGTGTGTGTGTGTGTGTTTGCGAGGTGGGGGTGTGAACTATAGACTGAATAAAGCTCACTGAGGTTTCTGTTGTTGGTGACCTCACTGACTGCTATAAATAACCCCCCGCCTTCTATATACGTACTCACACGGCGCAGTTAGGACCCTGTTTATTGGGGATCCTTGCTCATTCTTCCTCTCAGGGGTCAAACAGAGTTGAACCTTCTCTTCTAGAGCAAATTATCAACGAGTCCATTTGACCTCACTGACACTTGAAATAACTAATTATTCCAAAGATTTCTTGATTCCAGCGCATAAGATTGGAGGATTTGCTGGTTTTCTCTGTTTGGAATCATTGTAAATTTGATCCTTTTTGTTTTTGGACTCTCGACAACAAGATTTTCCCACGTTCATTCGGTGCGTCTAATCTGCACATGCGACAGTTACTACTTTTCCCTTCTTTCCTTGAATAGCAGCAGTTCAGAGAGCTGCTTTCAACTTGTTGCAGCACGCTTCAGCTTCACCTGTTGAGGAACCCGAGAAGAAAGATGTTAGACCAGATGGAACCAGAACACGGGTTAAATGTCTGACCTCGAGAAAACTAGACAAAACAACATGTTTGGAGATTTGTCTAAAGGGTGTCGAGAAAATCTCAAAGGGTGACGTCTTCCGTCCAGGTTCAAAAGCCTGATATATAAATGAAATTGAATGGGATGGGAATATTGCATAAAAAATGACATTTTAGTCCAAACTCTTTCGGAGATATTGATTGACAGCTATTAAAAAGATAGGAAATAGATAGGAAAGAAAAAGATCTGCTTTTGCTGAACAAGTTCTGTTACCTTTCAGATTTTAATCAAACTATGATTTACTTTCTGTAATGCTGCAGCTGGAAAGTTTGACCTTTTCAGATCTATAAAGAACAGAAAGACCCACTGCTCGAAACTCAGACATTTGCAACCTGTGACACGTTGAGTAAATATTTTCCCAATTTAAAAGGTCACATGTCAAAAAAGTTTGGCAACTGGGATATCAGGCAATTAAACAAAAGAGCCAAAAGTGCGTTTTTGTACTTAATCATAATTGTAATCACTTTGAACACACATTTATTTTGTGATATACACCATTTATACATATATTTATAACTGAAAAAACATTTTTCTCTACTTCCAAAGTGCATTCTAACCAATCCAGCTCAAGGGGTATGCAGGTAAACACCTCCAGCATCTCCTGCATCACCGACTAGCTGACAGACTGGTCTGTGTCTGACACAGGGGGCGGAGGGGAGGGGGGGGGGGGTTCTGTTGCCTCTTTCAATGCAGCTTAGAGAATTCTTAGATGACTGCAGTTGTCGGGTGTGTTAAATGTATACTGGAATAGAAACACGGGGACATGGTGGCCAGCTTCACTGCAGGAGCTGCGGAGGGAGATGGTCATTGACTTCATGAGAACATGGATCCCTGATCAATCCTGTCAACGTTCTGGGAGAAGATATGCAGGTGTAGTACAATTGACTTGGGGTCTAGTTGACAACAGACCGGGTTGGAAATGCAACCCTGAGGATGTTTACAGGAAAGGACGGAGCAGACTCTACTTCCTGTGGAAACTGGTCCTTTAATGCTCACAACAACATGTTGAAGATACTTGAGCAGTCTTTTGTTCAAAGCTCAGTTTAGCTGGTTCAGTGGCATCAGCTGTGGGAACCACCCTGCAGCCGTTCGAGGTGGAGGTGCTGGTGGAGAGGAGGATGCTGAACAAACCGTTGTGGGAAATACCTCACATCCTCTTAATGTGGTCCCAGGCCATGAGTCATTTCCGTATACATTGTAATCATACTGGTGCATGCAGTTTTAACAACATCTGATTTACTCTAAAAACTTTAATCTGGCTTTAAGAGATTTGCGAGCCTAGCAACCCATAATGCAACGCTTTCTGAATGTCGCCTTCCTTGCATTGGAAAAGAATAATATTCTAAGTACTTAACCGGCTTAACCTTACGTCTCCAGCCCTCGCTTTCAATTCATCATGCACTTTCCAATAAAACATATATTGTCTTGTATTCAGGCCAAAGCAGTATTTGTATTTCTTATTTATTTAGCTGCACTCAAAAATGGTTCAGCTGTCTGAGTCAATTTAGTGTTATCTGGTGAGGATTAAAAAACACGTAAATGAATATTTCTTTATTTATTGACTCATCAATATATATCGAGTCGAATGTCTTTCTCTTTGTGCTCAACCTGAGGATCTAAATCTAAATACCTGTTTAACGAGCTGGCTAGTTAGGCTAACTTAGCGTCTACACTTGTCTACAAGTGTGCAATGACAGTTTAAAGAGACTTTAGGACCCCGCGGAAACCTCTGCAGCTGGTGAGAGAGCGCGAGCAGGGCCGGTTGGTAGGAGAGAGAGAGACGCGGGGGGTGAGAGAGGGTGAGAGAGGGAGAGAGAGAGACCCACACAGGGGGTGAGAGAGAGGGAGAGAGAGAGGAGCAGGCGAGGGAGCGCGACGCGAGCCAGCAGCGCTGAGAGAAGACTCGGTGGAGCGAGAGGAGAGAGAGCGTCAGGGTCCGTGTACCTAAGGACGACAAGGTAAATATAAACGTTTCCCGTTAGCTTGTTGCACTGAACGAGCGTTAGCTATTAGCTCTTTAATCTATGCTAATGCTACAGTTATGTCCTAAAGTCATCGCGCGCTCCGGAGCCAGACCATTGGTTCCGTCTTAGCAGATGATGTGCGCGTGAAAACGGAGCGGTTCGCGCACGCGGCTGTGGTGAACTTGGTGAGTTTGTTTGTGCCGCGGGAGGGAAACCACGGCAACCGGACCACCTTCATACAACGTGCTCCCCCCGGTTCCCCCGCCTCACAGAGGAAACGTTGAACCGGAGCGTCCTCCGCTGCCGCCAGATGCAGACACATCAGCGCGCGCAGCCGCCGCCTGCAAGCCGAGTGAGCGAGAGGGCGGGCACGCGCCTGCTGAGGTTAACGAGTGCATTCGGTCTGGAGCGCGCTCCCGTGAGTGTTCTTCTACCTGACCCGGTAACGGTTACGGTCACACTGGGTCACGGGTCTCTCACCGGCCGCGCAGCCCCCGGGACATGTACGCCGTTATTTGGGGAGGCTGTCCGGTTAAGGCCGCGTGAGGTCGTCCCGGTATTAATTGTCATAAAGCTGATGTCCGTGAAGCTAGCAGGGAAACTCCCGCACTTCCGGCGCAGACTTTAAAATAAAAGTATCGCAATACACTGCGGTAAACACTTATCTCTGTTAGAAAAGGATTTTAGTCTGATCACAGAGATTGATAACTCATGTCTGTTCTTGGAATGTTATTTTAGCAACCTGTGTGGAGTTTACATTATAGAAATCAGCAAAACCTATTTTGGGGATTGATTTAGCTCATCCCATTAAATTCTACCACTCATTAAAGGCCAACATTAAATAGATAGGTTTCAGGATTCAGTATTTTCCCATCATCATGTTATTCCTGGCAGACCTATACCTTTCTAAAAACCTCTTTCAATAAATGAAAAACGACAAAAAAAGTACAATAAAATAAAACATTTTAGAGACTACATTGTGAGGGTCAGTGAAAGGCGTGCTGTGGGAACAGGACTGGTGTCCTCAGATGGCCTCATCATTTGACCATCTGAGGCTTTGGACCACTTGGTTCTCTACTGAAGAAAAAATGTGAGTTTCAAGGCAGCAGTTAATGGCCTGTAAGAACTTGTTGCTACGAAGTACAGAGAAAACTGTATCTCTGAAATTATACCACAATTATAATCTGATTACTTTTAAGTACAGGTAAAAAATACCCAGCTCCGTTAAAAAAGGTTTTCCCTATTGATCAATAGGGGAGGAGAACCTTACAGCTGCACAAAAAATGGAAAGCAATTAAAATGTATTTATATCAAGTGAACAACGAAAAGAAAATAATATAGAATACAGTTGATGCTTTTGTTCTGAAGATAAATTACCTACTTCCTGTCGTATCACTGCCATACTCTCATTACCTTAACGCACCCCAGAGGCTTTTTTTCTCTGCGCAACCATTTCTCCTCCCACCAGTACAGGCTTCTGCTTGGGCCTTTAACTGTGGTCTCAGTCGAGCCACTGCTGCATGAACACCGACACATTTCAAAATCAGTGTTCACAGGCCTGCTACAGGAAGGAAAGCTGTGTGAGTGACAAATATATGCAGAACACGGAGGAGCAGTTTGGCCTGGAGCTCGTGCAGGCAGCCCTTCGGGGGTGTGGGGCGGATAGTGTACACCCATTTCTGCAAAGTTTCCACCCCTATCTTTCCTCTGTTAGCCCTGGCCGGCTGCTCGTTGTCTTAGCATTAGGTGATGTAAGGCCACAGCGTGTGGAGTGACATGCTGCACAATGCGTCTTGAGGGAACCCAAACAGATTGGCTGCACTCCCACTGTGCTCAAATCCAAATCACCGCCGGGGTCCAGTTTTCCGCTGGGCGCGTACATACATAGTGTTGTAAGATCCTTTAGTGTTTGGATCGTGTTCAGTAGCTGAACAAATCACAAGCTCGAAATAACGAGCAAAACCTCACACCCGATACGCTCATAAGTTTTATGTCAGGAAACTTTAACAGACGCCATCATGTATTCTGTCGTATATGTGTATTTGTTGCAGTTAGTTTGTGATCATTTGACCAATTTCTACGTTATCTTGACAAAAATGTTTCCGCTGGTAATTAAACTTTGCTGCATATTCCTAAATTTAGCAGAACCTGAAACTCTATCCGACACGCCACAAACCTGCAGCACGTCAGTTCGTCACAGCGGGGGCTTCTGGGTGTATAATGAAAACTGCCATGTGTAGTCCTAGTCTGTAGGTACTTAGAGGTAACAAGATACTTACACATTGCAGCGCGAGAGAGGGAGGAACTGGCCCCACAGCAAAATTCTGCCCCAAGGTCCCCAGGTGGCTTAATCCGGCCCCGCATAGTTATGCCGCTTTGGCTTGGTGCTGAATTACCAGACAGTAACACACGCAAGAAAACACCACAAACAAACTTGATAAGTGGTTCGCATTTGAACATTTGTCTTAAAATGTCCTCAGCTTGTGTTTTATGATCGATCGATTCACTGAACCAATTTTAAGTAGCTAAAATCTGAAAGTGCACATTTAGAGATCGGATGGCGTAACACCGTTCTGGTTAGGCATTGCAGGAGTAAGAGGTTGAAGACGGGGCAAAGGTCACAGATTCTGAGGGGCTGATGTAGCAAGACAAAAAAAACCCACAAGTCGTTAAGGGGAGTTTTAATCTGGATTCAAACAAGGAGCATGAGCCGTTTAATTGGCTCATCTTTAAATCCATCTGCCTTTTTGGCAGCTGGCGCGTGATCTCAGGCCCGGTAGCAGAGCAACAGCACTGAATTAGACAGAGAAGGGCAGCACCATCTTGTATGTGGCATTAGGCTTCCCCGTCTGCTCCTCAGCGCTGCGTATCTGAAAGACATAAACTGTACACTGAACACACTCGTGCCTCAGAGCCAGATATGGGCATATTTTGTTTGTGCGCGTTGGCCGTTGGTCGGTAAACGCCCTTTAACAGTCTCAAGAGTTTACAATCTGCCAGAAAAGCTGGGAATAAACACAAATCCAAGCCGATCCAAATCAGGGCTTTACAGTCAAAACCTGTTCTTACAAATCTGTCTTTACCAGAAATAGCTTGACTTCTTTTGGCCTGCTCAATAGTTGTGTAACTTATTACCTTCCATCTTACAAATAATGAGCCATAAAACAAAAGAGAGACAAAAATGAGCAATCAGGTTACGCATGGCTTCCTCCAACAGCGCCATGTGGAAGCTGTTTCCAGGAGTCATAGCAACTTTCAAATTGAAGTGACGTGATTCAGATGTGACGTTTGGGCTACAGATCAGTCGAACAGTAAAAAATGAGTATTAATCTTGATTTATGGCTTGAAAGAAAAGCCCAAATCACCGTTATTCAAACAAAAGAAGGCGATGCCTTAGATTCCGAAAATTCCTGTTTTTCATTAATACCATCTGAAAATGCAGTAAATGTGAAGTGGATGCTGGTAGCCTTAAAACCACTTTGTTGGGTTCCATCCCCCCCTTTCATTTGTTTCCTGTCTGTCTCTACTGCCCGCTCTCAGTTTCACCCCTCGACTCGAAAACAGTCAGATACAGGAAGGTTAATAGAGCGCCCAAATCAAGAGTAAAAACAATAGATGAACTTGTGATGTGTACACCTTCTTAAAAGCAAATGTGTATCCTGGTTGAAGGAAAACAATCAGATTTACTACCTGCAAACTATAATGAAACAGAAGATTGTATCCAGCCATGTCAATCGAACACTGTGACAGCCACTTTGACAGCTACTCTGATTCTGGCAGTTTCCTCTGAGACCATCCGTGAGTGAGTGTGTGTGCATACATGTGTGTTAATGCTGTGAAATGGAATATTTTCTGCTCCCCGTGTGAAGGGCACCTATCCATCAAGTAGAGTTCATAGAGACACCTTTGCAACCGCAACCCCGGGACTTTTCTGTGTGTGTGTGTGTGTGTGTGTGTTAGTGGGTGAGTGAGTGAAATGAATGAAGAAAAGAAGATGTGAGACACCAACTGAGGCTGATGTCTTTCTCCAACTGCACACATGTCCTCTCCCTGTATTTCCACTCACGCTGTGTGTGTGTGTGTGTGCTTTTGCTTCCTCTTTGTTCGGCAGGAGAGGGGACGGACTGACGGACTGAGCGATCGTCCGACAGACCGGCGGGCGGACTGACTGAATGAAGCAGCGGCTGGTGCTTCTGACGGACTCTCCCATGTTCTGATCTGCTCCATTCTCTTCCCCGTAAGCTCGGCCCCACTAAGCCGCTCTCAGCCATGCCGTCCAACAGCCCCGCAGCCTCCGAACCGCCCGTGACCCTGGAAAACGACATCGCCAACGACGTGGTGAGTCAGCCAGGGGCATAACCACTGATATACATTATTGTTAATATACAACGGGAAGTGGTGTGTGACTGCACACAAGCAATAAGAGTGGTTCAACTTCAGGTGTAAAAGAACTACTGTTACCGTTATTATTGCTGCTTCTGTGATTCATATTCAATTACTACTACAGCTATATTTGCAGCCAGTGATATCATTACACCCACCGCCACTTTTACTACAGCGATCGTTGCCATCATTAAAGTGTGTGTGTAATTACTGTACTCGATTATTTATTTACATTCAGGCCTTTCTGCATTCTGCACACCCCGAACACACGCAGGTGAGAGGAGTACAGGGGTTCGCCTCTCAAACAGTGCTTTTGTTTTTTTCTACACAAATGAGCAAACACACACATTAAACACGCAGCGTTACAGGACAAACACAAAGTGGAAAAATGGCTTCTTTCATTTGCTTCCCCCACAGCAGGCCTCATAAATCTGTAAGAAGTTTGAAGCTCACTCTAAAGTGCTGCCGTGTACAGAGCCGCCTTACTCACTTCCACACTCGCATGCTGGCAGAGAGCCAACATGAACAACGTTTCCCTTATAGAGTTCTTTTTCTTTAATAAAGGGTTTGTTGTGCTTTTCTAACTTCCTAAGACTTAACTTTTAGGACAGAGAGGAAAACGTGGCGGGAGAAGTGTGAGGTTTGAGTCCATTGCACATGAAAGAAGATGCTGCTCATATGCTAAAGATAGAACAACATCTCTGTGATGATCAGAAATAATGTCAGTGTAATGCCGTGTATCATCTGTCAACGCGTCAAAAAACCAAAAAAAAACTCAAATTTAAGTTTGAAAAGATTGAACTTGTTTTTGGAAAAATCTATGCACTAATTGGGGTGAGATTACACAAAGGATGAGCACGTCCAAAATTCAGACATGGTGCTCTTACTTTGTGTAGGAAGATTTACACTCACAGTCACACATGGAATTATACGCCCAAAAACCGCATTGGCCCAGATATGAGCCCATACATTTTTATTATGTTTTATGGCTTGAAAATGAAGCACTCCCCGTTTCACTTAGTGCACTAATAACAAATAAGCAAGGTCCACTTTCCTCTCTATTGCCTCGACTGCCAAGTGCCTACATCCACATATTGAAGACTGCCGGTCCCGTCGGGGGAATTGTAAACCTTTTCAATTAGTCTGGACGCAAGAGCCGAGTCTGAGGCATTACGAGGTGAGGCAAAACTAGAAATGAATTCACCGAAATAAAGTTTAAACATGACGATGCTATTTGGTTATTTGGTCATGGTAAAACCGCTAACTGATTAAACTGTTGGTGGAGAGGAGGGCGAAAATATATTTTTGGCGAGTAGATTTCTGACTAATAAAACAACATTTATGTATAACCCTGCACGATTAAAGCTAATTGCTGCAACGGAAATTTGAAGATGGTAAACATGTGTAGAACAACACTGTATTCTATCAGTCTCGCATTTGCTACGGGAAAGATGTAGTTGTTGTCATATTGTTGACTATTAGTGTCCAACATAGCGACCACCAGGAGATTATGCTCACTCGTCTATTTGTTGTGTAATGTCCATTCCGTCACAGGGTGAAATGTAAATACTGATTGTTTAACAATAGGGCTGCGTAAGGCCTCTGCTCTGCTCTGTGCTATAAACGTGTTAAACGGCGAATCTATGCGGATGCTGAATCTAGATAGAATCCGGTGTTGACGTCTTCATCGTCTAATGATTAAGTGGGTAACAGATTCAGAGTGATGTACAGAGAGAAAGCAGAACGGAGAGGGGGGAGAACGTACTGTAGGGATTGGGACGAAGGAAAGAGGACATGCTGTCTGCTGCTGACGGGATCCTCCTCTGCTTGCCTGGTTGGCAGTCTGGTTGCTTAGCAACTGCTGTGGCCTAAAATAACCTGCCGGGAGACAGAAATAGACCAAAGATGGACAGATTGGCCTGTGTGTGTTGCAATAGGTTTTTTCAAGGGTATAGTTTCATTTCTTTTTTCGGTTCATATTTGACCTAATTTTTACTTATCCAGAACAACTACGCACACCGAGTACACGCGTACTATTAAAATGTGTGTGCGTTGTGATTCAGGCATATGGGCAACTCACCAGGCAGACAAGGCGCGGGGCCATTACCCCGTTCTAGCTGGTTGCTGTGCTGGTTGTAAGGGAAGTGACATCAAAATGTTTAGTCAGCATGGAGGACCCATTGGAGACGGTTGCTAAGCAGTTTTCTGCACCTTAGCAACCACAACAGAGGGTCCAACAGAGGAGAGAGAGGCAGGTGGTAATGATTAAAGCAGAAAAGAGTAAAAAAAAGAGCGTTATTTATTATCAAACTAAGCCTGACACGGTCTCCTGTACACAAACAGATGGTTGTAAGATACACTGCAATGGGTTTTTCACACAATATGACACACGTTGTGATGAAGTTGAAGAACAAATGCTGACGGTCCAATTCAAGAAAGTGTATTAAAACAACAAGCACAAAGCTAAATACTTCCAAAGGCAGCGAAGCGCATAAAGACAGCCCGAATACGGATAAAAAGGTCCATGATTACAATCACTGCGGCGGACAAACACCTGCCGTCTGGCTACAACACAACCATCTTAGTGACAGGCGTCTCACTAAATGAACCTTTTGACTGCAACAGGTGTTGCTCATTTAATTTAGCTCTCTCATGGGTGCTCCCGTGTCCAATAGAAATGTAGCATGGACCTGCTACTGAAATGTTGCCCAGAAATAATGTAAAAATAGAACGTGAGGGAATTATTTTTCTTTTGGGGGGGCTACATCTACCCAAAGATTACTAATGTGTTGGTCATGTGAGGGTTAATGAATGGATATTTTGGTGACTACTTGTAAATGATTGTGGGGAAAACAAAGAGGGATTTGTGTGTGTGTGTGTGTGTGTGTGAGGGTCTCGACTCAGAAATATTTACATTGGCTCCACAATATCCTTATGGACTTGGACCTTCTGTTTAGCAAGATAATCTTGACAGACGAGCAGCGCTTCAATGATTGATGAAGTGTGAATGCAGAAGTTCGATGTAAAGAGTTAACGTTATGCTGTAAACCAACAACTGTGAACAGCTAGTCTGCGTGATGACGTTTTCGTGTCTCCTTTAGCTGCTTATGTTTGTGGTAACAACACAAACAAAAAAACAAACCAAAAATAACTGATAAAAATTTCAACTTCTACCTGAGATTTATGACCTTGAATAATGACGTAAATGATCATTGTTGAATATTTGATCATTTGATCTGAAGAAGCTGATTCGAAGCAGAAGGATGTATTACCCAGAGCACTTGCCTGATTTTATGCGGAGATATTATTTTGAATTTAGTAACGATTCTCTAAAAATCAGCTTGGGGATTCACATAGAAACGGCTGTTTTCCGACATGCATAACTCGATCTTTCTCCCTCCCTCCCACTCACTCTCCCTCATCTTTCTCCCTCTCTCTCCCTCCCTCTCTTTGACCGTCTCTGTGCTTTACCTTCTGTGTGTTGATCACTCCAATGGGGTAAAATTAAATTAGGTTCCGTTTACAACCACGATAACCAACATAACCAAACATGCTGACCGTTATTCTGTCTATAAAGACACCAATTACGACCGATTATTTAAGGATCAGTCGACAGACAATAGACTTGACCGATCAGATTTTACTTTACTTACTTTTTATCTTGTAGGAGTTTTTTGTATCTATCCAGAGGAAAGATCTAGAAGTACTGCTGTACATGTATCATGTCTTGGTTTACTAAACACAGCTGGATTTCATGTCAGCAAACATTTCCTTCACCGGTTTTGTCTTTCATATTGCAAACATTTTTAGCTCGGGAGAAAGGAACTTTTATCTTTGTCAAAACTTCATAAAACGTGTGTCGTGTGTTTTTACCTTATTTACCTTTTACCTTATTTATTGTGTGCTACCCGTTGTTATTTCATTACTAATCCCCCAAATCTCTTTAAATCTGTGCGGCCTCACTGCTGACATCAATTATCACTTTACACAGCCGTTGAATGGGCTGCGTGTTTGATGTTGCCTCCCCCGTTATTGTCCAGAATGAAGACGGAGCAGACCATGACAGTCCAGAGGAGGGGACACCGGCGAGCCCCCGCACCAAGCGCAGAGTGGGCCGTCCCGGCAGGAAACGCAAGCAGCTGCTTCCTGTGAGTACTGTAATTATGGGCTGTCTTCAGCCTTTCCTGCTCCACACCGCTGCAGAGTGATTGATTACCTATTCACATACACAATGCCCCCCCCAACCCTCACCCCCGCCTTGCCTTGATAAGATGTGTTAAACATGCATGGTTTCCAGAAACACTTTGCTTCACATTCATGCACTCACACCTACGAGCTGCCGAGTGGCTGCTGGATCCGTTTATTCTAATTACACATAAATCTGAGGAAGCATTAATTACGGGTCACGTTTGTTTGACGGATAATGTGGCGGAGCTCTTGCCTCCTCACAACCGCTTTTCATGGCTGCTCTTTCTTCTGTTGCTTTTACCTGTGACATTGAGACATCTGCAGTGTGTCTTAGTAACAGGGATTCCCCTCAGTATTGACTGTTTTGCCGGAGAAACGTCAGCTTCATTTCCTCATTTTTTTGTCATCATTTGCACATGTCGGTCTTGTTCCATCCCCCAACATTTACCCCTTTGCCTGAAGCTGAAATTCAAGAAAAGGTCTGATTTATTAGAACCAAACCTTGTGAATTCTTTGAGTTATAATAACATTGTACTGGCCAAAGCATTCAAGATCAGTTTTTTGGGATACACTAAATATAAACAGTATCACCACGGACACAAGCCAATCACCTTCAAGTTCACAAACCTGTCCTGGAATCAGGAATCAGGAAACATTTATTGCCAAAATATGTCAAACATACAAGGAATTTGTCTTGGCGGTTGGTGCGTGACAGTAGACAGTGTAACAATAGACAACAAGACAAAAGTGCACAAGTAATAAAATAATATGCGAATGCTAATGCAATGGGTTAGTAGAATAAGGCTATGGGTTAGTATAAAATAAGAATAAAGTAAAAAATTAAAAATATTTAAAAAGTTAAAAAATATTTAAAAATAAAGTGCACTATCGGACAAATGACAAAGGGACCTCTGAATAAAGAAAAAAGAATAAAAGGCAAAATAAACGAGAAAAGCATCATTCACCATCAGTCACTGGTCACTCATTGTTTCAAAGGGCAGAGAATAACAACTGGAGTGGCTGTAACTGGCAGAAGGTGACATTCACACCGGCTCCTGCTGGTTCTCTTCATGGAAAATATCTGTGTGACTGTGACTGTTTCTTTTACACCGAGTGTTAAACTCTTCATGTGTTAATTTGACGACCTTCAAGGCCGCAGTAATGAGGGAGCTTCACCCTCACTGAGACGACACCAAAGACTTCTCCCAAGGTCTTTTGCAGCTGCTCTCCTTCATGTTTCTCCATTCATCCTCATATTGCTCATCTTGTGCGTGTGTGTGTGTGCGTGTGTGTGTGTGTGTGTGTGTGTTTGTGCGGATGTGCTTGTGTGTGTCTTTGCGCTGACTGAACTCTGTGATCAAATCATCAAGTCAATGTAGCTGATCAAACACTGATCACACACAGAAATACTGACTGAACTACTCTGAGTGGGTATGTGCACGTGTGCATTTGCGTGTGCTATCTGTGGGTGTTCATTCACGTGTGCAGGAGAGCCGGTCTGATCATGCTTTGATGTCTGAGCTCTGACAAGGCAGGCAAGATGAATGTGGGTCCTGTCACACACACACATGAATATTTACAGTAACACACATACAGCTGCAGATACAACACACATGTTGCATGCACCAAAAGGTCTGCATGTTTGCAGGTTGTATTTGTTCTACACTTACCCATAGTAGCCATAACTAGGATTATCATAATTAATAAGCTAGCAGGACCAGCAGCAGCAGTAATATTGGTATATTAATAAGCAGTGTTTCCAACCTAGCGGTGGTGAAAAGACCGGCTGGGGGGGGGGGGTAGTGTTCGGGTGAACGCACCGACGCTCTCTGTCCACGGGGGCGAGCGTGTCCGTGTACGCGCACGTGTCGGGGCAGAACTGCCGTACGCTGATTACCAAAGCCAATGTTGAATCAACTGTCTATGCAACATGGTTCAAGTTAAATAACCCTTCAATGAATATCAAAAAATCCTATTGTATTATTTTCAGTGGCGAGAAATCTTACTTAGGATTTAACAAAAATTCAAATGGAATCTCTTGCAAAGTTCACCAGATACGTTTTGGTAGGATTGCAGCACGATCACAGTCTCACTTCTCAGCTGCTCTTTTATTTATGTATGATGTTAATACCTCTTTAACTTGCATTTTTATGTATAAGATACTTTTAGGTGAAGGAAATGTTCCTGATCATTTCAAGTCCTACTTCAAAGTTAATTCACAGATTCACTCATACTAAACTCGTCACTTATTGTACGTCGCTTTGGATAAAAGCGTCAGCTAAATGACATGTAATGTAATGTAATGTAATGTAATGTCAATCCCATTTTCATCTTCTTAAATCATTGACTAGCAGAGATCAATTTTCTATGGAAACTAAACTATGGAATGATTTTTCCCACCTGACAAAAAATGTCAACAGTGCCTAAAAGAATTTCTAATTGCTGTTTTGTAAGAGTTTGTTTGCTGTTTGTGCATCCGTGTTCATTACTTGTGTTGTTTTTTGCTGTTATATCCACATGTATAGTTGTTTCTCTGAGCATTCCCTTTGTTTAGGAATTACCACACAGGTACAATCACACTCACACACTCAACACAATTACATTATCAGGAATCAGGAAACATTTATTGCCATAACATGTCAGACATACAAGGAATTTGACTTGGCGGTTGGTGCATAACAGCAGACAGTACGACAATGGACAACAAGACTTTGTCTTTTCTTCTTTCTTTTCTATTTAGGTGTCTGTATTATGCATATTTCATTTTGTAAAAGATTTTTATATTATATAGGTGGAGGCTTCAAATAAGCACAGTTGGCTTTTTGCCTCTTCCTGCGCACTGTGCATTTATCTCTATTACGTTTGTTTATTTTGTAGTGCTTGAATTGTGCAAATAAATAAATGATATAGTACCAGTAGTCATAGTCGTGGCAATGATCGTGTACTAGTAATTGAAGTAGTTGTTCGAGCGGAGGAGAGCAGCAGCGTCCTCCTCCGACCAGGAGCAGAGCTTCCCCTCGCTGCTGCGTCACTCTGCTGAAGGTAGAAGGGACCCCATACAACAATGTCAACAACCCCTTCAACATTTATCCTATGCCAGTATGGTTACCTCTAGTAGTCGGGGAACAGACAGGATCCTCCTCCCTGTTAACACACACGCACGCGCAGTGGAGGGCATCCGGGGATGGAGGCATTGTGGAGCTCAGGGTGGAGCTGCCAGTAACATTAACTAAAGAGAGCAGAGAGGGAGGCAGCCTCACTTTCTCTGCTTCTTTGTCTCGTTCGCCTCTATCATAAGTAATCACACACACACACAGATATACCTGTCAGGACAGATGTTAACATGGCAATGGTGATACTTTCATGAATAAGTAGATTAGCTTCATGGTCCTTAACTATTTCAAGCTTCCATCATTTATCATCTCACACTCTTCGCTTCCTTTTTTTCTTCCTGCATCTGTCTATTTCTTTATTTTTTGGTTGCTCAATCACAGGGCTTTAAATTAGATGTCGGTCACCTCCATCTTCTTTTCTCTTTTGCTCTCTTTTTGTAGCCAGAACCATGTGTGGTGCAGCTGGTGTGTGTGTGTGTACAGTGCTTGAATTACAGTTGTATTAGAATGATATATTTTGGTAGCTTTCCCACCATTTATGTCGCCTAATGCTTGGAACAGGAAAATCCCCTCTCTGCCACAGTTAGTTACATCAACTGATACAAATAATGAAACTTTTATGCACCCTAATAACTAGATTTTATTCAGAGCAGAGCTAAAGTATAAGTAGTGTAACTGTCACATGAAACCTAAGATCTGAGGCATGACTTGATACCCGTGGCTTTCGAATTAATCCCAGCATTCATGCAGATCAGGAGGCTTTCTTTGCTGTTTTCTGCTTTTCGCTCAAACCTCAGAAGGTCACAGAGATGCGCTGACAATCCGGTTTGTTGTTGCAGTGGGACGTAGAAAAACCTAGAGCGGTCTAGGTTCAAAAGTTTAAAAAGCATTTTACAGCTAATGCAATCCGTTGTGTAGGTTTTAGCATGGTTTAAAACTTCTAATCACGTCAACTAAGGTTGTTGAGGAAGTTGGATTACTTCAAAGAATGTCAAAACTTTAAATAGATAATCATCTTTATCCAGATTTATGTATTTATTAGTTTCTATTATTCTCTGTTTATTAAAATGGCGTTTCTAGATTAAGTGTCTGATTGTGTGAAAAAAGAGAACATTTGAGCATTTTTATTGAAGGTACCAGATAGTAAATAAACATATAATTTAAGGCAGCTGCACTCGAAAGTATTTTACCATGCTGTTTTAAAAATAAGCTTTTTACCCTTAAAAGCTGACAAATTCAAGTGATTGTTTCCAATTAGTCAAACCTTAGTCAAACCTTTCTCTCTTGTACTTATTCCTTTTTAAAATCTTGCTCTATTTTCTTGCCATGTAATGTGTAACATAAACCTTTAATGTATATTCAGCCAGGAATTATAAAATAGCCCACATGGGGCAGAATGTCCACGAGACGCACGGTGTGACAAACAGTGTGAACTGCTCATAATAACTATTGTAAAAACATGTGTTACTTTATTATTTTGGGTAAACTACTGTTGTATTGTTTACATCCTGTACATCCTCCCTCTGGGTATCATCAAAGGTCCATCCAACCGAAAAACTGCACTTTGTTGCATTACTTAGTCAGTAACGTCAGGTACTTTCCACTCCGTCATTCAAGAGGGAGGTTAGATGCTGAGAGGTGGAGGAAGTGATGAAACCACCAGTGTGCATGCAGGAGATACCTGCTGGTGTCTAAGTCTAGTCTAGTTCTCTGAGTCTAACTCTTGAACTTTTATTTAAACAACGTTGAAGCTGCGTTAAGCAATACCTTTTATAGTCACACCGATTGACATGAAACAACCCTCTGTAGTGGGGATTTACACTCTAGACTGCAGCCGCATTAGGGTCATAGTTTTGGTTCACCGGCACAAATGAAACCCAACAATTGCACGTGATCTCACAGAAGGAAGTGAGTGAACACCCGGCTCACACAAGCCGGGTGTTCACTCACTGTTTGGCGCACAATGACGGCGAGGCGAAGTGGCTGAAGAAACATAGTAGACGTAGCAAACCCAAAGACATCCAGATATTTTTCTCAGGAGCTGAATTCAAATTGCATTCAAGTGGCCAAAAAGATGACTGCGAGTCCAGATTCCTCTGTTTCTGCTGGATGTGTAAGTAGTCAGTTGTTTGCTTAAAAGTTAGCCGTAGCAGCTAATGTAGCGTCAGAAATATGTGCCTCGTGCTGTAATGGTAAAATATTGCTTAATGCAGCTTTAATTTTCGGGCCTAAAACAGTAAATGTTGAGGCCATGAGTTCACATCAGAGACACTGGTGGTTTAATTTAATGATAAAGAAACTTTCATCTAAATTCATACTATTATGTTCATTGTTTTATGTACAGTTTTGATATTTCTGTGAGCTAATTTATTCTGGTGATAAGGTGTCCAAACATTTGTTTTTAATGGCTATTGGTTGATTTTTACGATGCTTTTGATTTTGGGGGGTGATAAAGTAGTGTATTTTATGTTACCTGCAATTTATTGAGATTAATGGATGCAATGTGATGAACACGATACACTTGTTTTTCCAAATGTTTTCTCCCAACTTTTTTCTTTCTGCTTTTGGCACAGAATCTCTGCTATTAATTTCAAAATAAATACACGTTATCCAATTAAGTTTGTTAATATAGACTCAGTAGTAATCTTGTTTTTATGTTTTATTAAAGCATTGTCGGCAAACAAATGGCTATTTCAACGCTATTTACATTTATTTAGCAAAAGGGCAAGCAAAAAGGGCAAGCAAACAATAATAATAATAACATAAATGTCTTTTGGTGTGATTTTTTTGGGGCACAATAGAAAATGTATTACGACCTTGTTGTAAAGTTGTAAACCCTGTTTAAGCGCCCAGTTGTAAAAATTGGCGCAAGGCCCTTCTAGTCCCCTTTTGTGTGCACTATTTTAACATTACAGCCTTTGTGGGATTGTTAGCACTAGCTAGCGTTAGCACAGTCTTGGAGCTTGACATTCACCCCGGCTCGTCATTTCCTAACTACCCATTAATGAAATGTTTCGGGCCTGTCAGCCGCGCACACATAAATATCCGGCTGTCTTTTCAGAGCTGACACTCGATCCGAGGTGATCATCATTAATGTTGGTGAGCCGATGGGACAAACATTGAATTAGCGACAGGCGTATACAGAGGGGATTGTTTGAGTGCGTAATCAGAAATCTGCCTTCTACCAACAAAATATCTCCTTTTGAAATGTGTGACATTTCAAAACCGTAAAAGCAATTTTAGATTTTCTGAAGTTAGTTTGTTAACTATTATTTCACATTATATCTAATTTTAACATAATGTAGCACGAGGGGATTCTCCCACATGTGTTCCTTAACCATTAGCGCAGTTAACAACATCAATAGCACTCCCCATCTCATCACATTAGTGTGTGTTTGTGTGTGTTAATGGGAGCTGGGGAGGTGTTTATTATACTGATCCAATGCAGACACACACTGCTGGATGTACCTGCTCTGCATTGCACTAACAAGGGCAGGTTAATAGATATGTGCTTGTATTGCAGTAGGTGTTTGATTGTGTGTGTGTGTGTGTGTGTGTGTGTGTGTGTGTGTGTGTGCATATAAGGCTTGTACTCTGTGTGTGCGCGTATGGTTATTATGTTTTCGGAGTCCTTCGTTGAGTGCAGACAAGGGCCAGCAGCTCTTTTCTCAGACCTAGACTGTGCTCCGTCTGTTTCCCAGGAGACGGCGACCTCTGACCCCTGTGTAATCGCCCCCCCAACCCCGCCGGAGGAGCCGGAGCCCTCCCCCTCCCCTCGCAAGAAGCGTGGGCGTCAGAAACTAGTGCAAACCGAGAAGAATAAGGGTATAGATATAATACAAAGTCATATCGTTATTAACATGATATAACTTTGCCCATTTGTACAGTGATTCAAAAGTAAAAACTGCTAAATTGTTGAGATTTTAGATGCTTTAACAATTTTTTAAAAAGTTACGATCAGTCTATGTCTAGTTTTTATTAATAAAAGAATGTGCTCAAGACTTCACTTTACCTGACATTTAATAGTCACATAACGTTCAGATGTCAGTGTTTTAGGACTTTAAACATGGATGCCGTAGCAGAGTGATGGAGACCATGACTTTACCTCCCATTCAACGTCTTGATAAATCTGTACAAATGGACCGTTTCCTGTAACTTCTCTTCTTCTGCAGACGAGCCAGACGACAGAAACTACGACTCCCCCAAAGAGGTGAGAAAAAACAGTTGCCCACCCCACTTCTTAATTTTACACCCAAAAATGAAGAAACACCACCTCTCATGGTACAAGCAGATTAAAATATAAGTATATAACAGGTTTTATATTGCATGTGTGTGCAGGGGGAGACTGGCAGGCTGCGGAGGAGGCCGGTCCCCAGAGTGACGTTCCAGGCTGGAGATCCGTACTACATCAGCAGGAGGCAGAAAGAAGAATGGCTCAGCCGCTGGAAGATGGAGGTGGGAGAGAAACAGGTCCCAGTCAGTGGCCATTTATACCCACTATAAGTTTGGAGGCTTTTATTTCCTTCTCTGCCCAATCAGAACAAAGCGGCTTAAGTCAACACATCAACCGGATTACTGGGCCGGTTCGAAAGATCTTAGTTTATTGTGTGAACACTCTTGATTGCGTTTGTTTTAAATGTTTTTTGTATTGGATCTCTTTAAATTTAAGATTTTGTATTGTTCAGCAACCAAAATATAGAAGAAGCTGTTTATTTTTTTGCCCTTTGTCCTGATGAGTAGTCAAGTTAATTTATTGTATTGGCAAACTCGATATATGCTGTTTTTATTTATATTGATTATATGTTCATTTTAAGCAAATAAAATGAGAAACCAGTCATAATGCTTTAAGTTCTGAATATTATTTGCCATATCTAAAAACATGAATTGAAGCCTGCGAGCTGCTTCACTTGACTAAAGTCACATGACGCACTCCACCTGCTGCGACATGTCTCCTCTGCACGCGTTTATTGTTGTGTTCACCCGTTTGCTGCTTGCCGGCTGTCACACCGCTCACTTACGTCGTCATTGGCTGCCATCGCTGCTGCTGATCATGTAGCCTTTCAAACAATCATTTTGACAATCCCAGTCAGAAAAGCACAGATAAAATGAATAATGGACAATCTTATACAACTTACATGGTCCTTTCACACTGGTATCTGTTTTTGGAAATAAAGCGTAAACATTGTCATGAGCTTAAATTTGTTAGAACAAATCTTAGTCTTTGCAAAACCGTTTGATCCACCTTGTTATCTTCTGTGATACAACTGAATTTAGCTGGCTGTTGATAGATTTTGCTCTGACATTTACTCAACACTGAAAACAGAGGAGCATGATTCTTTTTGCCTTTCAGTGGCTTTATGCACCATTTGGCTTTAAAAAATATTTTGACATTTGGACTCGCAGTGCCCTTGAGTGCATCTGTGGTACATTTCAGCACTTTATCACAGTGGTTCCCAGACCATTTATCCCTCACAGCCCTGTCAGGAAGCAGCAGCCAAAGTAACACATAGGTCATGTCCTCAGTAGTATTCTGATATGTGTGACTAGACTCAATTTAATATCTTAAAAAATACTTACTGCAAAAAACACCAAATGACTTTGGGATGCTTGGGGATTCAGATAGTGGAGCGTTTAGCAGCTGAAGAGCCAGAAATCTCCCTCACATGTGGGTGGAGACCAAAACGGGAGCTAAACGGGACTGAATTATGTTCACCATATGTCACATGCCCCCCAACTCAGATACACTAAAAAAACTATCAAAGAATTCATAATATGTATTTTTTATAGTTTATTTAGAATAATCATGTGCTATTTTTAAAAGACCTCATGAGGGCATCTATAGCATTTACTCACGCACGTGTGTGTGTGTGTGTGTGAGTAAGTTATTGTAGCTGCTAGAAAGTGTGCATGAAGAAAAGGTAGAAGGAAACGTCAGAATGACTGAGACAGACCGGATGTGTGTGTGTGTGTGTGTGTGTGTGTGTGTGTGCGGCCGTGTGAGGAAGAGAGAAAGTCACTCAGGGTGATTGACAGGCGGCATTGGCTGGAAAACGCAGGGGTGTAGGAGTGTGTGAGGTAAAGTAAGAGTGTGTGAGAGGAAGAGAAAGGGCTCACAGACCAACTGAGCGTGTGTGGTAGCAGTTTCTTCATTCTTCTGTTTCAACGTGTTCTGTTTCACGGAGACAACAATTACTATCAAAAGCAAAAACGCCGTTTTGTTTTAACCAAGCTATCGGAATTTGTTATACCCATAACCGATTGACTATATTTAGTAAGTATACGTTTCATTTTGAGGTGCCTTCAACAACAGCTAGTTTAAACATTACACAAACCTTTAAACATTAAAAGGATTGTGGTGAAAAGTCACTCAGTACATTCGCCGCCTCTACATCTCAGATGGAAACATTGTCTCATTCCGCTGGATGTGGAATGTGGAGTATCTCCACATTTAATACATCATAGTTTATCTGATATGCTCGTAGAAGATGTTCCATATGGACAGAGAAAATTTCTTGTACTTCTTTAGCTCAATAGAAATCTCTGTTGTTCTTTCATAGAGCATTATATTCCAAAGTATCATTTTGCTTCTATGATTAAACTTATTTAACTGAGAAATTAAAACAATGAAAGCCGGCAAGAGACCCAACTGACATGTAAAGCCGGGAGAAGAGACATGTGTTGACAAAGTAAGGGAGGGAAAGTAGAGAAAGACAAACTGACAGAAAGCGTGTGCACGTGTGTGTGTGTGTGTGTTGGACTGTAAGAGAGAACGAGGTGAAATGTGTGATTGCGACAGAGGTTAACCAGTTCCAGGTTCCTGCGTGTTTGTGTGTGTGTGTGTGTGTGTTTTCTCTGCGTTAGTTGAATGGCAGCCAGTTGTCAACATCCTATTTCCCTGCTGTCTGAAGAAAACCTGGTGCTCTTTGAAAAGCCTTTCCCAATTTTAGGATGAAAAAAAATCTAAAATTACAGCCAAGAAAATAAGCAGTGAGCACTGAGGCTGCAGTGTACCATGTGTGTTGAACGGTGGGCTTTTCTTCTCCCTTTAGGAAAAACATCAGGGTCAATTTTCAGCTGATTTCATTTTGTCGAGTTGCACACAGCGCGCACGCTCTCAGCGTGACCTCGTGTTCACCTCTGACCCCTCGATGAGAAGAAGACAACAAGGGTGTAAATTTGACACATGATCTCTAAAACTGATCTCTAAATCTGTCCCGAGATCTGACCAAGGATGAAATAATACATGACGAACTAGCTAAAGGTTAACGGCTGCCTTACCTTCTGAGTAAGTTGCCTTTTGATAACATTCACTAGTCATGTACGAGCGTTACACCAGCTATTGATGGTTTTATTGCTGCAACTATGGATTATTATAAGGATTATTTTATTTGATCTCATCTTATTTCCAAAACTGAAAGTTATGATTGATTAACCACTTCTTGCCTATAAAATATTAGAACATTTTTCTTCATATCTCTGTGAAACTGCTCTAATCACCGTAGTGAAACATTAACTAGCCGTGATGTGAAAGGTGATACTTCCAGAGATGAACAATGGAACTGTTTTAACCTCTGTGAGCTCATTGTTGTGGTTTAAGTCTTACGGCCCTATTTTTGCATCGTGTAGTTTATTTTAAACTCAGGGGAAAATAAATATGATTAAATAAATGCCATAAATGTTTCCTTTTTGACCACTTTATTACCCTAACAATTTTTATTTGTCAAGCGTTGGCATATGTCAGCTTGATTTGGAGTTCCTCTGCTCCTACTGGCCCAAAAAAGTGAATAAGCGCCATTATAATTATTTCAAAGTATTTACTGAATAGATGTAATGTTCCTCTTTATTTCACACTTTCAGTGTGGAGACATTCTGTCACTTTCACAGTTCTTTTTCTTTCTGTAACTCTATACTGTCTCATGTGACACGCTGTGAGGTCCCGACCCTCACACAACCTATTACCATGTCAACTCTGAGGCTTACCTAACCTTTGACCTCAGTGCATGTACACACCCATATACACACACACACACACGTAAACATTAGCCTGGATGTGTGTATGTGCGTCACCATCACCCTGAATCCCCCAAGGCTACCAGACATAACTCTGTCCCACCATTCGCTGTGCTTGTATGTGTGTGTGTGTGTGTGTGTGTGTGTGTGTGTGTGTGTTGTTGAAGTGCAACTAAACATCTTTTGGATAAAGGATCCAGCACATCACACACACTTTACTGTTGTAACCAATCAGCACAGAGGAAGAGTTTAAAGAAGGCTGGGGGGCGAGTTTAGCCGAGGAGACTCCCTGAGACAGGAAGGAGGTGAGAAGAGAGAGTGAGAGGGAGGATAGGGTAAGAGAGAGAGAGGGAGACAGATGAAGAAGAAGCGAATGGCTGAGAGAAAGAGACCGAGGGAGACAGGGTTACATGTCCGCCATGTAAGTAGTTTTTCTCTTCTCCCTTGGCGTTTGGATTCTAGTGTGAGAGGGAATGTAGGCTCATGTTTTGTTTTGTTTTTAAACAGGAAGTGCAGCAAGCTGTTTCTGTCTCTGAATCTAGTTTCTTTGATGCTTTCTGGTGGCTTTATGACAAGTGCTTGAACACATGATAGAGATCTTGATTGAGTTTGACTGGACTTGACTGAAGTCCTTTGTTTACATTCTTCTTTTTGTTTTTGTGTGAGGGAAAGAAAATCCTTCCCACTAATTCACTGGCAGCAATGACATGCAAATACATCTTTAATAGAAAGTTTAATATCTTAAACTTTCTCCTTTAAACAGCAGTCAGACACTTGCTGTTTAGTCCATTTTTACCACATGAAGTGATTTATCTTCTGGTTAATGCAATGTAACATTTCTCACTTAAATGGCTCTCTGATATGTTGATAATTAGAAAATAACACCGGGCCACCAGATCATAACGCAACAGTCGGGTCAGGCCACGTTTGAAGTGTCTTCAGCCGTTGATCAGTGAGCTGCTGTTTGGCCCGTGTCGTTACAGAAGACCCCCCTGGGAGCGCCACGGACTGTCCCTTTAATGTGTCCCACGATCGATGCGCCTAAAAGAGCGGTCACTTGGTGTGCTGCCTATTGTCACTGTGTGTGTGTGTGTGTGTGTGTGTGTGTGTGTGTGTGTGTGTGTGTGTGGAGCAATGACGGGTTCATGACGAGGTCAGGGTCAGTCACGCTCTGAAGGGGGGGGGGTTAAAAAATGGCTCACTGTCGAGGTCGTTGTGTGAGGGGTCGGAGGTCAAGGGGGCCGGCACTAAGAGCGGAAAGGCTGACCAGGTCACGGGGTTCGTCAAAGTTGAAAGTCGTAACTCACAACATTACAACCTCTCTCTCAGCGGCTCTGAGGCCCGCTGCCTTTATTCCTCCCGCCTCACTTTCCATACATCACTTTATTTTATTTTTCTTACATACATTTCAACTGACAAAAAACACAATATAGCATGAAACATAGCATTTACTTATACGTGTATGTAATAATAAGTAATTCATGACTTTGGACATGCTTTGAACTTTGGCAGCAGACATAATGTACAAAGCTGAAGCCTTGAATGAGGCGCTGTAGAGAATACAATCAGTCAAAAGTAGTTAGAGTGGCACATTGTTCATTTTTTAAGGCCCCTTCTTGGATGGCATGATATTGACCCTCAGGGTTTTGCCTTCACAGACTCTTTAGTCATCGGTGATTCGTCCGCATCCCTGAAAGCAGCTTCCTGATGGAGGCTTTCCATCAGCTGATGTTGCCAGGCAACAAATAAAGTTTCCTTCTGTCGACAGGATTCTTTTGCGCCGATATCTTGTCCAAGTCTTGAGAGATCTTATGAGATGATCCAGTCCAGATGCTGACAGTAATTTTTTATATGCCTCCTAACAGCCGAGTGTGCGCTAATGATCACTGCAGGAACATTTGGTCCCTGGTGTTGCTTTGCGGAATATTCATTCATTTTATGGACCACAATGGTCAGTGCAAAACACAAATAGGAAAAGAACCACTGAGCTGAGACGTTGAAAAGTTCTACGTTTAAAATCTATATGCAGAATTGATAATAAAAAAAACAAGCCAGCAGGATTTTCAACAGTTAATATGAATGGAAGAAACTTCCAGATAAAAACAATGTACTTGACATGCTGATTGCACTTTAGTTCTAAATTTTACAATATATTGCAACATCAAAATGTTTTCAGTGTGTAATACACTGATTCTAGTGAGTACATACTAATAACAAATATAAACGATTTACACACAGCATTTCTTAAAATGCAATGCTTATTTTCTGTTAGTGTTAGATATTTCTCAAGGTGTTTGACCACAATCCACATTCATTTATTTTGTCAAAATAGTGTGCTGTGCATTCAGTGTCATGTTAAGTACTGTCTACTTCCTCTTGTCACATTTTGAACAGAATATTTGAAGTATTTGTTTTCTTGGAAGTAGAAACCTCAGATGTTTTAGAAATTGGTGACGACATGTGGAGATTCCCTTACTTTGCGCTCTGTGTGTGTGTGTGTGTGTGTGTGTGTGTGTGTGTGCGGTCTGTCTATGATCCGTGTAACAGGCTGATTGGGATTTTATGAAGTCAAAGGTCAACAGGAGGGAGGGGGCGTCGGGGTAGAAGGGAACTTAGGACCTCGAGGGTCATTCAGAGGAGAAAACTGTCACTCTCACATTTAATGTCTGACCTTCACTTGAATTTATGCCGTCATCCCTCCTCTTCTTCACGGGTTAATTTCCCCCGTTGTGTTGTTTTACTCGCTCGGTACGAAAGGTTGGGGTTTTCAACCAAAGTGGAAACCAAATCAATATCTAGTCAGAAAACAAATCTTTTTGGATCATGGTAATGCCTAAAAAGACGGAGGAGTCCTGGGAGTTTTACGTCTGGGCCACAGCGAGATCACTGCAGCGTAGTAACCAGTGAAGTCATGATTATTTTTAACTTGCTCTCTTTCCAAGACGAGCCCCCGCTGCTGTGTTTCTTTCTTCTTCCAAGATTTCTCTGGTCAATAAAACAAATTTCAGCAGCAAAGTAACTCTCCTCTCTCAGCGACAGTATGAAGGACGCACCGAAAAAGGGGGAATCATTGCAACCATAAGAGATCCTTCAGCATATCTCCACAAACGGGTCACAACAGGCTTGGGGTTGATAGGTCGAGTAGTAAGATAAGCTGTGGACGGACAAACACAGGCACACAAGTGACAGAACACATGATCTCCCCACTCACTTACTAGATCATGTACGTTTACTCTACTGTAGTTATGTCACAGCTGTGGGAAGTAGTTACACTCTGATGGCGCTTTTGCTGCCAATTAAGTACTATTACTTCTGGAGATACTCTGCTTTCTTGCTGAGAGTTAAATGGAAAGATTAATTCCACACCGTCCATTTAAAATGAAGTCACAGCCAGTAACTATTTCCATTTTTTACACTTCTGTCTTTGTACTGACAACCGGACATTTTTATTTGTGATGCGTCACCTTGCTGCTGGGTTTATATGTCATCATTAGAGCTCGCTGTTGCCCCCTGATTCCAGTCTTTATGCTAAGCTAACTGGCTGTTAACAGTGTATTTAACTGAAATAGAATAAGAGTGCTATTCCATCCGTACATGTTGTCGCTGATACTGTTTTACTAAAGCCAGGATTAGTTTCAGTCTAGTTTTTTAAAGGGAAAAAACCCTCAGTATTGTAGTATGACAAGAAGTAATAAAGTGGAAATCAGACTTATTTCTATCTTGGGTCTGACTTCCTGCCTACTACTTTCTCCGCTGCCTGTATTTTATTCCTCAGTTTTTTACAGTTTCAGTTTTCTCTCTCTCTCTCTCTCTCTCTCTCTCTCTCTCTCTCTCTCTCTCTCTCTCTTCTGAACCCATTGAACTGCCTCCCCACTGCACCCTTTCTCCCCACTCACTTCCTGTTAGGAACAATTAAAGGATTGTTTCTACAGCTCGGGGGACCGAGGCCTCGATCTAGATCAGCTGGAGAAACCCACATAAAACAGCAATCCTATCGGACGTCTACATTGTAGTTAATGACATTCATTACACAGTGAATATTAGGACAAAACGCAATTCGGCATCGGATCTGATTACATGAGGCTAGTAGCTAAATAGCTGCTTAAACGGCAGAAGAAGGTTATTCAGTCTATGTTTTCCCCAATAGGAGAATTTGACACTATTTTAGTTTTGGCTGTTATCAAATCTCCCAGTGCAGGAGTTAGAATTGCCAATGCAATAGATTATAGACATCAGGTGTTTAATTGGGAAATAATTTCCTCAGCAGAGAATAAATATTCACCACTTGAAATTAGACTATTGTTTTCAAGTTAATGAGGAGTTATTGCCTATTGATCTTGAGTGTTGGTCCCACGGCGGCCCTGCTTGTGTGGCTTTTTATTGTTTTGCGTTGTAGTAGTTAGAGAACGCTGAAAAGAACAAAGCCATGTGTTAAAATATACTTTGTTTTATAAGTAAAACAAAGTGCTCTCTGTTCTTTCCTCACAGGCAGAGCGACGGGCGTACAGAGAGGCGGAGATGAACATGATGGACGATCTATCTGAAGGGGACTTTCAGAAGGAGGAGGAGTCAGCCAGCCCAGCCCCTCCCCCTTCACAACAACAAACAGCCCCAGCATCACCGACAGTTGCTGTGACGCCAGAGCCAGTTGCCGGGGTAGAACGGGCCACGCCGAGGGAGATAGAGTACCAGGTGATTAATTACTATTATTTCATTCTACTTTTCTAGTAGAAGAATGCAAAGCCAAAGATGCAAGTGGGGAAAGAAAAGGTCAAAGCACCAAAGCCATTCCATGAAATCTTATTATCAGAGAAGCAAGCTGAGCACACGTTAGCTGCAGCTTAGCTCGAAAGCCCCTTTGCGACGTCTTTCGCAAAATATGAAATTTGCCTAATTCATTAAGTGCTGCCTCAGTAAATATTAGGGGTGGGGGAAAAAAAATTCTGATTGATTTTTCGATTTCTCTCTAGAACGATTCCGAAAAAAAAAGCCTGTCTCGTGCGAGCAAAAGTCTGTCTCGCGCGAGATATTTGCTCCCTCGCGAAACGTGAACTTCCTCGCTTGCAAGCTTAGTCTCTGCTCGCGCTCGATTGGTGTTTTCTACGCGCTCGCTGTTTTTCTTTCTGACAGTAAGGGGGCGGAGCCAGTCACCATGGTATCTACACCTGATTGGTTACAAACCCTGTCTTTGGATTGGCTGGAGTGATGCATTCACACAACTATCTCATTTCCGCACTAATGTAAGGGGATATTCGAAATTATGAGATAAAACGTCAAAAAACAAACGCCCCCCTTTGGGAATCGTAGTGGACCGTAGATGACAACCAGCTACAACCATCATTTACCATCATTACCGGCACATTAAGAGCAACGCGTCCAGCTCGCAGACCGATCCGTCAGTCTGAATCTGAATATCTTGCCAACTTTACCGAACTATGAAGGAGCCTGCGCATATCTTATTATTATTATTTAGATTTTCGATCCATATTGAAAGTTGGCAAGATATTCACAGATTTGGACTTTTTTCCAGTATTTTACAAATACGGACCGGTCTGAGACTAAGAGCAGCTTTTTCTTCATTTAAAAAAAAAATGAATCTGTTTAATATTTTTTTTACATAGGCTACTTCCATATTGTGTTGAAATGCAAGTTGCATTGGTTCTTGCATTGTTGATAGAAAATCATATTTGTGACAAAGATTTTTTTTTCTCTTATAAAAAATGAGAGAAGGTAATTCATCTGTTGATTTTCTTTAATTATCAAATAAAGTAGGAAGTGATTAGCAACCTCTGAGTAGCAAACTCAGATTTGAGAAAATTTAGAAAATCGAGATGCATCGATAATCGTTTTATCAGTTTAGAATCGATAATTGGTTTAGAATCGAATCGTTGACCTCTGAATCAGAATCGAATCGTGAGGTGCCAAGAGATTCCCACCCCTTGTAAATATCAGGAGTGCAGGTGGAAATTGAACTCCCTTTGTTGTGTCCATGCTGCAGGATGGCAGGGGATTCGGCATCGGTGTTCTGGTGTTCGGGAAGCTGCGAGGTTTCTCCTGGTGGCCCGGCAGAATCGTCTCCTGGTTGATGAGCGGCCGGAGTCGAGCTGCAGACGGAACTCGCTGGGTGATGTGGTTCGGAGACGGAAAGTTCTCTGTGGTAAGTCGTTTTAGTGAGAACCCCCCCCTAAAAATGGTCATATACCGGCACAAATCTGTGTTAAATTAACAGTAGAGGGAAGTCATCAGGGAAGTGATTGGGCCTTTTAATGCAGTGGCCTAATGACTGTAGCACTCCGGGCAATCTATGCTTTCATAGACACAAGAATATCGTCCCGGTTACATAAACCCATCCAATAAGATGTTGCTTTTAATCTGTGGCTACGCAGCTCTGTGTTAACTCAGCACTTAATTAAAGCAGAAACTTTAACAGAGCAGATTTGATCTTTTACTTTAATTTGATAGAAGATGACCTTGTTGGACTTAGTAACCCACATATTGCACCGAAGCACTTGTCTTTTGAGAGAACTTTCCTAAAAACGTCCTCACTGCTGCACACAAAATTACCTTAATTAAGGATTTCAAGGACTTGTTGAGAAGTCGTTTCACCAGCTTTTTTCCTCTAATCATTTCTGCCTTTTGATATCTATTATCCTTATTATATCTTTTGGGGTTTTTGCAGGTTTGTGTGGAGAAGCTGATGCTTCTGAGCTCTTTCTCACCTGCCTTCCACCAGCCCACCTACAACAAACAGCCCATGTACCGAAAAGCCATCTTTGAGGCTCTGCAGGTAACAAAGCCAACCGTTTCAACTTTGCTTCTTTATGGCTCATAAATAAATGAGGACATTTGATCCAGAACTGAACGTACTCTGAATGAACATCTAAAAGACCCTATATATAATAGATATATGTGCGGGTCTAAAGGTCAGATTTTGTCATTTTATTACTATGTAAGAAGAGCTTAATTTGTATTGGTAGAGGTGGTTTATCACGTGGGTTCATCTCATATTTCATATGTATTTAGAAGTTATAAATAACCAGCTGAGTATTTGCACATTAAGACCTGCAGTTATTTTTTATTCTTCTAGCTTGTACAGCCATAATGACCATATTTATTCTTCTTATTTGACATGTTTTTCCTGTTTTCTGTGCCGCGTGTTAATTTTGTGTGGAGGTGGCCAGTGTCAGAGCAGGGAGGCCAATTCCTTCCTGTGATGCGAGCGATGATGCAGATGGGGTGGAGATTCAAACCAGACAGATAATAGAGTGGGCCATGAACGGCTTCCCACCCAAGGGTCCTCAGTCACTGGAGCCTCCGGAGGGTATACACACATTTCATTATATACATAATTTAAGGGAGTGGTTGTCTAAAACACACGCCTACTGCAGATACTCCTCATAATGGAACAGATTCAGATGTCTGTGAACAGTTGGCACTCATCATGTAACATACCATCAATACATAAGATCATTAAATGTTCTTATATCCCCACAGAGGAACGGAATCCATATAAGGAAGTGTACCCAGAGATGTGGGTTGAACCGGAGGCAGCGTACACGCCTCCACCCGCCAAGAAGCCCCGCAAGAACTCAGCTGAAAAAGCAAAGATCAGAGAGGTGATAGACGAAGGCACCAGAGGTAAACACACAAACACAATCCACACAAATCAACCTGTTGATTCTACGTATGTTTGAGGATTTTCAGAAGTTTGGAGCTGAGACCACAATACTCACACTACATTTTGAGATAAATGTATCATCAAAAATATACACAGAAAAATCAGTAACATTTACTTTTATGAATTTTTTAGCTGTCTAAATGTTCACATTTGTGATGCGTATTCACGGCTTTCATGTTTTCAGAGAGACTCATATGTGAGGTCAAGAAGAAGACCAGAAACATAGACGGTAAGTTTCTGATTTTTTTTTAACGTGAATTAAAGAAGTGCTGTATTTAATGATACTCCTTTATTATTTACACAATGTTTACTCATTACTATGGATACTAACTAAAAGCTCATTTATATCATCTTCCTCTTACAATAAGTTTTATTTGAATGGCTTCTTATGGCTTATATTTTTAGTCAGTCACTGTAGTCTCTTTAACGTTTCTAGAATAAAATTGTTGTGCTTGTTTACATTATTGAAATTCAGCTGATTAATTTATGCATTAAGAATAATTCACTGGTGTATTGGAGTAAATGCTTAGGCAAGATTAATAATCAAAGAACGGACAACAAATATTGTTATGCATCATAACGACATTTAAAATGTCTTTGTGTGTTTAAAATTTCCTCCATTCATGTAAACAAAGGGCTAAACAAATTGTTTTACATGTAATGATGCAATCCGGACTTTTGTTTGTTCAGATATCTGCATCTCTTGTGGAAGCCTCAACGTCTCTCTGGAGCATCCTCTCTTCGGAGGTGCAATGTGTCAGGGCTGCAAAGTGAGAACTCTTTTATCATCTGACTCTATTATGGAATTGTGTGAGACTGATATAATAAAGCTTGGACACCATTTTACAACATTAGGTTTTCTAGAAAACAAATAATTCCAGTAAAAGACAGTCAAAGAGAGAGCAATTAAGTATTTATTGTATAACAGTTAATTAAATTACACACCTATATAAATATAAATATATATATAGTTGAATTAAATAATAATTTATCTGTACAAGATATTTATACTGTATATTTATCTAAAATGTGGAAGGAATAGAATTATTGCTGGTTCAATATGATTGACGTCTGTGATATGACGACACACTGACACAGTCGATGACCCCCCCCCCCCCTTTCCTGACCGCAGAACTCGTTCCTGGAGTGCGCCTACCAGTACGACGATGACGGCTACCAGTCCTACTGCACCATCTGCTGTGGAGGCAGAGAGGTGCTTATGTGTGGCAACAACAACTGCTGTAGGTCAGTACAAAGCTTCACTCGTTTACTCGGGTGAGAGTGAGAGGCAAGAAGCTTCTACTCGTTTTACCAGGACGCGGTTTGGGATTTCACATTGGTGGAAGTAACTTGAAATGAAGAAGAAACTAAAAATGTCAAAGCGTGATTTTACAGTATGGATCCATTCATTGGCTATCAAACCAGGCGACTCACGAGGAGCAGATTTAGTTACAGTATGTGAACACGCAGCTTATTTTGGCATCCAGGCTGCAAATATCCAACAGCTTGAAACAGCAGTACTTGGCATTGTGGTGGTGGACAAAGTACTCTGATCTTAGTAGCAATGATACACTGTAAAAATACTCTGTTACTGTTAAACTATGGAGTAGGTTGTTAACTATAATCATAACTATTTGTTGGGTTTGATTTATTTTATTATTATTATTATAGTTATTTATTTATTATTTTATTAAATTATCATTATTGTATTTTAAAGGTGTTTTGCCTTTATTTAATAGTACAGTTTAAAGAGAAGGGCCAATCACATGTGACTAGTCGTGATCTTTTATCTTTTTTTCTTTTTGAAAATGATGCTAATATAGTACCTCAAACTTGACTGCAACACTCACAGCAAATATACTTGACATTACACCAATGGATATGCTGCGAACAAAAACAACTTTAATTAAACCCTTCACCAAGAAACTACTATTTAGGGAAGAAGAGATTTAATCTGTCTCCCAAAAAAATAAACGAATATTTGCAATGAGTAAAGGACCCACTCACCAGCAGTCGGGTGGAGGAGTCTCATGGGGAGTTTGTGTGCAGGTGCTTCTGTGTGGAGTGTGTGGATCTGTTGGTCGGTCCCGGCTCAGCGGCGACAGCCATCAAAGAAGATCCTTGGAACTGCTTCATGTGTGGCCCCCGGAGCAGCTTTGGGTTACTGCGGCGACGGGACGACTGGCCCAGCAGACTACAACACTTCTTTGCCAACAACCACGAGCAGGATTTTGTGAGTGTGACAATCGCCTGCTGGAGAAATTAAGAGAAATACATCACAGTTAGACATAAGTATCTGCTTTTCAGCGAGGCCTCTCCTCTGCTATAAATGATCCATGAAGGCTAAATGATCAGAACTGTGCTCAGATCAGATCCTAATCATGAATAAAGCTCATGTGCTCTCTCTACACACTGTGAAGCTTAATATTTAATCTTGTGTTCATCAATGTTTCTTCTTCCTTTTCAATTCTTCCTTTTAGGAGCCAGCCAAGTTGTATCCTCCAGTTTCAGCAGAGAAGAGAAAGCCAATCAGAGTTCTCTCCCTGTTTGATGGCATTGCCACAGGTACATTATGTGTAGACGTTATCTGACTACCTTCTTTCAATTTATTAACAAAGACAATGTCAATCGGTAGTTCCACTGCTTTGGTCAGGACCAAAATGTCTATTGGATGAATTGGACATTCATGGTCCCGTCAAGATGAATAATAATAAGCTGTTAGGTCATTTATCCTCCCCCTACACCATAAACATTTTTTTTAATTTTTGTTAATTAGTAATTAATAATTATGCTTTTTTTAATTCTTGACTTTGACTGCATTTCTTTGTGTAACCGTGCAGTGAAAATATATTTACCTTGAACCAAAAATGTGCACGCTAATCTAATAACAACATCTGATAACATCGCCGTGGTACTAAGCATTTTCCTCAAAGCACCCTCTCACCTTAGCATAGCACCTAGCATGGCGTTTGTTCTAGTCCTTTTTACCTTTATTTAAACAAATACAAATGTGTATGTGTGTGTGTGTGTGTGTGCACAGGCCTATTGGTGCTGAAGGATTTGGGCATGCAGGTTGACAAGTACGTTGCCTCCGAGGTGTGTGAGGACTCCATCACCGTCGGCATGGTGCGACACGAGGGGCGCATCATGTATGTGGGTGACGTACGAAACGTGACACGCAAACTCGTGAGTGCTTCTACTCAAATACACAATCATATTTCACACCACACAATGTATTTAAGTGTAAGTACGGCAAATTATGGAAAGGCTTAATTCATCTTACACACGAGTCGATTGTTTTTTAATCTTCTATTTGACCAAACTGCTGTTTTCTCACACAAGATTGAGGAATGGGGGCCGTTCGACCTGGTGATTGGAGGAAGCCCCTGCAACGACCTCTCCATAGTCAACCCTGCAAGGAAAGGCCTTTTCGGTGAGAGACGTTCTTTGAATCCGTCCGGGTATAAATTCACACTAGTTTTCTGCTATGAATAAAACTGGGAGGAAAGATAAATTAGATTCAATTAATTATTAAATATATTCAAGTGAACCCTGATGATCTTCATGTGAGGCTGAACTTCTCGTCCCCGCAGAGGGAACAGGCCGCTTGTTCTTTGAATTTTACCGCCTGCTGCACGAGGCTCGACCGAAAACGGGTGACGCGCGTCCGTTCTACTGGCTGTTTGAGAACGTGGTGGCGATGGGAGTCAGCGACAAACGGGACATCTCCCGCTTTTTAGAGGTACGGTAGCAGTTACACGGCCCTGAAGTGCACTTATGTGGATGAATGTATACATGTACATTCCTCCGACGGATCCCACACAGTGACTGATGCGGAGGAGAGAAGAAGTATGAAGGCACATGCAGATTTAGTCAGCACATTTAAGAAGTCTTCAGATGCTTCTGTCTACAGAAATAAAGGGACTGAATATTAAATCTTAACAGATTGTAGCAGTGGGGACGACAGACTGTTCATATCTCAGATGGTATCTGAACCTCATTTTGTCTTATATATTTGATGCCACACCATATTACTCCATATTATGTTAATATGTTATACTGTTCTATTTCATGGCGTACTATATTTTATTTCTATTAGATTCCTATATTATATATGCACAGACTTGCCAGACAGGAAGATGTTGACATTTAGTGGAACAGGAAGTTAACCTGCTGCTCCTCCCTAGTGTAACCCGGTGATGATCGACGCCAAAGAGGTCTCTGCTGCCCACCGCGCTCGCTATTTCTGGGGAAACCTGCCAGGCATGTCCAGGTGATACAAACAAACGTCCCATAGTTATCATCAGTCGACCGTTTATTTGACTACAAGTCTGATTTGTTCCTTAAATCAATTCTGAATTCAAATAATTGATGTTTTAATATTTTGTCCCAGACCTCTTACAGCCATGATGAATGACCGGCTGGACCTACAAGACTGTCTCGAGCACGGGCGCACAGCCAAGGTACCTATCCACCTGTGTGAGTGTGTGTGTGTGTGTGTGTGTGTGTGTGTGTATGTGTGTGTGTGTGTGTGTGTGTACAGTGCTTGAATTACAGTTGTATTAGAATGATATATTTTGGTAGCTTTCCCACCATTTATTTGTGCTCATCACCATATGATATGCAAAGAAACAGACCTACAGTCAATATCAGGGGTGTCCAATAATAAATTGATACTCTTGCAGCATTAATGGGATGAATAGAAATTTAATATTTCTCCTTTGAGTATGATAGACTATAGAAATATCGTATTACATAATTGATGTCCATTTTTACTGCATTGTTTTCCTGCTGTTTGCTCACTTTTTCTCTACCAGCCACAGGACTTATTGGCCATTTATTTAGCAAATGCTCATTTGTTGACAATGACTTTTTCAAATCCCAATGTATTGTAGAAAACGGGATGATTTTAGGATTAAAAAAGGGTGTCTGTGTGTGTGTGTGTGTCTCCGTCTCTGTTTGTGTTTTTGTGCGTGCTTGGTTCGGGATGTTAATTCCAGTTTGAGAAGTTGCGTACGATAACGACACGCTCCAACTCTGTGAAGCAGGGGAAAGACGAGCATTTCCCAGTGTTCATGGACAACAAGGAGGACATCCTCTGGTGCACCGAGATGGAAAGGTACGGTAGTTTGTGTTTGCATGTCTGCTCTGTGTGTGCTCCAGCGTGCAATCTCCATGTGATCCTGATACTTCATTAACATTAATAAGTGTTCCATCGTCTGTGCGCACAAACTAGTTAAAGACATTTGTGGCCCAAGACGTCTCATCTTTTTGCACAGCATTGACAGCGTTCCCTGTCGAAACAATTCTGATGCCATGACTACAACTGTCACTTCTCACATGTGTTCAAGGGACAAATCGTAGTTCTGAGATGAGACATGAAGTTGTCAGAGACTCCTTCGGCTCAGCGATCTGGTAGTGTGTGACAGCCTGTCGCCAGTCACGTGGCGTGAAAACCACAATGACTGCAAGACGGCAATAGTGCAGCGATTTGACGGCGTCCAGTCCTGTACTGTGAACGGCGCATTACAAAATACAAAAACACAGATAAGCTGCGGATTATGAGCCTCTAAGTAATGAAATAAAGTCCATTAATTAATTGCGCCAAAATACAATTTTTCAAGTATACATTTTTTAATCTAAAGAAATCTGAAAGGCACTAATTGTCTACAGTATATTAGATCGGGTTTGTTTGGTCAAAGATGTTTGTCACAGCTAACAATTATTGACACTATTGATCATTTTCTCGACTTAATGTTTCATTATTTGGTCTTTTGAATATAGTAATAAGTAACGAAAACTACGTCTTCAAATTGCTGTTTATCTTTTCTGACCAGAAGTTCAAAAGCCACATTTTTTTTTAGATCTACACCAATGAAACACAGTTGGGGGACCAAACAATCAACCAATTAATTTGCCAATCAACCAATCAGTTGCTGATCAACTTTCTGTCCATGAACAATGGATTTGTTGATTTGTTTTCTTTTAAATCCTATTTAAAGTGGAATAATGAAATGCTGTGTGCGTGTGTGTCTCCAGGGTCTTTGGTTTCCCCGTCCACTACACCGACGTCTCCAACATGAGTCGTCTCGCCAGGCAAAGGCTGCTGGGTCGCTCCTGGAGCGTCCCCGTCATCAGGCACCTCTTCGCCCCGCTCAAGGAGTACTTCGCCTGCAACTAGTCATGCACCCTCTCTCTCTCTCTCTCTCTCTCTCTCTCTCTCTCTCTCTCTCTCTCTCTCTCTCTCTGACACACACACACATACAGTACGTAATGACAAACACACAGTATCGAGATAGTACATGAAGGTTGGCTGAAACGGGACGACCGGACACACACACACACACATACACACTGTAAAGGACTGCTTTCATATATATCATGTAGACCCCTGGATAACCTTAGTCCCCAGGTGCTACCTTGACAAGTTACACACACACACACACATTATAGAGCTACTACATGAAGGTTGGCTGACCTAGAATGACCCGACTCACACACACACACACAACCACACACAGACAAACACAAACACACAATATCATGTAGATATCATGGATACCACTGGCTAACCTCAGTCCCCAGGTGCTACCTTGCGTGCTTGCTGAGTTACGCACACACACACACACACACACACACACACACACACACACACACACACACACACACACACACACACACTTACTTGTGCAGGGATTCTGTACTGTGCTTCACATAATAACTTCCTGTCCGACCTTGAAACTGATGTCTTCTGGCTTTACTGTGTCATGGCAGCTGGAATTCAACCTTCAGGGGGGCAAAGCTTACAAAGGAGCCCAAACTTTGTTTCCAACAACCCACAATCAAAACACTTCTGATCCAAAACACACAAATACTGTATTAATGTGTAGTTACAGTACTGCTGTGTCAGTTATTGAACTAGGTACTACAGTGCAATGAACACAAACAGCAGTTTTCGCTCATGGTGCTGGTCAGTGGAGTTCACATGGTGCCGCTTTAATACAACACTTTTTGGTGCTCGTGGAGACTGGCCGGCCTCTGGTTTTATTCGGTCTCACAGTTTTGTGGCTCTAATTTAGCTAACAAGCAGGAGGAAGCAACACTAAAGCGGGAATTATTACGTTCGATATATTTGTCAGATTTAGTGAAGGGGTGCTGGGGAGTTTCGAAAAAAGTAAATATGATCACATAGACACGTATTTAGTGATCATATTGTTATTTGTGCAGTGTTCTCGGCGAAAAAGATGCTCTGGATCTACAAATAATTAACAAAACCTTAGACAGATGTTTGTGTGGCAAATAATACCTAAAAACGGTCTTGATCTTCTCCTTAGGGGGACAACGTCTGTCTTAAATCTTGTTAGCCTTTCCCATATTGGATTGGATTTTTGAGGGAATGCCACAGCAGTGAGAAGTTATTTTTTTCCTTTACTCGTGTAAGAAAATTCTATTGTTTACAAAACACCTTTTTGTAAACTAAAAGTAACACCGATTGGCATGTACCGTCAATATTAGGCTTTTTAAAGTAACGTCAGAGCCGAGGTTGGAACGTAAACCTCTGCGGATGCACATCTTCCGTGTTTGAGCGCCCTCTGGTGGTCAGATGCCACTATGAAGAGAGTGCACAGCAAGGGCACACACTCATGATGGGGAGTAAAACAATCAGTCAGCAGTCACTGGGTTACAACAACTGTAAGAAAGTAATGGCTTTTATACTCAATACCTATTAATACTTAATACCTATGAGTGCCAGCATTACGTTGTGTGTTAAAAGTGTATTCTTTTTTTTGTAATATTTTAGGCAGTGATTGTATATTGCGGTTAGCTGATGCTTTGGTGAATATGGTGCAGTATTCTGCACACTGGTAGCATTTGACACACTAGCATGTGTGTAAGCGTACTGTTGTATTGCATTGGTTACTGTTCACTGTTGCTCAAATGATGTTGTCCATTGTTTGATGGAGCCACATTTAAATGATACTGTAAGTCACTGTAGTAATCGTGTCTGATCGCAGCTGTCCACTGAGGTTACTTTGGCCTTTGAGGTTGGATATTATATTTCTTATTTACATACTGTTTGTCCAGGTGAACATATCTGGACGGTAGATGTCAGAATACTGTAACGGGCCACTGTTGTATCATGCTGATGTTGTATACGGAGGGCAGTCTGTGTTCAGATAAGCAGTCATACTGTGAAAGGATGACAGAAGGCAGTCTCTCTATGTAGTCTGGTTTGTTTTTACCCATCACGAGGGTAGCTTTGCTCTGCTTGCTGTGCAGTGAGATTATTTGTGCCTCCAGAGCGGCTCTGCCTCTGAGAAGCATTCAACTAAACACCTGTGTACCTTTTTAGGGAGCTCAGAGTCAGTGGGGTATTTGGTCTGGTGAAAGAGTTAAAAACGAGTCCCGGTCTTCCGGCTCCTGCTTTGCTTCATAAGGATCTAAGATGTCCTCCGTCTATCGCAGCGACGTGCACTGAAGCCAGAGGCCGACCTGTACTCTGTAGACAGGATGCTGGTTTTCTACTTCCTACGACTGAAACAGACGGCCCTGTGTAAATAACCGTTTCAGGGTTTCTTCTGCCTTTTAGCCCAACGCATGCTGGGATACACTCTGTGATCTTGAATAGGAATAAGCAAACTGCTTGTTGTGATAAGGAAATGTTTCAAAGACACTCTCATACACACAGACAGTGTGTGTGTGTCTTATTTACACAGGGCTGTCTTCAGAGATCTCTTTCAGTCTGGTGCTTTCGGACTTCAGGTGACCATCTTTTTCCAGGAAGCCTTCCGATCCTCTGACCTTCCTCAGAGACCAGTTAACAACTGGACACGCGCAGTCTATGCTGACACACACAGACACACACGCACGCACAAACAGTTACAGAAACCAACAATAAACCAGCAGGTTCAGCGTTTTTCTCCATCATGTTTACTCTTTGTTTATACAACCAACCTCCAGGTGCTTTTTAAACTCTTATACTCTTTTTTACAGTGGTGCAGGTTACACACACACACACGTTTGCTGGAAACACAGTGCCGACGTTCACGCATTCTTCACGCAACTCGTTTAGCTACAAAACATCAACACGCACACACATGCATACACACGTCATCATCCTGCGTTGCTTGGTGCTCCCGACCCCCCTTCCCAACTACCCCCCCCCCCCCCCTCCGCCCCCCCGGTGCTGCATGTCAGTCAGTCAGTCAGTCAGTCAGTGTAATCTCCGATTCCATGTTAGTTAGGGAGTAATGATAATAATAATAATCATGGTAATAATAATTACAATAATAATCTGTTATCGTGTGTGTGTACTGTTCCAGGTTGGTGCTCAGTTCAGTTCAGTCTCAGCCGGGAGGGGAGCGAGTGAGGCTGGAGAAAGCATATATTACAGTTAGTATAGTGACCTGTTCTGTTGTACCCGAGGATGCCGGAGGGAATAGTTGAGCCGACGAGCCGAACAGACACTCTCAAACCAGAGCACGTTGAAATAACATGAAACGACGGATTGTCAATGAATAACCTGAAATGATAAATAAAATAAATTCTCGAGAAGGGAGCTTTCTACCTCGGGGAAAAATAGAGGAGAATGTTTCCATGTTAAAAAAGAAAATCAGTCTGAAACACAAAAACATTTTCATGTTCTGAGAAGGGCAAATCTTCAGAACAGTGTTTTTGGTAGGTTTATTTGCAGAAATGGCTGACGGACAACAATGAAAAAGCCGTCATGGGGATTAGGAACCTTCACAGGGATGCTACAATCATCGTATTTATCAAAGAAAGTTGTTGTTATTTGATTTCCTATTTCAAATATTGAATACGCTGACCTACTATATACAAGTAATAGCATCATATTAAACCTGTGACGAGGGGTCACAACTAGCTGTTTTAAAAGGCTCAAAAGGTCCAGAAAGTCAAAGCGAAAGAAAGATTCAGCTCATTTTGCGTGATTTCAACATCTGTTTGAGAGTGCCGACAGGCGAGAGCGAGAGGATTGGAGTCGATACTTTGAAACGATGTGTGACACGGTGATGATGTTTCTGTTCGCCTATCGACAGCTTTTAGGCTGAATGACGCGCTGTTCTTTTATCACTGATACATTCACAAACATTTACATAAATCACACACACTCACACACACACACTCACACACACACACACACACACACTGTTATTAACACACAGATAAGATGCAGAACACCTACACACACAATGCTAAGGCGCATGCAGACACTCATCTCACAGACTAAAGGAAAGATGAGCTTTTAAGAGAAGGAGGACCTGGTGGTGTTTCAAAAGGTGCTAAAATTTTATCTGAAAATAAGAAAAATATATTGTTAGGAGTATAAATCAAGTTTGTCTTTACAATGACTGTATTTAAGTTTGTCGTAGTAATGAAAAGGCACTATTATTATTTTACTCTTGTATGAATATGAACTAATTAAAAAGGCATTTTAACTTTGTACTTGAACAATGTAAGAAATACCGTAAATAAAAAAAAGGACTGTTTCTTGTGATTTAGTCTTAATTGTATTTATTTCAATTAACTGTAATGTTTTACTTTGTCTTCTTTATTTTTAAAGCTTATTGACTCTCAGTTTCCTTTGCATTCAAGGTTTGCTTTGCATAAAATCAACAGAAAAACACGCAGCATTTTCTCTTGCAAAAAACACTTGTGAGAGTTTGTTGAGGGCAGCAGCAGCTGGCCATCTGTGCCAAACTCTGTCTACTATGAATAACTGCAATAAAACATGACAGGTTGATTTAAAAGGCTTCACGGCACCATTCCGCCCCGCTTCTGGAGGGAGGACACATGGCCCTTCAGCCACTTAGTGCTGCCTTCAAGTGCTCCTTCTAAATCCTGGAGAGTGGACGCGCCGTATTCAAGTGCTCTCGGTCAGAAATGAGACCAAAGTGTTGGCGGGACTTAAAACGATTTGTTTTTGTTGTTTTGTTGAGTTCTATTGTAGGTCAGTACAGCATTTGTGTAAAGCCGCACATGTACATTCTTCTGATTTCAGACATATGGTTTGAAATTGAACGCAGGTGAGATTTATATCATGCAACCCCCATCACTTTAAATCAGAGGTCTTCAACGTTTTTCAAGCTAAGGTCCCCCAAACTGATGGCGAGGTGGAGCAGGGACCCCCTATTCTACGGAGTTTGGTCCGCCATCTTTTATTTTTGAGCTTCATGCTCTTTAGACGTGAGCATAAACGCGATCTGATTGGCTGGAGCCTGCGCTGTCGTATTCGCATGAAAGGAGCAGTGAGTGAACCGATGCCCAGCTTGAGAGCTGCTGAGGGAAGCTGAATGTGTGTGTTGCGGACTGACAGATAACGTCTTCTCCATCAATTTATCCGTTCGGTTCAATATTTTGGATTCATGTTAATGTGTATTTAAAGACCATAAATAAAATTCCGATTCTGAAGATATTTACATTTGTGGGGAAAAAAATTGTTTAAAAAAATTGTCTTATCAACCAAAAATTTCGCGACCCCCCTGCAGTACCTTCGCGGACCCCCTGTTGAAGACCTCTGCTTTTAATCATATGTACTCCTCCAATTTCAGGAACTTTAAAGCTTAATTTGTAATTTCAATATGTGTCAATATATTTAAAAAAATTCCATCCATCCATCCTCAACGCCGCTTATCCTTCATATGGGGGGCTAGAGTCGATCCCTGCTAACACCCTGGATTGGTCACCATTCAATTGCAGTGCTGAGTTAACCAAACCCTCAGAGCACGTCTTGTGACGACTGTGGGAGGATTGCAAACACGTGAGTGGAGTCAAACCCGGCACCTACTTGCTGTGAGGCGACAGTGCTAATCACCACACCACTTGACATTCAATCCAAAACTTAAGTACATGACTACACCTTACTTTAAGTAAAAGAATGGTACAAACCTGCAGAAACAATTTGTATGGTAGTGCTACAGTATATTAAAATAATTGTTTTATATTTGTCAAAGCAATGTACTAACAAGATCGTCTAGCAGGTGTTAATTATTATTATTTATAGTTTATATTCATAGCATTTACTCGACCATAGGTTCCAAAATCAAAACTGTGTGCAAGTCTAAAACAAATCAATTCACAATTCGTAATCAACTGGAATAATTAATTAGGTATTACCTGCATTTTCCCGACAGCACTTGAAGGCAGCATGAGTCTCTGGCGGAAGGAGACACGCCCCTGTCTCCCGAAGAGAGAAGACCGCACATCTCGTCTCGGATTGGCTCGTTTCCTCCGTCGGTCAGCTGTGACCGGCTTCTGATTGGCTGCTGCCTGACGTTTAGCCTCGAAGCATCTGCGTCTCGCGCTGTGCCAGCTGTCCGCGCGCACTCTGACAGCGCTGAGCAGCGGTGATTAGCTCGGAGACCCGTGAATGCGAGAGGAGAAAGGGTAAGAAGACGAACAATTATGTGAAAAATGGACATATCAGGAAGTATTTTGCCTAAATATAGTGATGGTTGATAATAGAGAAAAAAAATAATATTTAACGTTTTGAAATGAAAGATGAAATCACCGATTAACGGTTCGTCTGACGTTAATAGCTGTTATTTTTACCTAACATTACCCTACATAACGCTAGCTTAATATCAAGAGTTTGGGTGTTTTATTAAACAATAAAGTCAACCAATGATGTATGTCATCCTCTGCATTTAAATGGGGATAAATCAACGCGAGCCTTTTCTTTACTTAACGTTAGTACTATTTTAAATGGCACGATGCTGAACAAAGCCAATCAATGGTGACGATTGGGTGTATGTTGTAAACAGGCATCTTGTGTTTTTCGGGGGACAATATGGGTGAAATGTGCGCGCGCGTGTGTGCGCGCGTGCATCAGTGCAGTAAGGAGTCACGGTGGTGCTGATGATGATGAGAAGGAGGAGGAAGAGGATGTGTAGTCGTTATGAAAACAAACGGTTCTGCTGATGTGTGTGTGTGTGTGTGTGTGAACATATATCAGGTGATTTGATCTCCTATTTTACCTATTCCTCCTTTATACGACACCTACATACATTTCTCGCTTGTTTTGTGGTTTATTGGCACTCGTGTGTGCTTTAAAGGGCTCCAGGGGGCCTCAATGCAGCACAATGAAAAGAATATATTAGACAGCGTCCCGATTAGATGACGTAACCTGTCTCCACGCAGTGTAGTGCGTTTTAGAGTTAGAATGACTATCGACGCCCATCTTGCCTGATTTAACTTGTTACAATCAGAACGTGGCGGAGTGGGGGGGTAGAATTCAAAGGTCTGGATCCAGGGAAGATGCCCATCACAATGTTGCAGCACTGTGACGCAAAAAAGCAAAAAAAATGTTCTCATCTTAGAAGATAAGAAGCCAGGAAGGTGGAGTTCTGCGTGTTCTCCCCATAGTGAGACTGAACGTTTATTCTGGCCGCTTCAGTGTCGGTAATTAGACTAAGTGGACGTGAATAGTGTCTGTATATGATGGATAGATAAATGGCTATAAATGTCTCAAATGAATACTCACACCTCCTTATGCCATAAGTAAACAATAACATCAGCGCTGTCTATTCTATCGGCCCCTCCGGGTCAGGTTAACCAGAGACTCCTCCAGCAACCGCGTTCTCTGCTGCTGCATTCAGACGGGAGGAGGAGGAGGAGGAGGGGATCTCTGCCCGGCAGCCGTGGCTCCTCTGGTCCTCACCGGGGGGCCGTACTGACCCCACCCACCATCCTCTATCATCTGCAGGGACCACCAAAAAACACATGAAATGGAAGTTCCTTGTAGTAGATTTAAGTATAAATAGAAATATTATATTCTAAAGTCTAAAAATACTCACATTACAAGTGAAATTCCTTAATTTAAAATGAACAATCAATCATCAAATCAACAAAAAGTTCTCACGGTATCAAAATAAATACTCATGATACAGAATGGCTCCTTTCTAGATGTTATAGTATCATGAAATATTTGATTATTAAGTGTTATAACTAACAAATTCACGTAAGCGGTATATTACTTTGTCATATCATGTAGGCATATAACATGTATTGTTTATGTTAAAAGTACCAAGAAATAACTAATTGTATCTAGTGGATTCAAAAGTATGATACATCCTTCTTAAATATTGTGGAGTAGAAGTAAACATTAGCAGAACATTGAAATACAGGTAAAAATACAGGTAAAGCAAAAGTATCTTGATGAAAAGCAGTCATCCTCGAGGAACACAAATGTGCATAACGACAAAAAGTATGTGTTTGCTTCAAAGTTGATATTCGGCTTTTTTGCGGCACAGGAAGAAAGGTCAAAGGTCAGGCAGAGGTTCTACCTCGATCACTTCTTCAACTGGCCCGAGACAGAGGAGGGTGACGGATAGGAAGAGGAAGAGAGGGATTAATAAATAGTTGATAGACCTGCCTGTGGTTCAATATGAGTATGAAATGAAACTACAGCATATAAAAGAGTGCATGCAGAGAGAGAGACGGTCCTAATCCTCCGAGTGTTGGCCTAGTTAGTTGAGCGACCGATGTCATTATTGTCTGTTTATCTGTGTGTAATTCACTAATGGCTCATTCGTCCATGAACCTCCAGTAGCACCCACAACTCCTTAAACATCATCCTGTGGGGGGGTCTTTGATGTCTATTCTTACACAACAATGGTTTTAAAGTATGATTTGTCTGATGCACGTTTGCGCTGGATTCCTTTAATAGCTCTACTCTTCTCTCTCACACACACACACACAGACACGCACCGCGTCTACCGACCCTCCCTGTGGCGATCAAGCAGGAGTCAGCAGCTGTCTACTCCTTTCTTCTCACTTACAACACGCATCAACACACACACACACACACACACACAGCCTGCACATCTGAAGATGTCACCACCTAAGATGTCACATGTAATTTCTAAACATTCAGGCTTTTCCCAAAATAGACTTTAGTTCTCTTCATCACCAGATGGAGGTTTTCATTGTGATGCTGCTTGTTTCGGTTTAGTTTCGTTACTGCAGATCTGCCTTTTTAATGTTTTTTTCGATTAGTGTAGATCGTTAGTGTAGATAGTGTAGATGCTTCTTAATTGAACTGTAATGGAAATTACTCTTTGCAGGATGTATGAGAAAAATATTTTTAAATACTTTTAAGAAACATTTCAATTACAGCTCAAAATGTCAATGAATATATCAGAAGACACCTTTCGAGCTTTAATTATTAATGGTAAGCAACACCAAATGATTGCACATATATTATATTTTAATGTTAATATGCCGTGGTAGACATTTCCTAGCCTAGGTATTATCTTATCAGTGACACTGCATAAATAGTTTGATTCTAAGCATTACAATCATTTCCTTACTATATTGTTCATGACACAGAGGCAGTTGATACCTTACTTACTAAAACAGGTGCAACATTGTGACCATGTGACTTTGGGGAGTCTAGACTAAATTTGCCTGCTGCCCGTCATTGATTATTAATTCCCCCACATTAAAATGTGGAGGGTCCGGGGGGGGGGGTTTAGTGCTGAAGCAGCTGATCACAGG